AAAAAACCCATGAGAAAACCTGGTAAATTAACGATCTAATATCAGTTTCAAAATGCCAGGCAAATGTGTAATAGTTGGATAACTCCTGGTGCAATATAATGTCATTGACACTGGTACTACTTACTACTAAGTCTGGAAAACAGATGTAAACTGAGATGAAATACTGACAACATGCACAGTAACACCTCTAACTTCTTCCTACTGTGAAATACAAGACTTTCACCATATCAAACGTGTACATAGATGCAACATCAGTGAATACGAAAGTAATGAAATCATGCCAGTCACAGGACATTACAAGCCAAAAAACAAGTTGTCTGACAGTGAACATGGTGAAGGCATTTCTCTCTAACCCAATACAGAGTTTATCAATGGAAAACAGCAAACATGAAAAAAGATGCACTTTATCGGTATGACCCCTAAAATAGAAACACATGAAAATTGATTAAAGCAGACACAGTGAAAAAAGCATATGTCAGACAGAAAATTGTCGGGTGTTGAATAGAAGTTGGGGGGAACACTGAACCTAAAACATGTTAAAATGAAACATTTACCAGGCCAAAAAATGACATAACACAAGGACACAACGGAAAAAGCTTGAAATTCTACTAGCCCTCAGGATACCTTTAACATGAGACATATGATGGCGACTAGTTTGTTCCAATTTGCATCCGTGGCAGACCAGCCTCTTTCATCCCCTTTATGTTTACCTTTACAATGTTTACATATCTGAGGGATCATTTTACACAAGGATCACCAACAGTAGTCTCAGCTGCCAGAGAATATTTATGCACTACCATGGTAACGCAGTCAACATGTTCCAGTAAAAAGGTAACATGATAATGCAAGTATAGAGCATCGTGCTTGTAAATCTGTAAATAAGTAAGTCTGAAAATGCTAAACCCAGTCAAAAACGATGACTGCAGCTGACAGGGCTAATAATATATGTATGTATTTACTTCACGTCTTGCATAGTTACAAGACCCACATTCTTCACAGTTTTCTCCTACAGTGTATAATAATCACCATATCATCAGAGATTATCATATGCTTTCATTAAATTTACACATACCACCACTATAGCAAATCAAAATCATGTAAATATCTAAACATTCTGAATGACACTGAATTATTTCTCAGTAACTACAATGTTCATAAAATGACTGATCTATTTTTGCAAAGAATATACAATGAGAGTAATGTTACCATGGTTACCTGGTAATCAAACTGTGAATTATTCATACCTGAACAAGTTAACTAGTTTTGAAGTATATATGAAAATTCCTAACATAACCATGTTAGCAGAGGCTTAGGTTTCTGTGGGGGCACAGGTGGCCCAGTTGTCTAAGGCGCCACGATTCGCTGTGCAGAGGTGCGTCCCTTGGGCACACCAGAAACCTATGATTGTGGGTTCGATTCCCAGTTTGCCCCGATTATGTTTCTAGATCTGTCAGCACTATACCCTTGCTCATGGGTTTCACCGAAGTGGTAAACGTCCAAGACCTGCGTCACTCAGGCTTTCCTCCCACATTAAGCTGACAAGCAGTGATACAACTGGAATACTGTTCTAAGTGGCGTTACACCCAACTCACTCACTCACTTAGGTTTCTGTACAAGGACCATGATGACACAACTGTGAGAGATATGACCATTAATAATATCATCACTAACTCTGCTTTATAACATTGTACCCCCCCCCAAAAAAAAACAAAAAAAACAACACCATATTGACCATGTTGACATGATATACAGTTAAATCATAAAAAAAAGTTGTTTAGAAAACTGCTCAACATGTTCAAGACAAAGTTTAAAATCATCCTTGATGTGTTTTAACTAAAATCTATGACCAGGCAATCAACTTCTGTCAGACATTCGTAAGAGTACACTTCACAGCTGGCTGCCTTTTCCACGTTCGCAGGCAAGTTTTCAAACACCACATCAATACTAACGTGATGGCCACAGCTTGATCATATTGGCTAGTGTCTTAGCATTAGTGAGTAGGATACCTTAAGCATGATCAAGGATGACATTCTGTATTCATGCATGTTACACAACTCGTTCAAGGCAGTACTAAACGTAAACTCGATCAAAAGCTGGGACAGTGTTTACTGTTAACACAAACACAGAATTACCCCCTTTATCACAGACAGCTGAGTATGAACTGTAGCCTAATTAGACATAGTAGACATTCCTGAGGAGTGAAGCATTGTCCATGATTGTCACTCCTGACTGACAAACAACGTCATGACATATATATTACCATTAACATCCGGAATTATTCAGTGTATTGTATCATTGTCAAAGTGAATATGACAAAGTTACAACAAAAGTTGCAGATTACATATAAAGTCAACCCAGTGACAGGAGCACTTTATCATTGCACTTGATCTGGTGTATACACTGAAGTTGACTGAAGTTTTATTTTTATCCAAAAATACAAAAGTCAGAATGTATGGGTGTAGTAGTCAGAAAGAACTGCGGAAATTAGTGACTTATAGTTTAAACATAAGATAACATAGATATGTTTTGTCATTAAACAATATATCCCGTGACTAACTATGGGTCCGGGTAGTCTTGTGGGTACCCAGGTCCTACTCAGTACCAACCCGACCCAAGTACCCGAGTTACCCGTCCCAGTCCTAGTTAATACTACCATGGTTGCAAGGTGTGAAATTAAGAATAAAGTCATGGGATCCAGGTCAATGGCAGAACCATGATAACTAATGAAGTGATCATGGTTATACAGTAAGATTCAGTGCTGTCCCTATACTGAAATGCTAAGACAGGGATCCTTAAGGATCGCAGGACACCCCCACCCCACCCTCAACTTCTAACACTGCTGTTATAAACTTAAAAATAAGTCATCATGGTCATAGTCAACAAGTTTCAAACCACAGTCATTTTGAGGTGCATTTAAAAGTATTTGACTTCAAAATTTTCATTACTATCAAAACCATAGATTTCATACGTTCATTGTCACTTAACAGAGCAGTGACTATGAATCATCTTCATTGCCTTCTGATTAAGTATGGGCAGTGGGGACACTGAGGTAGCCTAATGGTTAATAGGGGATGGGACAATACACCAACTGTGTGATCCAATACGTATCATGTTACTTTGTCAGAAAAAAATAAATTCATTAGTGTGCAAAAATAATTTGCTACAGAGTTGCAATGCACATCCTGGTAAACTAGTAAAAGTGCCAGTCCACAAGGAAATGTCAATGGACCTTCCTGAAGTTCATGACAAGGTTTGAGTGAGCAATTGTTTACGTTAATGTACATATGATTCTCTATTTCTCTTCTTTCCTTTTTGTCATTTATATAATGTATTAATAGTAAATGAGTATAGGCAAGTAAATCTACAAACTTTGAAGTTTGTCTTGCCAGCATATGCAGGTTGTGTAGAACAATATGTGCAAGTCATAGCATTAGTTCAGGAATCATATTTCAGCCACGCATACTTTGTTAGCTGTTACTTTTTCTTAAATTTTCTTTTGACTGTCACTTGGGTGGACGGTTTCTTGCTGTTTTCATTTGCATCAATCGGCTTGGAATTCTGTCCACCATCACTATTATTAATTCAAACGTAACTGTCATTGTCGTTTTCATTCACAACTTTCTGTGGAACAATTGTGTTTTTGCTGTGCAAAGATGGAAAAGTACAGGATGTTGTCAAGTAATGCAAAATGGTGTACGTATGTCAGAAGTTTGCAAACTCAATGCACTGCAAACAGCATGATCATTTAGCATGTTTAGCGTAACTGAATCCTCGCACCAATGCATGGAGCCATCAAACTGTTCACTGACACAGACAATAAGTGCGGTTATGTCATTGCAATCATGAAACTGGCAATTGCGAAAATGTCAGAGCAAATGTCAATAAAGTTAATTAATGGTGAAAAAACATTAGGATCGGAAGCATTTGATCGGGTCAGTTGGGTAACCTGAATCATAAGATATTTTTTGTAAGGCTTAAATTGATGGAGATGGAATTTCCACAGGGTACAAAATTCCCCAGAACAAGTACATGTGCAATATTACGCAAGTCAACATTATTCATACCAGAAATAATTAATATCACCTGTATTGTACATGTATATGTTTAGGAAGCCAAGTTGCCAACAGTAGATTTAGGCTGCCAATCATAGATTTAAGTCGTATTGGCAACCGAAATGGTTGCGACTTAGAGGGCTGAATGAAGGTGTACATAAAAAATTATTTTTGGTATCATCAATAGCCACAATATGTTCATTACAATGTATTAAAGGATTTAATGCTTAGTGTTAACATTAAATAATATGATTATGAATGAACACACACGACCATAATTCGTAAGTTGATCATTATCAGGATGAAGATAATGTTGACTGACAATGACAACGATATATTTGAATCAGACCTGGCAGAAAGGGTGTCAAAATAAACAGATGACAAGGTGAAATACCATAATATCTTTTGCAAATTAATGGAAAAAAAAGTACACAATCAGGCTCTGTAATTTTTCAGAGGCATACCCGTTTAAATTATAATGTAATCACACATAGATATTACCATAACATTCTAATAATACAAAATATCAAAAACACATGAAATTACAGTGACAATGGCATGATGCTATCAATATGCTCAAACACATAATGGTGAATATCAACGATCTCATACCGAATGCCAATTGTATACAAACCGATACAACCCTTGTATTCATGGCATTTCTCTACAACTAGCACTATAGACACTGACATGTACATTTGATTAATCAAGGCCCTTCACATAAAGTATAACTTGTCAAAAACATACCATTGATTACATGACTGACACATAACACAATCAGTATCTGGTATATAGACAGGCTAACTGTCAGCTTTTCAATGTTGCTAATGTACTGCCTGTCTGCAAGGACGCCGTCCCCAAGCAACAAGTTTGCACGGAACTCATCCGAGTAGCTGCTCTGCAAATTACGCAAACAGCTTCTTCGATACATCTATTACACAGCCATACCTTACGTCAAGCCGACAAGCTTCTTACTTTCCCCAAATTAGTAAAATCACAACACCACACCTGTAGATAGATAAATGAAAACGGCGTCTTCGCTACAGCGACCTCCAGTGGACGATTCAGTAATCAATTCGGAGACTGCTTGGTGGAGAACATTTTAACATTCCACAAGTTCATTTCAAGTAATATTACCCGAATTGTTACTTTTCCCGGAACTAATTTTAAAATAAGAGATGCCCACATATACACTTATTATTTCGATATGTTGGTAATAACATGCTCCTCAGAATAATAGTTATATTGTCTGGCGAATAGAAATAGTTGTTTGGGAAACTGTTTCCACTTTCGTTCGCAAACAGGCGAGAACTGTCAGGCACTTGTTGTCAACAGAGAAGCGCGTAGCAGGGAAGGGCAGGTTGTTCTACAGGCTAATCCGTTGTTTAAGGGAGTATACGTATTGTTAGACTACACTGAGCAAATTAATACATTCCTGTTACAAGGTGTTTGAATATTTTTTTCTCTTCGCTCATCAAAGAAAAAAGTGTCATTTTTCTTAAGCGAAAGGGGATTTAACATAATTCCACATAGCTTAAGCGTTTGCCCTTTTCGCGGGGCTATTTATAAATATAACCTTACACTATTAGAATTCATTTGATGACAAACATATAGGTGCCTAATTTGAAATAGGATCGCTTGCCTCTGATACAAGAAAGACATTAATATTATTGATGTAAAAAGAATTGTAACACGTTATCTGATAAATGTTTATAGTACAGTGACTATATGATGTAAACTTAGCGCGGATTATTCCCTATCTTTGACATTTATGACCCGTAATTTTTATCTAATTTGCATCAACTTGTCTAGACCAAGGTAAACATGGTGAAGAATTTCCTTCGCCGAGGAATATCTTTGCACCTGGGATAACATTCCTATAAAGGTGAAGCAGTCCCCCTAAAAATGACGAGTCTCCAAATGTGTAATGTTTAGATCTGACATTCATCTCCAGAGTTAGAAATTGGCACTAGTCCTGTAGTACTTGCCAAACTGCCCAATAGTTAAAGTATCATAAGGACTAGTAGATATTTGCCATTTTTAAGGGTTTTGCTATATATTATCATATAAGGACTACTGGACCAAAAATGTTAGTTTCTACCGCTGCATCTCACATATAGGATTATACACACATGATTAATGGTATTACAAAAGCACATAGGAACATGTGTAAGGACTGCCGATGTGAGCACCTGTTACGCCACACGAATCCAAGGTTGTGGTTTTGTTTTCACCAGAGCTTCAGATTGCTGTCGTTATACGAACTCCCATCCTCTTGTGATTTCGAGTGATTATGTTTCACGGTATGTGTCTATTTCCATTCAAGATCGAGACGTAGTAAATAGTGCCCCCTGTGAAACACGGGCGCCATCTCTGTGTGATTAGGCAAGTCGTTAACTGCTAGATGTATATATTATGCATCTATAAGGCCTCATACATATGTATATTGTTTTAGTTGGTTCCGAGACGGACCATAAAAACAACTGAAATTAGAAAATAAATTAAAATGACTTTTGACCAAAAAGAGTATGTCCTACTGTTTTACAATTAGACGAAATGAACAAAAGTAACATGAATTTTTTAACAATCTGTTATTTGTTGTAAACATGGTATAAAAATCAATATTCTAACAAAAATCAAACAAAACAATTATTTTTCTGTATCTTGCTATGTTTGTTTTTCATTCATTAGTTGAGTACTAATCTTGAAGTTGGTAATTTTATTTCCCCGACTCGTACATTGAATTTTCGGGCAATTTCTTTTTTAAGACAACTTATAAGAAATGAAAGGCCTTCGGGTTCAACAAACATACAAACAGTTGTTTCGGAATGACTGGATTCACACTGAATTCCAGTTGACCCGAGACCTCCGTAGTCATCAGGGGGATCCTTATTTTACTCACGAATGTGCGTTATATAGCTATATGAATATTATCATGCAGTTACCCATCTGTTTTGAATGCAGATCACAGTGTCGGAGAGGCGCAGAACTCGAAGAGATTCAGGTGTTGGTTATATGAAGAGATGTTCTTTCGGAGGGTCAAGACAAATTTTATTTGTCTGTTTAACGCCACACTTTAAAATATTCCAGCTATATGACGGCTATCTGTAAATAGTCGAGTCCTGACCAGACAATCCAGGGATTGGCATCATGAGCATCGATCCTCGCATTTGGGATACGATAACATGCATCAACCAATTCGGTGAGCCTGACCACCCAATCCCGTTAGTCGCCTTTTAAGACAAGCATGGGTTGCTGAAGACGTATTCTACCCTGGATTTTCACGGTTCGAAACTGAATCCGGAATGTTTTAGGCCACATAGGTGCTGTCCCGGGTAGAATATAGGTCCCCAGTGCCACATGTTTTTTCCTAAATAATGATGACATTGTAATATTGTGTGATCACGTGGCTGACCTGCTACCTTGACGAAGTGGATCGTTGTTCATCCTATTTACCTAGAGATTCCCTGTACATCGAATATTGCTGACTTAGGTAATACAAACTCACCCATTCAGAGTTTGTGTACATTTACCGCCATTCTGCATTCTTTATACCATATACAGTAAACTACGGTTATAACTAACTCAAAGGTACCACAAATGTTAGTTTGTATTAACAGTAGCTCATTATACAGCAAATGGCCTGGACAAAAAAAAACGTTCCTTATATTCGTCAGTTTGTGATAAGCGTGTTCGTTATAAATAGTTAACTGCAGTCGCTGTTTACAACATGCAGCTACTGTCTTTAGTTACCTGTTCTTGAACACTTCCGTTTTTTTTTTAGATTAGACGGTTTTTTCTTGACACGTGACAGTTGTATCAGGGTTTTAGTAATAAATTATCAATTACAAAAGTAAAAACAATCTTCAGTTCATTTTCACGAGGAGAAACTGGTAGGCACCGGGTTAGAGTGTAGGTCCACAGCACTCTAAGATTTGTCGTAAGAGGCGACTTAATGGAAAGGGATGTCAGGCTCGGTGACTATATAGGTTATAGGGGGATTGCGTGTCTTTGAATACCCCGACGGAGTGGGACGTTGTTCATTATATCAACCACTGGTTTGTAATGCCCAGATGCGATTATCTGTACTAACCGCCGTGGTATATCTCGAAATTGCATGTACTGTGCAGTTAAACATTTGCTCAGCGCATTGAAAACGCTCCATGCAAAAATAACATTGAATTCAAGGAAGACAATCAGATTTAATTCTTCCTTTTTGTCAGATGTTAAGATGATGTGCTTGTCCATCGGAAATTTCTAAAGCTTAGCAGGTTATGTGGTTGACAGGCAATAATATATGTACATGAGCCTATACTTAATCAAAGACGCGCCTCCTTTACATTTGAAGCCTATTTGGATACGCATCATTAATACCTTCTCATGTATGCACTACCTTCACCACAACCTGCATTTCAAAGACGATATATAACTAGAAAACACTAAATGTTAACGCATCTTCATACAGCCACAGACGACCTTGAACTGCTCCTGTGGTTTGTTCCTACAGTATTTCAAGGTTAGAGGTCGCGACCTTATCTCCTTACACCATGACACGTTTTATGCAGATGATTCACCTATAAGTAGCCGACCTATTTCATTCTTCTGAAATCTGAACCCAGCGAACGTGACTTGAACCCAGCGACTTGAAAACAGCGTAAACAAAACAAAAAGTAATACTGAAAACTGATGCTACGTAGAAGCGCCCAAATTCAAGCCTGGCATAAATAGTCATATACATTAAGTACGTTCATTGGATGAGCCACTTAGGACAGATATTAATTCCCCTAAAATACAAGTAACATTTCAGGTAGGTATACTGCAGTAAGACAAAGCAAAGACGTATATATACGTCTTTGGACAAAGTCACAAACTTGAGCATTGTAAAAGCAAGTACTAAAGATTGACAATGAAATCTGTTTTATGGACTGTGTCAAGTTTACACAACAGCAAATATTTGTACAAGTATCACTTGTCCCCAACTTGTATTTTCATGATTCAAATAAAACTGTTTTCTATAAAAAAAAAATCCAGGGGGGGGCAGCTGGCTACGGCACTGGAACAATTGCAGACGCTGAGCATGCCATACCATGCTCATTGCAAACGGGCCCTGACTTGGTTGATGCATGTCATCTTATCCCAATTGCGTGGATCGAGGCTCATGATGTCGATCAATGGATAGTCTGTCCCAGACTCGACTATGTACAGACCGCTGTCATACAGCTGGAATATTGCTGAGTAGGGCGTTAAACAACAAACATCCAAAGAAGCAATCCAATAAATGCGAACGAGTTACTTTCGAGGCACAGCCTACGTATCCTAATTTAATATGATAACGTAATTATTTTACCATATTTACACATATATGTGTACTTTATGTTTATGACCACATTCTATACACATATACATATTTATTACTAAGATTATATCCCAGAAAACTAATACATGTTCCCCCAAAATCAAAGCTTTAACGGCTTACGCATACACTTGCATGTATTTGTGCGAGTACTGACAAAATGTCCGTGTACATTGTTCTGCGTATCGACCCAAGAGACCTCAACATGCTCCAGTGTTTGATCAGCTGTGCATGTGTTGCAAGATCGATCCCCGTGGCGTAGGGTCTAACAAGCTTGGGGTTACTCGATGCAAGTAATGTTATCACTCACAATCAACTGAAATGTGCCCACACATTCGCGTTAAATGACGCAATCTGAAACAACAAGTATGTTCTTCGATGTATTTGTATACATACACGGTAAGCAAAGTGAACGATTAGGTATGATTCATACCACATTTCTACATACACGCCCTGTGTAATGTACATACGCCCAAAGTAGACTAATCGGTTTAAAGGCACATAATGGCAAGATATATACTGTCCTTTTTTACAAATTTCGTAAATCGATAGGTTGGTGTTACAAGTCCCTTGCGCCATACACTACTTTACTGGTGGTCATTCTGGTTTTCCTCGGAAAGCAGAAATAGCAGAAAGCTTGCTAGTATCAAAAGTCAGCGAGCTATATACACGGTACTGACCTATGTCTATATTTTAAATCTACGGAAATCTACTTTTCATTTACTTGGAAACATGCATCAAATTGGCACTTTCTTAACCACGAAGACGACTATGCTTGCCTAAGAGGCGACTATGCTTGTCCTAAGAGGCGACTAACCGGATCGGGTGGTCAGGCTCGCTGATTTGGTTGATGCATGTCGGCGTATCCCAATTACGTGGATCGATGTTCATTATGTCAATCACTGGATTGTCTTGTCCAGATTCGATTATTTACAGACCGCTGTCATATAGCTGGACTATTGCTGATTGCGGCGTTAAACAACAAACAAACCACGAATTCATCCATACCACAGCGTTGTGTTGTTCTGGACACTGCAATTTCATGTTATCTGGGTACATGATCATGACACACCACGCGACACCACTAGTCTTTGGGTCTGCCATGCCCCCAACCTGAATGCCCCCAACCAGCGTTCATTCTCACACAGTGTTCTTGACACGTTTATTCAAATCTTTCTGGTGCTCCACTCCCCCGATTACACAGATAATTATATCTCCATTCTGTTACAAGATGCGTTAATAATGTCACGACATCATGGATATATGATCCACTGGATAAACGAGGATGGGCGCTGTGGGACTGAGTTGTGTGTGTGTCCGTTTTATATCGATGACTTCTTTCCATCACGTGCAGCCAATGTCCTGGAGTATCCTGGTTCATTCTTCAGAGAAACAAAAGAAAAACAAAACACTTTTGGTTGATTTGTTTGTTGTTTAACGCCGCACTCAGCAATATTCCAGCTATATGACGGCGGTCTGTAAATAATCGAGTCTGGACCAGACAATCCAGTGATTAATATCATGAGCATCGATCCACGCAATTGGGATCAATGACATGCATCAACCAAGTCAGCGAGCCTGACCACCCGATCCCGTTAGTCGCCTTTTACGACAAGCATAGTCACCTTTTACGGCAAGCATGGGTTGCTGAAGACCTATTCTACCCCGGAATCTTCACGGGTCTCGTACGAGAATGTATATTCGATGGTTTGCTGGTGTTCTGCTTAACATCTGCCATGTCATTTGTCGCGGGACTGTTACGTAAATACTGTTCACGGAAAATTAGATCGAACACTCCGCAGATGCGGTACATTATTCAGGAGATGCACAAGTGTATAAATACAAACACATTGATTTACTCCAGATTAAAGAACAAGGTATGATCAGGTCATTTTTGGCTAGCAATTTCTGTACAACGCAAGTAAAAAGTCTCATTTTTGAACTCTTTATGAAAGTTGTCAGAAGTGTCCATACACATGCAAGCATTGATGCTTTCTTCTTTTCAGAAGAATTGTGACGAGTGAATTGTCTTGAGACGCCGCTATTCACTGTGCAGAGTTGCGTCCCCTAGGCACGCCAGAAACCTATGCTCGTTGGTTCGAATCACGTTTCGCCCCGATTATGCTTCTAGGCTTGTCAGCACCATACTCGTGCTCGTTGATTTCACCAAAGAGATAAACGTCTGAGACCTGCATCACTTCAGGCTTCCCTCCCACATTAAGCATACACCAGTGATATGACTGGAATACTGCCCAAGGGGTTGTTAAACCGAACACAGACACTCTTTCTTTCAATGCATACATCTAGTTGGGTGACAACACCAAATGCAGAGTTAAGGATAACATAAGCAATGTATAGAGGATACTGAACCTGACAAGTCAAGACCCATGAATATTTCATTGGACTTAAAGTGACTGTTGAATGAATGAAAGGGTAAAGAAAGATTAAGGCGTGGGGATATTATATGACATGTCTGTGGCCCTTGTTGGAATAGTACAGGGCCCTCTATTTACTTTGAAGCGGGAAGGGAATACCTATTTCGTTAGATGTATCTGGCTCTTTTAATTTGCCGTGATTCGATATTTTCAAAGAAACAAGAGCAAAAGTGAGCGTGGCTCACTAATACCCCCGACCCGCCTAGTGTGTCAGTAGTTTCAAATTAAATAGCTAGGATAGGGTTAGGGTTTGAAAAATGCATAAAAAGATGGAAAATTAATAAAAACAATTTTTTGACTGCACCCCTTCATATGACACAGATTATATGTACTAAGTTTGAGATGAATCCACTAAATGTTTAAGAGAAATTGCGCGGACAAAGTTTTCGGCCGGACGGACTGATGGAACCTTGGTATAACTATATACCCCCGACCTAAAAGGTCGGGGGTACAATTAGCTGTGATACCTTAGTTATCAACAGTCCAGTTATCGTGAGTTTGTAAAACAATTAACCTTTTTTCTGTGAAAAGTTCTTTTTTCTCTCTTGTGAATTGTTATTATACGTTATTGTTTTTTTTATGTCAAAACCGGGAATACCATATAGTAAACTTGGGGACAGTGTGAGAAGTTGTAACCAAATTTATATATTACAATAATATGAGATGCAGTCCAAAGTTAAACATGCAAAAACATAAACTTGATAATGATGTGGTTTTAGTCACTTTCAGATTGATAAGTAGGAATGAATTACTCCTTAGCTCTACAAAATATTTATTAATTTACATGTGAAATGGGTGGGAAAATTACATCTGATCTGTATTTGCTTCCCTTTCCTTTCCTTTCAAAATCTAATCAGTGTTGCCTGAAAGAGTGTATGATTTCATCAAGTCTCGTGACTTGGGTGTATTCTCCTTGGCATCTATAGAGAAAACAACATTTCAATATAGCATATTCGTATCTGCTAGGAACTGCCAGATGATGTTGAGGAAGAAGTCCCACTTCCTGAGGAGCTGGGAGTGTGTCCATTGCTGCTGCTGGAGTCCTCTGTAGGGACGGCCTCGAAGACCAGGATGGGGTCCCGACTGGAGACCCGACTGGAGACCCGACTGGATGCAGATTCCACTTCCCGAAGTTGCTTCCTGGTCAGGCGTTGACCTGTCTGGCGATGTCGGTGCTTGATCACCATCAGAAGCAGGAACAAGACCAGGTCAGCGGGATAGGTTAGCGAGGTCAGCAGGGCGTGCGTCCAGGAGGCTACAACAAACACATCGCAGGGTCATGTAATGACTGAATCCACAAGAAAGTGTATTATGACGGGTTTTCGGTAATCATATATCGTTTGTTTGTTTCTTTGTTTCTACGCTGCCAGTAATCTTCTACGTCACTGCGGCTGAAAATAATCGAGTCTTCACCAGTAAAGCCAGTGGCTGATAGTATGACCAACGCATTCTGGGAACAATGACACACATCCAAAAAGGTGTTTCATGAAAAGATTTCGGTAATAATATATTGTTTGTTTGTTTCTTTCTTTGTTTCAACGCTGCTAGTAATATTCTTTATCACTGCGGCTGGAAATAATCGAGTCTTCACAAGGAAAACCAGTGGTTGATAGTATGACCAACGCCTTCAGGGAACGATGACACACAGCCAAGTTGATACATAGCTTTGGCCGGCTCTAACGACAATCATTAAGTACCGAGGAACGTCATAAGTCAAGTTGTCTTCGTAGTAAACCTACACAGGCTACAGCGAGGCAAAGCGCTGCCGTGCAACTGTGTACAGGACATGGTAAGATAATATTTGACATTTTAAAAAATCTCGTAATCTCAGTCCACATGATGGCATATGATACAGAAATTCAAGAAATTAAAAAGAGAAACTTATACCGTGTATATATCTTGCGGCAAGTTCGAACACATCGTATGTGATGCGAAAAGACCGTGAAGGTTTTTGTGGTTCAAATGAAGTCAAATGCAAGGTGACGTCTTTGATCCTTCCGGGACATCCGAACCATCGGGTTTCGTGCAAGGTAAGTCTGGTTTCAGAAACTGATCAGTTAAAAGGGCAATGATGCCGGATGAAGAAAGCGGCATACTGTACCTGTATCAAGATGCACACGGGGGACCACTGAAAGATAAAACACTTGAGATTAGTGACGCCTTCATCTCGCCTCTTCATATCTTTTGATGGTATCATTTACATGGTAATTGAGTGAGTGAGTGAGTGAATGAGTTGGGTTTAACGCCGCCTTTAACAGTATTCCAGTTATATCGCGGTGTGTCAGCTTAATATGGGAGGAAAGCCCGAAGTGATGCAGGTCTCAGACGTTTACCACTTCGGTGAAACCCACGAGCACGGGTATGGTGCTGACAAACCTAGAAACATAATCAGGGCGAACCGGGATTCGAACCTACAATCATAGGTTTCTGCCTTAGACGCCAGCGCGCCCCCCCCCCCCCCCCCCCCCCCATGGTTATTGAGATTGTATACAATTGAACTGGCCTATTACAGAAGGTTTTGACAATTCCGTGAAATGCAGATGTAGTACATCACTGGATTCGGACGTCAAAGCCTTCATTCTGCTGATTGTGTTTCATAATGTGATTGGGGGCACGGGTGACCCAGTCATCTAAGGCGCCGCGATTCGCTGAGCAGAGTTGCGCCCCTTGGGCACGCCAGAAACCTATGAAAGTGGGTTCGAATCCCGGTTCGCCCCGATTATGTTTCTAGGTTTGCCAGCACCATGCCGTGCTCGTAGGTTTTACCGAAGTGGTAAATGTCTGAGACCGTCATCACTTCGGGCTTTCCTCCCACATTAGGCTGACACGCCGTGGTATAACTGGAATACTGTTAAAAGCGGTGTTAAACCCAGCTCACTCACTCACTATTATAATTTATGATCATGATTATTTATGTCCTTGAGTGAATGTTGTTTGTGGCAGAGTCATCACCATTCCACTTCACGCCACCAGTACAGTGACACCAAGGGCACACACTGTACCGATACCCTCATGAGTGACGTCACAAGAAGCCCATATACACCGGAGAAGATCGAGTGATCAGAAGGATTCCCCATGTCACGATGCATGGCTTGTAGGTGATGTTCGTGTATTCATATAGACGCTTGGCCAATGTTACGAGATACACAGGCAGTATAAATTAAAAAGCCTCAAGTTTGTCATGTTTCCAAAGCTAATAGACCCCTTCTTATTTTACTCAATTGACGCAAGTGTTTTGTGTGTATGCCCCTATGAGATCAACGATTTCACCATTAGGCAATTCCTTGAATTTTTTTCATTCAATCCTGGTCATTGGAAATTACCAGCACGGTTTGTCTGGCCCAAGACTTGATCATTTACAGGCACGTGTCATGTGCGGCGCAAAACAACACACACACACCAGTAAACGCAGCCATATTGCAAGTTTTCCAAAGTTGAACTTTTAGATTATTTTTGTTACATTCTACGATTCGACAGCGGCCAAGACTTGATCATTTACAGGCACGTGTTATGTGCGGCGTAAAACAACACACACACACACACACACACCAGTAAACGCAGCCATATTGCAAGTTTTCCCAAGTTGAACTTTTAGATTAATATTGTTATATTCTACGGTTCGACAGCGGCCAAGACTTGATCATTTACAGGCACGTGTCATGTGCGGCGCAAAACAACACACACACACCAGTAAACGCAGCCATATTGCAAGTTTTCCAAAGTTGAACTTTTAGATTATTTTTGTTACATTCTACGATTCGACAGCGGCCAAGACTTGATCATTTACAGGCACGTGTTATGTGCGGCGTAAAACAACACACACACACACACACACACACCAGTAAACGCAGCCATATTGCAAGTTTTCCCAAGTTGAACTTTTAGATTAATATTGTTATATTCTACGGTTCGACAGCGGCCAAGACTTGATCATTTACAGGCACGTGTCATGTGCGGCGCAAAACAACACACACACACCAGTAAACGCAGCCATATTGCAAGTTTTCCAAAGTTGAACTTTTAGATTATAATTGTTATATTCTACGATTCGACAGCGGCGATGCTTTGCATACATTTGTTGGGCTGGACTTTGTATTTCTCAGCACTTCACAGTACAGCACATGCCATTAGTTCTGACATTTCACGAAGTAGGGCGTCCAGCCACGACCTCATCATCAAAGTCCCGCTTCACTTGTACCGCATGTAATAGCACACATAATTCTCGCACTGCCTCAAGTGGCTGATTTCGTCATTATTCTATATAATTACATACCAGCTTCTATGGATAGATAATGAGAAATATTCACCAAGTCCTGATAAGCGACATTACTCTTCATGTTTTTCATATTTCATAACTGCTGACATTCAGGTTATCGTTCTGTTATAACATGTGGCAGTTCATTGGGTTTTTTCCCCAGTGAAACAAAATCCTTTTGCTTGGAAGATAATTGGTCTGTCCTTTAGCCCTAGTTGAAACTTCTTGAATTGAACGTGATATATGTTACATTTTGTTTGTTGTTTAACCCCTCACTCAGCAATATTCCAGCTATATGGCGACGGTCTGTAAATAATTGAGTCAGAACCAGACAATCCAATGATTGACACCTTTAGCATCTATGAAGATTGGGATTCGATGACATGCATCAAGTCAGATAGCCTTTCCACCCGATCCTTTTTGTAGCAACTTACGACCTTACGCTGGGGACCAATTCTAACCAGGAATCCCAATGCGGGGCAAATATATAAGTGGGTTATTATATATACATACATTCTGTGTGCATTTTCACTTTGAAACAATCGGCATTTCTCCTCCTTGGTTCGGAATTAACAAATATTGTTATGTAAATGATACTAATCGCTCTCCGAGCGAGATTGCATCTTAAGTCTCTAAACTTAAAGCTTTCAATTAATCCGCCTACCTCGCATCCGTCTTTCTCCCAAACGACAACAGAATGCGTGGATTGGCCATATTGAAAATCGGATTCGGACCTCTTGAACAAACTTAGGTATCATCATCAGGGCCCACTTGCACAAAACGATCTTAGCGCTAAGACTATTGTAAGCCTATGTTAAAGTATGGGACTTAAGATCATCTTAGCGCTAAGATCACTTTGTGCAAGTGGGCCCAGGAGTGAAAAGCATGTGAAGTTTCAGGTTTCAGCTTAAGTGTATTCTGAAGAAACTCTGTTTGCAGAGCCCGGAGCTCATTGGAAGAGAGCAGCCAGCTCAAATCAGGGTCCAAAGTTAAAAAAAAACCCGAAACATACATCTGGAGCCCCACTGCTTACTACACTTACAGAGAAATTCACAACAGTTTGAGCAATGGCAATTAACAGGTGTTTATATACATATAATAATAATAATTGATTTGTAAAGCGCCTAATATCCATCGACATTTGCTCACTGGCGCTGTGACAAGGTTAAAAAGTAATATCTATGTACATATGCCAACAATTAGGAGATCTATTGAAAAGCTGAGGTGAAGAAGTGGGTTTTGAGGAGAGACTTAAATGTTTCCTTAGAAGCAGAGTTTCTCAGATTCAAAGGCAAAGCGTTCCATAACTGTGGACTGCAAAAGGAGAAGGCACGGTCAGACATAGCAGAAGTAGACAGAGGCTGATACAGTAGAGTTCCACCAGAGGATCGGAGAGCACGCTCTAGAGTGTACAGAGATATAAGATCTTTGAGATAGTCTGGATAGTCGCGGATTCGATTCCTTGGTCAAGTCATCATTGGTGGAAACACGCGTGTGAAGTGGTTTACTGGTTTCGTGGTGTCTGAGGAGAAGGTATCTACAGACACTGGACAACCAGGCCATGACATAATCTCACTTGACTTTCAGGTCAGGTGAGCGAAAATGGAACATGATCGCATGAACTCAGCTATACAATATACAGGAACCAGTGATCACTTTGCTTGTGGACTTTGCTAAGTGTGTTCTGTACACACTGGTTTTATATATTGCGGAATAAAATAAGTTCACTTAATATCCAGTTTCACGTGCGCGTTGCTGACCTGTCAACTTGATCTTAGCCTTGACCTTTCCACCAGCCAAACAGTGGTACGTAGCGGTGTCGTGCAGAGCGATGGGGGAGATCTGTAGAACGTTGTCGGCGTGGAACAGGACTCTGTCATCAGTGCTGTTGACGTCAATAACTCGGGAGTTGTTCAGCCACACCACCGGGGTATCCACGGGAACGCTGCAGACATTAATGTTATTCCCCGTTACAGTCGGTGAGGGAGGGAATGGATCTCTTGTTATCTATTTAACGCCGCACTCCAATACACGAACAACATGACGGCGACCTGTAAATACTCGACTTTGGACCAGACAAACCAGTGATTGATAGTATGAGCATGGTTCCCCGCCGTCGTATTGGTGACCAACTCGTGTCATTCCGGAACAAGCCGAAAGCATGTTACGGAAAGTGGCGGGTTGTGACAAATGACGCCGTCAGTGTATGATGGCACGCAATCAATCCAACCACAAACATTTTAACGTTCACAATGTCTAGTGAATTACTGCCTCAGAATGAACAAGAACACTACTGTGACGTTATAATTGTTTAAAAGAAGCGAGCAAAGCACTTCGAGTGTCGTTAGTTTCTGTTGAGGTATGGCGTTACCAAGTCCAAGGGTTAGATCGTTTAAAGAAACCTGACACATTGGCATTAATTACCACTGGCCCCCAGTCTCAGATAACTTTAACCACAGCCTATTTTGTCCAACATCTGTGTAAGCATTCCACAACTAGTCGTGTGGATTTCAACCATATGTGACATAATTAGCAGTATAATCTATATATCTACAAAAGCTATATTTGCCTGTCATCGATTCATCATGGTTGAGAATAAGATTGAGAAGTAGGAACGTTCTGGGTACCACTCACTCATGACAAGTTAGGTTCACTGAAGAGCCTTCGTCCTTCGTCATTGCCCGCCACTTCTTCACCTTGGCTTCAAACAGAGAGCAGTATCCGTGATAACTATTCGTCAATCTGGCATTGATAGCAACTAATATACCAATATGTATGTGGCTAGGATGGTAGGTTGGATTGATATTGTGAGCAACGATCCACGCTGTCGGGTACGATGACACTCAATGAACCAAGTCACCAAGCTTGACCACCCGATCCATTTGGTCGCCTCTTACGGCAAACATGGGTTGCCCGGGACCAGTTCTAACCCAGAATCCCCACGAAGGTATGTTACTAACCATCTTCCCGAGGCAAGTGATTTAACTTACTATAAAAGTCCAGTTTCCAGATTTGCCGAACTAGGCTGGTATTATGGAGTTACATTTTGGCTGGACTAACGAGTCTATGCATAGTCCAATCAAAATCGCGCACCGAAATCGAAATCCGGTTCGTAAACTGTCATGCAGATTTTGGTCGATTGCAGGATTTGCAAAGCATGTGCACCGCCAACTCGTTGTCAGCAGATATTTTCCAAATCTTTTCATGTTTTTAATCAAGGTGCTCACGTGATTTGATGCATTTCGCGATGTAAGACCCGTTTTATCACAATATAGATCTTGATTATCGATCAGATCGTCCTTATTTGGCGCCACCATTTTGTGTGAAGCAAACGCAGTGATAGAGAGGTGGAATCTCATTGGTCCATAGGGGACCTAACTGGTAATAGCCACTGGTGGCGCTACAGTCGAGCCCAGTAATTACAGCCTAGTTCGGCAAGGGTGAAAACTGGACTTTTTAAGTCGGTTAACTCTCTTGCCCCGAGAAGATGGTTACTAACGAACTTCTTTCTTTTCCAGAACTCTTAAAAAACATGTTCAATCGACTTACACTATCAGGCAATATCATATCTATTATCTAGTATTTGACACATTTAAAGTGTCTGACTATTTCGTGTGTCATTGGCCCAGATACAGCCATTTGTCCTGCAGTCCCAAGGCCTGTGAAGCTCTTATTGGACCACTTCTTTTCTCCCTAATTCTAGATATATCACATAAGCCACTATGACTGTGTTGGATTTAACTCATGAGGGGTTGATTGATCACGTATTTGTTTTCATTTTAGTTGTTTATATTGTGCAAAGTGGCAATCGTGTTTTTATCTGCGGACAGGCAGCCTAAAACTTAAGCATGTAGTTTTACAAAATGAAACTCATTGTGGCAGGTATTTTCACAATTAGCACTAGTCTAGGGCAGGCTTGGGTAATGTCCTTATTTGCAACCCAAACTAGGTGCATACTATTATTTCGAATTTGACAATATATCTATTACAGGATTACCTTTGCCTTTTCCAAAGGAGAGTGTTGTTTTGATTCCATCGGGAGAAATTGCACCCTTGTTTGTGTTATTCAACCCCATCAAGCCTGAAAAAGAACGCTTGATTACACCATAGTTGAAATAGATTTAGTCTTCTGTTAATGGTAAGTAGGTAAGTAAGTAAGTACCTGCAACGCAGGGTACTTCGCAGAACTCAGCTTCGATTTCATCTGGCCTCGGTTTGATTGCCTGATGTCCGTGAAACAGTGATGATCGACACGGAACACCGACAGGATATGACGTCATTACGGCGTTGATATACCACGGCTTGCACTTCCTCTGTTGATCGATCTTCTTGATGTAGCAAATACCTGTAAAACAGGTTAGTGTCATTTTAGAATTCAACATCATAGTCTAAAAGATGTAAACAAACATTTTTTTTTTAAATCTTTATCTCGCACATGTATAATGATATGTGTAAATACGAAATACATAAATAATTTTTAAATATTTTTTAAAACATTCCTAGATGTAAAATATTAGACGAAACATGTTTGTGTTATTCGAGCACAATGATCAATTGGAAACAAAATATATGATATGAGTAATTGTTAGATAGATGTGAACAGTTTTTGTGTGTGTTTTTTTTAATGCCATATCTTTGTCTCACACCTGTGTAATGATATGTGTACATACGAAATGCATAAATCATTATGAAAATATTTTTTAAAACATTTTTAACTGCAGATTGCAGAACACAAAACACATTCTCAGTCTCTGCCACGGGGACAGGCGGCAAACGTTGACCCTGTTTTGTGGAAGGTATGATCACCTTTGTACAGCGTGAATAGTTGACGTGTCAGCCTACTGGAGTAAACACACAGGTCGCTCATTAACAGGGAGGTAAGTATGATTCATGGTTATTTAAAAACTACGCACCCACTTCGTGTCTCCATTCATCTAGTTAATTATAAAATAATATTACCACGATGTAACTATTACTTTAAAAATATTAATTATGAAAAATTATTGAATACTTTACCAGTGTAGACATACAAAATATTTTTATGCCATTCCGTCCAGCCATTGTATCACTGCCATAACTGTTCGTTCAATTCTAGACAATGCAACAGATGGTTTTATGCCATTCCTTTCAGTTCAAACATTTATCATGTATACCACTATGATTGTGTCAACTCAGTACCTCTTGTTCCTTTAAACAATAACATGTTTCAGGAAGTCTTTGCTATGAAAACAAATTACCAATTTTATGTAAAGATATGTTTGTTTTCTATTTTTATATTACATATGTATTTAAACTCAAATGTGTCATGTTCTCATTCCTGATTCTAAAGGTACCACATGCAAATTACAATATGTTTCCACCTTCTGGGATACACACGTGCGCTCCATGACAGTACAGATACTTGCATCAGTAGGTAGGTATGCTACAAGAGTTCTTCGCGCCGTGTTGATCCTCTGGATCAAAGTTATCTTGTCTGTTAGGAGGTTGGGATAATGGTTATCTGTTCCACGGCTGATTTTACATTTGTTTACATTTAGTGAGTGAGTTAAGTTTTAACATCGGCATTATTTAGCGACTGTTTAATAAAATGATATACTACTCAAAATAAGTTAAAGAACATAATTACTATAGTTAAACTGCCATAGCATGATACCGCATTAACTACAGTTTAATTAAGAATCGGGTGTTCTTTAACTTCTTTTGAGTAGTATACTGTAGATCTGGAAAGTATTGCGCCGTGAAGTTACTGCCTTGATAGCCTTAACTGCATCTGGAACGTTTTGCGACACCCTGTTGTTAGATTACCAGGGTGTCGCAAAACGTTCCAGATGCAGTTAAGGCTATTGTAAACCACTGGCACAATACTTTCCAGTTATTAGATTACCAGATCCGTGAAGATCCGGGGTAGAATAGGTCTTCAGCAACCCATGCTTGCCGTAAAAGGTGACTATGCTTGTCGTAAGAGGCGACTAACGGGATCGGGTGGTCAGGCTCGCTGACTTGGTTGATGCATGTCATTGATCCCAATTGTTTGGATCGATGCTCATGATGTCATTCACTGAATTGTCTGCTCCAGACTCGATTATTTACAGACCGCCGTCATATAGCTGGAATATTGCTGAGTGCGGCGTTAAACAACAAACAAAGAAACAAATATTAAATTACCAAATATCAAAGCTACTTGTGCAGGTAGGAAGTAGGAAGATATGATGAAAGGGTAACTCAGTGTCAGTCAGTAATTTTAAAACTAAGGATGCATGAGTTGTAGTTGACAAGGGAGGTTGGAGTAGCGTGTTTAGCTGACAGAAGAGACGTATGTGAATATGGCTGGTGTATGTCTGGATTACTCGGTTATGTCAACGACTGGACCAGCATGACAGGTTAGTGAACTGTCTAGGGTTCCAGCGTACTGAAATCAGGTGCGTGAAGCGCTGCCACCAACCTAGTCTCTTCTTCTTCCCGACACGACCACACACGTTGCACACGCCCCACTTCTCCCAGGATGTGGTCATCACCAGGTTGTGATTGGCTGAAAGGTGAATGAATGAGTGAGTATGGCTTTAAGCCGCGTTTAGCACTATTCCAGCAATAAACACCTGAAATGGGCTTCAAGGTTGATAGCCATGTTGCCCCTCTCCCACCACCCAGTGATGAACAGTGAGTGAGTGACTGAGTATGTTTTTTACAAGTGATGAAGAGCACTGTGTACATGGTGGTGATGCCTCCAATGAATCCAGACTAGTACAGACAATACAACACTATGCAACGACAATTACGCTCTAGGTGAGATATCAATGTCCGAGTCAAAATGTAGGACAACAGTTTGTTTCAGCGCGATTCCACTAACAGATTACTTCCTTTTTGCGTTGACAAAATAACATCGTGTTAAACGTTTAGAAGCAAATAGGCAAATAGCCAAATATAACCCCTTTAAGTGATGCTCGCTTGCTTCCATAGATGCGGCACACTGATTAACGTCATTGTCATAGGTGTAGAGTTTTGAAAATGGTCTTTAGATAGCGTCTTTTCAGAAAGTAGATATTTTTCCCTAAAACTGACCACTCCATCCATCCACAGATACTGGGGTGCTTCATTGGACCTTACTGACATTCAACATTGTTGACCAAAGTACTTCATTAATGTTTGACTTACCGTAGGACCTTCCTTTTTCTGACAAAATACATGTAATGCCTTATGTTTTGACTTACCGTAGGTCCTTGCTTTTTCTGATAATGTACATGTAATACTAATGTTTTGACTTACCGTAGGTCCTTGGCTTTGTTGGTAATGTACATGTAATACCTAATGTTTTGACTTACCGTAGGTCCTTGGCTTTGTTGGTAATGTACATGTAATACCTAATGTTTTGACTTACCGTAGGTCCTTGGCTTTGTTGGTAATGTACATGTAATACCTAATGTTTTGACTTACCGTAGGTCCTTGGCTTTGTTGGTAATGTACATGTAATACCTAATGTTTTGACTTACCGTAGGTCCTTGCTTTTTCTGATAATGTACATGTAATACCTAACGTTTTTACTTACCGTAGGTCTTTGGCTTTGTTGGTGATATCTAATATCAAACCTGTTTTATATTATTATACCATTATGATGACGTCACACTATTATTGTTGTAGTTTATACTGAGCCATAGATTTAAAGGCAATGGATTCTGAACGTGCTTTGTGCTGTACAAAGGATGCAACTGTAGGTCATTACGCAAAGTTATAGAGAAACTATATATCAACCATAACAGTGTTTAAGAGGCAGAAATCACTTGAATCCGGAATCAACAGATTCTCATGGTTTCTCTGACTTACCGTAGTTTCTTGGTTTTGCTGGAACCATCGCAGGGTCCTTGGATGACCTAGATACTGAAACATGACAATGACATTTCAAGTCCGTCATTATGCAACCGTTCGTCAAAATATACATGTCTTGTATACCTTTACACCGACAATGCTTTTGCGAGAGGCGTTAGGAAATTTTCATGAGCACATAAACTTTCGACAGGAAATTCTTCCTTATCAAAACCATTTATGAAAAGAAAAAGTTGGGACATTTTGGATGAAAATAAGTGAAGTTCCTAAAATATTAAACCATCACTGACGTACGTTTACCCAGTGTGTATCAACGCTAAGACAGCTTAGACACAATCAAGTTCAAGTTACTTCCATCTAATATCTACCGAAAATAAATTATTTAGTACAATATGTTAGTTCCAAATAATGGTTGACGGCTCATCTGAAACTCGGTTTGAGAATATTATTAAACCACCCACGCTTATCTGTAGACTTAAATGTCAAATTTTATGTACAGATATATAATATATACAAAAGACAACTCCTAACAGTTTAATACGAGACAAGCTGTATATTGGTAGTTTTTTAGATGTGAATATGAGAACAATTGCATTATTCCAACAGTGCTCGTATAGTATAACATTGTAATTAAATTGTATACTAATAAAAAAATGCATATTCCAATTTTTATAAATAATTGACAAAACAGCCGCAAAAATCAAATTGAGTTGTTCTGTGTATTTAGGCATGATACAACCAAACAGAACCATGTCATTTTGTCACACAGTCATTCTTTGTCAAGCGAATAAATATTTACTGCTGCAATCGTTTCCTTGTCCTTCGAGTTAAACCGTTGGTTCAGAGGGCAAGGTCGTCGTATTAAATTCAAATCAACCCGTTCATCGTCTTAGGCGATAATGCCTACACACCATCAATCAATAGGACATTTCCAAAAAAAACCAAGTGATTCAACACTGACAGGAATGTTTACCCGTCTGATATCCGGGTAATAACCTCTCAGCCTGTTCAACAACTGCCCTGATTGTCACTGCTAGTATTACCGCGCCACTTCGCCCGGTCGGGCTCTAGTTTGATTCGACAAGATAGATTGTTTTACCATAGTAGACACTCACCATTTGCCAGAGAATCGCTTCATAACACTGCTGTTTTCACCAATATAAGATAAACCTACCTAAAATGGTAGAATAGAGGCTGGGTTCTTCTCTGCATACAGGGGGGCACGGGTGGCCCAGTCGTCTAAGGCGCCGCGATTCGCTGTGCAGGGTTGCGTCCCTTGGGCACACCAGAAACCTATGATTGTGGGTTCGAATCCCGGTTCGGCCCGATTATGTTTCTAGGTTTGTCAGCACCGTAACCGCGCTCATGGGTTTCACCGAAGTGGTAAACGTCCGAGACCTGCATAACTTCTGGCTGACACGCCGTGTACTGTTAAAAACGGCGTTATAAACCCAACTCACTCACTCACTCACTCTGTAAACAGACATACGCTTGGCCTGTATCTATACGAGTGAGTGAGGTTTTTTTAACGCCGCTTTGAACAGTATTCCAGTTCTATCACGGCGTGTGGGATGAAAGTGATGCAGGTCTCAGATGTTTATCACTCTGGTGAAACCGGCGAGCACGGGTATGGTGCTGACAAACCTAGAAACATAATCGTGGACCGGGATTCGAACCCACGAACATAGATTTTTGGCGCCCTCAGGGGACGCAACTCTGCACAGCAAAACAGCCTTGACGACTGGGCCACTCGTGTTTTGAATGAAACTATTAAGTATATCTTCCCCACTTTTTATTATAAAAACGTAAAAGTCCTAAACACGTTTGATTTGGGGGAATACTGTGGGTAGTAAGGCTTTGCTCCGTTTAAGATTTATTAACAATCCTATGCCTATCTAGCATGTCTTGTACACCAAAACACATTTTTACAGTGTGTTTGTTACATTTATATCAAACTAAACATTTGATAGTGCCTACCAACATGTTCTTTATAAGAATAACCCTAATGCATGCAAATTATATCAAATATTTTGCCAAGTTCCAATACAAACTTAAATCATCTAATTTGTCCCCATAGCCTTGTTCTTTTCAACTTGTAGACCATACTTTGATTCTTATGTGACATCCAAGAACTCAGCTGTGCAGTCATCCCTACAGCTTGTCTGCCTGCCGCGTGCCTAGCCGATACACTGCTCGCGTCCGGTGTCAAACCCCTGAGCGACCTGCCTTAGCAAGGTATGACCCAATTTAGGTTTGGTTGACCAACGTTAACAAGATGTTCCGTATGATTATATGTGATTGATACAGCTGTTTGTGTCTCTCAGGTATGTATGGCTGGAGGCTACTTGATATTGATACATGTATTCTAACAAATGTGACAAATGAAATTTCATTTGTCGTTAGTGACAAACTAAAAAAAAAGAAAAATCCCTTCTGTTATTCGACCAACGTCAAACTTCCGTTGACCAAAGTCGCCCATACCTACTGAACCAGTAAGGTATAGGGTACTCCTAACGACGACATCGTGGGTTTCATTTATTGATAGTCATGAATAAAAGCATTTTGATGAATATGATCAACTAGAAATTAATAGTATGTACACTGTAAAAATGTGTTTAGATCCTAAACACAAACTTAAACACGGTACTGCTCCCTAAATTTGGACATGTTTAGGATTGCATTTAATGGGGATACAGAAGTGTGAGTGAGTGAGTGAGTGAGTGAGTGAGTGAGTGTGTGTGTGTGTGTGTTAGTGTGTGTGCTGGGTTGGGTGGGGTTGGGTTGGGAAGCAATTTTAGCAGTATAAATTTAATTTGGATTAACTTGTGGATGAGTGGTGGTAACTGCTAACTCAAGGGTCTGTCGTAATCAGATACACTTTCATCGTCAGCTTCCTGTATGAAAGAAATACTACCAGTCATACTGCAACAACATATTTATGAAAGCATAGATTTTTACACTTCGGCGGGATACGAACCTGCAACTTATTGATTTGTAGTCCTTCTAGGTGACAACTGTGCTACGGAGACTGTAGACACGAGTCAGTTTTCCTAGTCATTAACCGAGTTGGGTTAAGTTGTAGACCATAATTAATGTTACTTTCTGCTGGTGTATGTGTTATGCAAGTACATGTGAATCTGATTTGCACATCTAATTTCAATATATATTATGCATCTTAGCCATATTTGATTTTTTTCCTAATGATATGCACTTTATTGAAAGATGCTTAAATCCTAAAATTGGAAACACGTTTAAATCTTAACATGTTCAAACATATTTAGAATCTAAACATGTGTTAACGTGTTTAAATCCTGAACATTGTGTTTGTTTTGTTTAGACTGCGGGACGAAACATTTCATGTGTTTCAACCTAAATGCATTTAGATAGAACACATCATATGTGTATTCCGTTTAGGACATTCCTAATCATGTTTAGATATAAACAGGTCTTGTCTGTGTTTACAGTCTAATCACATTTTTTTACAGTGTATGTATTCTGATACGCGTCAGGAAAATTTAACTTTGGGCTGATGATAAAAATACCTGAGAGTCAATCATACAACTTTAATGGAGACTTTGCATCTCTGATCGTCTACGCGTTGGTTAGAACTACCGTATTCTTTTACATGCAAAAATAAATAAATAAATAAATTAAAAATAATCTTTTTACATGCATTAAATAGAAAAGATACAATAGCAGCTAGCACACGTTGACCTCCTGTAGTTGTGTTATAGCAATACAAATGGCTGGAGTGTTTCTCCATCTCGTGGCAGCCTTTTTGTATTTCTAATTCTGCGGTTTAATTCGCGTACTGCCCTTAGTTATGCTTTTACTAATGAAACGTACGTACTGATTCCAGTGTCCCTGGAGACCTACCGTTGCCTGGCTACGTCACTGAAATATGGCGCCACCTCTAACACTATTTGACATCTACCATTAAATACCTGTGTATATTATGTATGTAGAATAGACTAAACTCTGTGTGGGTGTTAAAGATAACGGTTTGCAGTATATTCCAATACTTTCGTCACGTTTTGACGCAGTTATTCTCAAAGACGTGATTGTATACATTGATTGTATATTGATTCTCATTACTAGTACGTCATTGACGCCGCTCTCGGCATCAGTTGTCCACTCACTTTCCCTCACAGCCATCTGCGACGTCAGCAACACTGCAACACACACCAATGCTCAGAGTCAGGTGGAATCTTACATACACTTTAAACAGTTATGGAGTCCCGTTTGTCACGATTTGCTATGGTAACGGCCAATTACTGTTTATTGTGGTGTATTAAGAAAGCACAAGGAATAAGGGAAACATAGTACTGATAAATGTATTATTAATAAGGTTCAGTGCTATGATGCACTCCCCAGAATCAAAATAGAAAACTCGGTTATTCTATTCGAGTAGTGTTTTCACAAATCTTGTAGCGACTTCATAAAATGATATTCATATCCTAGCGTTTCCTTTCAGTCACGATCTAGTCAAAAATAAAATTAATTAAAATACTGTATACGTAAACTATCATCGGTGTGTGTAGGTACGAGTCTAAAGATATCAGTTCAGAAACGGTTGGTTGGTTAGTTTGTTGTTTTACGCCGCACTCAGCCAATATTTCAGCTATATGACGGCGGTCTGTAAATAATCGAGTCTGGACCAGACAATCCAGTGATTGATATCATGAGCATCGATCCACGCAATTTGGATCGATGACACGTATCAACCAATCAGCGAGCCTGACCATCTCGTTAGTTCAGAAAGGGAAACGAATGACGCCTTTACAGTACATAGCAAAGAGTCGGTATTCGGGTAGAGTAAATCAGATGGATATTACTAGTCGGAGCAAAGCCTCTTATTAATTATGTACCACCTATACGCACATTTAGCACAAAACATATTCAAATCCTGAAATGCTTACAAACGGGTATATAACTGGTCGTGTGTGTTGCGTCGCGTGATCTTCATTCATATGTTAACGGATTGTAACTTGAGAGGCATTTTATATATTCAGCTATTCATAAACCGGCACACTATTCATAAACCAGTCCATTAATAATAGTATATATATAGCGACATTTCATAAACCAGTCAATTATTTATTTAACGACTATTCATAAACCAATCCACCAGCCTTTGTTTACGTTTCCATCAACGAACCTTGTTTTTTACTGTGAGGCACATTCCAAAATTCGGCCAATACCTTGTAATTAATAATAACCCGACGAGGAGCGCTTTTATGTTTCTGATTTTATTATGTATTTCTGTTTTATTTCAGGGAATGCATTTTTAAATATATTATGTATAACCTGTTTATATATGGTCTCTTGCAATTGTTTTAGAATGGCTTGTGTAGTTTTATCATAGATGTATATTATTTTATGTATATATAGCTGTACATGATGTGTCTGTCTGTCTGTCTTCCAATGACCTTTATACAGTAAACTACGGTTATAACGAACACGCTTATAACGAACTGACGGATATAACGAACTTAGTTTTTGGTCCCGACTATTTGCTGTAGTTATGCTGTATATATGCTTATAACGAACTTCGGTTATAACGAACTAAAATTAGTAGTCCCTTTGAGTTCGTTATAACCGTACTTTACTGTATAACAATTCTCCGCATATACCCACCATCAAAATGATACATGAACCGGAACGTCCCATTGTCAGAGAGGAAGCTGTAAATACTTTCGTCAGCCATAGACATCTGGATCTTCTCGTCCTTCTTCGTATAGTCTCGGCAGAAATAGGTGCCCATGTCACCTTGAGAAAAACATGGATTCTTTAAAAAACGAATCTTGTAAGTGTCCATCTGTGTTAACATGTTCTCAGACAGAGTCAAGAACGATGAAAGAAAAACACGAATCGTTAAAATCTGGGAAGTGTGTTTCCGGTGTTGATGTGATTGCGGTGGGGTATGGAAGTAGTGAACTTGACTATATCACTCTAACTTACTAACATGCTACATTGTCCATAACTGACACACGTTTTTTTGTTTATTGTTTAGCGCCAATATTCTAGCTGTACGACTTCGACCTGTAAGTATTCGAGTCTGGACTAGACAAACCAGTGACTGCTTAGGTGGATCCAGAGGGGGGCGACTCCCCTTTGAAAACCAAATGTAGTATTTTGTAGGCAGTAAAGGTGACTGAGGGAGGATTTCGATATTTTGGATCCTCCCTATTTTGGATCCGCCCTAGAGTGACTGTTGTTATGAGAAATGATCCATGTCGTGGGGATGCCATGTCACAAATCCAACTGATCATGACCTCCGGGTCCATTTGTCGCCTCCTTCAAGCATAGGTTAGTGGGGACCTAATCTAATCGGGTACCCAACGTGGGTATACAGTCTCTCTGCCACTGTTCACACAACCAGAGCAATCATGATGAACAGCCCAAGGCTGAATATACATAAGGAGATACGGGTTGGCAAGTGGTCTCAGGTTCGCAGAGCCAAACCAATGGCCAATGGTCAGTCAGTGTCACTGCAGTGGTCAACGTCTAAAACCTGCATCACTTCGCGCTTTCCTCCCACTTGACACAACTGAAATATTCACCAAAGCGGCGCAACAATCACTCATACAACCGTGAATACGTCTTCAGCATCCCATTCTTGTCGTAAGAGGCGACTATGCTTGTCGCAAGAGGCGACTGGCGGGATCGGGTGGTCAGGCTTGCTGACTTGGTTGATGCATGCCATCGTATCACAATTGCGTGGATTGATGCTCACGATATCAATCACTTGGCTGTATGGTCCAGACTCGATTATTTACAGAGTGCCGTCATTTAGCTGGAATATTGCTGAGTGCGGCTTTAAACACGAAACAAACAAACACACATTCACTTATTCATTCAATGAGCATAATAAACATAGGATAAATAAAGTTCTCATATATCATTATAGGGACAACGTAGTGACAATAGTACAATGTTTCAGTGAAACTAAAAGAATATTGATCATGCTCGAGGGTTTCACCAAAGTGGTCAGTGTGCAAGACCTGCATCACCTCGTGCTTTCCTCCCACATCAAACTGAAGCACCGTGATAGTTGCAATACTGTTCAAAGGGGCGTAAACTGAACTCACTCACTCACAAACAAAGATCCACAGAGAGAGAGAGAGAGAGAGAGAGAGAGAGAGAGAGAGAGAGAGAGACAAACATAGTAGCGCGCACAAACACACACACACAATCTTTCGAATTCCGAGGCAAATGTCTCTGACTCTGTAAATGCTTTATACAATACATGTTTGTTTCCATATACCGAAACCTGGGCACTTTCTGCTATTTTATCTGCCGTCGGATTCCTTCAGGGATTGACATTCACATTGTGGAACAAAGTAATTGTACTTTTAACACTAAATGCTTCGTTAGTACAGAGAACGCTAATTTGAGTATTTTTGCCGGCAAAGTGGTTGCACCGCATCGATCAGAGGAGTATTTCTTCCACATCTTTTGATCCGATGTAATGGCTTAAAGTAAGGTAATGACCTTGAGTCAATTTACTGTCTCTGGTCAGGTGGCCTCTGACGGTTTATTTGTCCAGAGGCTGTATTTATAGATGACCGAGATCATTTCAAAAGATTTTGATGAATCGGATATGTGGCTCATTAAAATCTCTTCCGGTGGTTCTTCCGGGGTTCATTTTCAATCACGTAGTACCCTCACCAAAGTAGTGGGTGTCACAGCAGGAACGCAGAAACACAGTAACAACAAAACGGGAAAGCAGTAACGAAGCAACAAAGCAAAGTAACAACACAGTAACGTAGGAACACAGTAGCGCAGCGACACAGTAATAAAGCAACAGGAACACAGTAACGAGAACACAGTAATGCAGCAACACAGTCGCGCAGTCATGAAGAAATGCAGCAACACTGTCACGCAGTAATGCAGCAAAACAGAAGTGCAACACAGTAACGCAGCGCAGTAATGAAGAAATACAGTAATGCAGCAACACAGTCGCGCAGTAATGCAGCAAAACAGAAGTGTAACGCAGCGCAGCAATGAAGAAATACAGTAATGCAGCAACACAGTCACGCAGTAATGCAGCAAAACAGAAGTGCAACACAGTAACGCAGCGCAGTAATGAAGAAATACAGTAATGCAGCAACACAGTCACGCAGTAATGCAGCAAAACAGAAGTGAAACACAGTAACGCAGGGCAGTAATGAAGAAATACAGTAATGCAGCAACACTGTCACGCAGTAATGCAGCAAAACAGAAGTGCAACACAGTAACGCAGCAACAGTGTCACGCAGTAATGAAGAAATACAGTAATGCAGCAACACACTCACGCAGTAATGCAGCAAAACAGAAGTGCAACACAGTAACGCAGCAACACAGTCACGCAGTAATGAAGAAATACAGTAATGCAGCAACACACTCACGCAGTATTCCAGCAACACAATAGTGCACCACAGTAACGCAACAACACAGTCACGCAGTAATGAAGAAATACAGTAATGCAGCAACACAATCACGCAGTAACCAGCAAAACAGAAGTGCAACACAGTAACGCAGCGCAGCAATGAAGAAATACAGTAATGCAGCAACACAGTCACGCAGTAATCCTACGACACAATAGTGCAACACAGTAACGCAACAACACAGTAAAGCAGCAACACGGTAACGCAGGAACACAGTAGCACAGCTATACAGCAACATAGCAACGCAGCAACACGGTAATGCAGCAACACAGGAACGCAGTATTCCAGCAACACAATAGTGCAACAGTGGCAGCTTGATATGCGAGGGAAGCTCGACGTCATGCAGGCCTAGACGTTTACACTTTAAATTTGTTGAAACCACGAAAGTACACATATGGTCTTGATCAACAAAGAATCTTGGATTCGAACTCATGTCAACTAGGATTCTGGCACGCGTATTGGGCGCAACTCTGCTGGCATACCAAGGGTCATAATCGAGCCGAGTCTTCAGACTAAAACACGATTAGCGGATTTTGCCGGCGCCTGAAACCACTGAGTCACTCCTGCCTTTTGAGCTACAAAAGTCTTGAAGCGGTCGTTACATGTACACTATGTGCTGACCGCAGTGTACAATTTTCACCAACTCAATACGGTTCTGCTAACCTTTCCTAGCCTGCTTGATGTAGAGAGTGTGGTCAGCGCCGATGTAAACTCGGTTCTTCGACTCGTCGTCATGCATATCCAGTTCAACCTCCTTGAGAGCGTACTTTCCTGATGTCCTCTGTCGAGTCAAGCGATACCATGCCATAGACACAAATTTTGTTGTTTTGTCACCACTGAAACCATAGATTATCCATTATCATGACAAAGAACCGTTTTATATAGTTTTCTATTCCCTTTAGTCTGTCATACAGACCCTGAAACAAATATATCCAATACAGCCCATGCAAGTCTATAATTTTGAGCAAGTCTAGATTACAGCAGTATCAGTATCTGAAAATGAAGAGATTTTATTATATTTCATAACTATAATTTAACAACTGTTTTTATCAGTATAAGGTGTTCATTTCCGAGATTAGGTGTCAGTCAAAATTCCCTTCTGCCACTAGCATCTTTCCGGAAGGCTGGAATGGTTGAATTTGTTTAGGCTTATTCAATAAACACTGTTACCTTATTCGACTTAATAAGCGCCCCGCTCTAATAAGCGCCCACGGCGATATTTGCTAATATATTGGCTAGTGAACACTCCCAATAAGCACCCCTTCCGATTGATCAATGTACACAAGACTTATTTATTCGCGCATAATACGCACTCGTGTGTTATATGCACCCTTAATTATGGGCAATTAAATTCTGGAAAAATATGTCTGTCGTATATAAACATTTCAGGCTGTCAGCATAGACCACGAATTTTATCTTTTAACTCTGTTTTTCCCACCAAAATAATATTCTAATAATGGTCTAGTAATATTTGTTGTTTAACGCCACACTCAGCATTTTTCCAGCTATAACTGGACAAGACAATCAGTGATTGATATAATACGCAATGATCCACGTCGTCGTCTCACTTTCTGACTCACATTTATAATCTGTGGTTCAGTTGCCACGTGTACTGATGTCACTATTGCTCAGTTCAATAATCGAATAATATATACATGTACGTTTGTTTACTTTCAATACTTTCTTTAAACAATTATTAAAAACATAACATTATTACACATTATAGTCACCAATCAGATATTTATCCATCATGAATCATATATATTTTACCATCATTCACTATACAAACAGGAACTTACTTTAAAATGCAAATTTCTGGAAAATACATAAAAAGTATGAAATCTATACTATCAAGGAACATCAATGATTCATTTGGAACATCAATGATTGATTTAGAACAAAACGATTATAGTCAATGATATTATGACCATCATTCTTGATATTTCAATTGATGATGAATACCAAACATTTGCCCGTACCCCGGGGCAAATCCGTTTTGACCAATAAACTGCCCCACCGTCCTTACCAATAGTGGCAGGTGAACTGAGTGGCCTCCCCTTCCTCCACCATGCTGACCAACTGTATGGGCAGGTTATTAGCACCTCGTCTCATCATTTGGATATTCCTAAGACATCTTGGTTGTTTTCTCTCTGCAGAAGAAAAGTCCACGAAACTCATTTTTCATTAAACAAGTCAATCTGGGAATGTCACTGGGAGACCTGTGAAGATCCGGGTTAGAATAGGTCTTAAGCAACCCATGCTTGCTGTAAAAAGCGACTATGCTTGGAGTCAGAGGCGACTTACAGGATCGGGTGGTCAGGTTCGCTGACTTGGTTCATGCATGTCATCGCTTCCCAAATGCGTAGATTGATGCTGCTGATGATAATCACTGGATTGTCTGGTCCAGATTCGATTATTTACAGATTGCCGTCATATAGTTGGATTACTACTGATGATGGCGTTAAACAACAAACAAACAAACAAACAATGTCACTGGGAAGGGTACATTGGTATTAAAATGTATGTCTATTTTGTAGGTTGCTGGACAGTCAAAAGAGGTTTCACTGTATCTGCCTACTTAGTTATTTCCTAAAACTGAATTAAAAGTTCGTTCTTTTCTCATTTTTTACCAAGTTTAGGGTTGATTATACGGTAAAATATCTACAATAGTCCTGACGAGGTCTAAAAGCAATATTTACGCGTGAAACAAGGTCTGTTATTACATTTACATATTATATCTGTATTTTCATTGGACGAGAAAGGGTCAAATGACCTTCCTTAAAACATGGTATTGCCCGAGACACACCTTGCTGTGCAGCGATCACAAGTGATATTGCCCTGCGTGATTAAGCCAATGGACTCACAGAAGAGAAAAAAATTAGCCAATGAGATAGTGCGTAACGCAACGCTTGTTGTGCATCATCTCCTGTGAGCTGTGTCTATTCGCACGATATCGTGTACATAAAGAGAACATATTCCACAATGTACACGATATCGTGTAAATAACAGACAATTTATCACAATATGCACGATATCGTGTAAATAACAGACAATTTATCACAATATGCACGATATCGTGTAAATAACAGACAATTTATCACAATATGCACGACATCGTGTAAATAACAGACAATTTATCACAATATGCACGACATCGTGTAAATAACAGAACTTTAACCATAATATGCACGATATATCGTGTAAATAATGAAACATTTACCCTAATATGCACGAAATCGTGGGAATAACAGCACACGATACTCACACGTTATGGTATCACGGGATATATTATTCGATCTATCAGCAGCGATTACGAACATTTTATACAAGTACATGTTATCTTTGTTTGTTTTTTCAGATTATGATGAAGATTTTATTTTTGTGACATTCTGTGACTTTCCGTAACATCTGATTCAATTATTGTAGAATTCGAAATATTCTTTTTCTTTTGTTTTATTATGTAATAAAACAATTATTGACCACAATATAAAACATGATATTGCCCTCACGAATGGTCAATGTGTGATAATTGTTATATAAAACGCCGCACTCAGCAACATAATGTAAATATTCGAGTCTGAATGAGCCCGGTTCCACAAGCGATCTTAGCGCTAAGATGATCGTAACTCCCATACTTTAACATAGGCTAAAGATAATCGTAACACTAAGATCCTTTTGTAGAACAAGACCAATGACCAGACAATCCAGTAATCGATATTGGGAGCTACGATCCACGCCATCGGGTTATGATGACACGCATTCAACCAAGTCACCGAGCCTGGCCACCCAATCCGTTTGGTCGCCTCTTGAGACCAGCAAAGGTTGTTGTGGACCATTTATAACGAGGAATCTCCACGGAGTTTAATGTCAGGTTCAGCGAGGGCAATCACAAGTCTTGCCCCACATACAGACTGGCGGTTGAAGCCGCGGTGTGTGAACATTACTGGAGTAATATTCACCGAGGCTCTGAATGTAGCCATGCGCTTGATGGTGCTCTTCGCTATGTTAACAACTAGAACACGATGAAATATTCATGTAACTCTGTAGCATTGTCAGAAATGATTGATTATATCAGGTCGATATATACCGGGCTTTTAATGATCGAGATACGCAACATTTCTACAAAACAATAAGATGGTCTGTGAATGGTGTCAGGATATTTATATATTTTATAAAAGTCTGAAATCGATGAACTTTTTACGGCTGACTGATGGCGAAGGTGATACACCCGCCATAGCAACCTATTCATGTCAATCTTTGTGAAATGTCGGAAAGAACATTTACTTCCAATGGCTAAATATTATGCAGTTGTGTTTGTTTGTTTGCTTGTTGTTTAACGCCGTACTCAGCAATGGCCAGCAATATCCCAGCTGTATGACGGCGGTCTGTAAATCATCAAGTCTGGACCAGACAATCTATTCATTGACATCATGAGCATCGATACACGCAATTAAGATACGATGACATGCCAGCGAGCCTGACTACCCGTTCCCGTTAGTCGCCTCTTACGACAAGCATAGTCGCCTTTTACGGCAAGCATGGGTTGCTGAAGACCTATTCTACCCCGGATCTTCAGGGGTTTACCACAGTCATGACATGTATATGTCTAGAATCACTCTGCGAACCCTGGTTCACCCCGTTTAACTTTACAGCGTTGTCAGCGCCATACCCGTAGTCGTGGGTTTATCCAACGTGGTAAACGACTGAGACCTACATTACTTCGGGCTTTCCTCCCACATTAAGCTGACACGCTGTGATATAACTGGAATACTGTTACAAGCGGCCTTAAACCCAACACACTCTATACCCACTTAACTGCCATTAATTGAAAGACGCTAATCCCAAATGTTAATCCCTGTGGGCACATTTCCTGTCAGCGAACATGACCGAGCTCTGTTACTATTTCACTTCTAATTGCTATTAATTACTATGCTGTATATTTGATATATTACTCCGTGTCTGTTGACCCCCGCTATATCGTGGGTTTCAGCACAGCCGACAACCTTGAACTCTGATTCAATACAGCCCCGGCAAAAATTGCCACCAAAGAAAAAGCAATACAGGGATTTGCAGAAGCCTGAATCTACTTAAACACAGACTGCTGACATGGATGTCTTCTTTTTATGCAGATGCTGCCTCCCACCTGCTTATATTATTATGAACTGTGACAACTGTAATAAAAATGTGTTCAAACTGTGACACAAATTGTTAAAGATTGTTATATATGAATAAACATGACATGCGCCTATTTCGTCTATTTTTCATTTCCTAATTTGTATTTACTCAAATGCTTGTAATCACATTAAACTTCTTTTGTTCTGAAAAGGCAGCCAGCCCGACAATCCTTATATGCATCACCCCTTTGTTATATAACATCACAAAGGTCGATGCCATGGTATTGAAGCTACCATTAGCCTAAGGAGGGGTTGGCTAGTTGCTCCGGGCCACACCACAGCCACTACTACCACTATGTGCTGACCTGGCACATGGGTCATATGTATTTATGTATCATATGTATAAGAAAGAACTCAAAACATTTTTAACGGTTACGGAGATATAAACGTAACAGCCGGATACAGATGCTCCATCACCGTTCTCATGCCGCAGAAGTGAGACACCCAAGTAGATATTAACAAGTTACGTGAAATTTCACAAACTACTTGGGTAGTCAGTCCAGATCTGAAGAGGTCATGGTTTGACGATGTTTTTGGCCACTCGAGATACACACACGAATACACATGGAAAGGTGAACGTCATCCGATGTCTAACACCACCACCGCTACTCCTACTACTACTTGCGTGGATCGATGCTCATGGAACCAGACACAGGATTGTCTGGTCCAGACTCGATTATTTACAGACCGCCCTCAATTAGCTGGAATGTTGCTGAGTGCGGCCAAAAACAAACAAATAACTATTACTACTACTACTATTATTATTACTACCAGTATTTTTTACTTTTTTGTTGGCGAAACCGCATTATCAGTGGTTCATATTGGGAAAGGGAGGTCACTCTAATTTCAAACGGGAGCTATCACCGTTGTTTTCGTATTTGCGAGAAATGGCGTCACCCACGCTGCACGTTGTTGGTCCAGCTATTAAATGCCCAGCTTATCCCTGAGGTAAAACGTAAGGTAATTAAATGTTTGAATGCATTATATATTTATGTTTCCATCAGTACATCTTCTAAGATTGGTTTAGTGGTGATAACCATTTTCTAACATGTGGGCCCACATCTTTCCCGTCATCTATGGTGATCGAAACAAGTGGGCCCACATTTGTATTTCGCCTAGCTTCGTTAGGTTGTTTCGTTAGTTCTGATAATCAATCCCTAAATGTGGGCAGACGTTCTTCCGTCATATTGATTGCAACAGGAGGGACCACATTTATTAATCGCGAAATTCTACTTAAATATTGATAATCATTTTCTCAAATGTGGGCCCACATTGTTCCCGTCATATATGGTGATCGAAACAAGTGGGCCCACATTTGTATATCGCCTAGTGGCCGTAGTGGGTAGACGTTCTTCCGTCATAGTGATTGCCAAAGGAGGGACCACATTAAAAAATCGCTAGCTTCATTAGCTTGGCTTACTTATAACCATTTTCTAAAATGTGGGCCCACATTGTTCCCGTCTTATAGTGATCGAAACAGGTGGGCCCACATTTTTAAATCGCTGGGTTTCATTAGGTTGACGAAGTCATTTAGGCTATATTGGGCTCACGTTTGTCATTATGTGACATTTTATATTATTCATATTTTGTAATATTGATGGGAAATATCTTTATAAATCATTTCGTGTGACATTTATTCCATAAAAGGCACAAAAGTCTTTGAAGTTTGAATAACTGCGTCATAGCTGACCACACTAGTTTTACAAAAATAGCTACCAAGCAAGAAACTTAAATCTACTTCAAATTAAATTTAATGAGGCAATACCACTCATTCTACTTTTTCCAATATAACACATCAATCTAATCATAAGTGTTGGTGGCGATATAAACCTGAACATATGTCTACACTTGAATTGATCTCTGACATGATACAAGCCTCAGACGTTTCCGAGAACTTGTTCCATAAAAGGAATAACTCATGAATATTAATGACCCCACGACCTAGTTTGGCGATGTTCGTAGAAGTGAGTTCTGCTGTATTGCCATCTTATTTGTACATTTTAATCCAATTATAAGTCATAATACTTATTCTAAATAGACAAATTATGAGTTCGTTATGCGGGTTTGTTTGCGTAGTATATATTCTCAACAACAAGTGCGTTTAGTTTCGAATGTGGGCCCACCTCGAACTTTCGATTAGGCAAACGGAGTTAGCTCCCTTCTCGAACCACCGATAATGCGGTTTCGCCTTTTTGTTTGTTGTTTAACGCCGCACTCAGCAATATTCCAGCTATATGACGGTGATTGATGTCATGAGCATCGATCTACGCAATTGGGATACGATGACATGCATCAACCAAGTCTACTACAACTACTACCGCCAATATCACAAATAATAATGAGTGAGTGAGTTGGTTTAACGCCGCTTTTATCAGTATTCCAGTTATATCACGGCGTGTCAGCTTAATGTGGGAGGAAAGCCCGAAGTGATGCACGTCTCAGACGTTTACCACTTTGGTGGGACCCACGAGCACGGGTATGGTGCTGACAAACCTAGAAACATAATTGGGGCGAACCGGGATTCGAACCCACAATCATAGGTTTCTGGCGTGTTCAAGGGACGCAACTCTGCACAGCGAATCGCGGCGCCTTAGACGACTGGGCCACCCGTGCCCCCACAAATAATAATGATAATAATAATAATGATAATAATATTACTCTACAATTAGTAGCAGTAGTAGTAGTAGCAGTAGTAGTAGTAGTAGTAGTAGTAGTAGTAGTAGTAGTGGTGATACATGAAAGTATGAGCAGAAAGTTCCTTGCAAACGCTGAGGGAAACATGTTAACCTATTACTTATAAGTGCAGCTAATAAGTAGTAGTAGTGATAGTAGTAGTAGTGGTAGTAGTAGTAGTAGTAGTAGTAGTAGTAGTAGTAGTAGTGATACATGAAATTATGAGCAGAAAGTTCCTTGCAAACGCTGAGGGAAACATGTTAACCTATTACTTATAAGTGCAGCTAATAAGTAGTAGTAGTAGTAGTAGTAGTAGTAGTACATGAAAGTATGAGCAGAAAGTTCCTTGCAAAAGCTGAGGGGAAACATGTTAACCTATTACTTATAAGTGCAGCTAGTAGTAGTAGTAGTGGTAGTAGTAGTAGTAGTAGTAGTACATGAAAGTATGAGCAGAAAGTTCCTTGCAAACGCTGAGGGAAACATGTTAACCTATTACTTATAAGTGCAGCTAATAAGTTGCCGGTCACTGATGTAACAAGGCAACAGCACAAGGACACAGTCGTCAGGGACAAGGGTGAACCAAACTTGGTGGCTGATGACCACATCTTGGTCATAAATACATCAGAAACAAGTCCATTTATAGTGATGTCGGCAAAAACAGTAATCACTGACGTCATCACCTTCCCTCGTCTGTGGAGTAGTTCAGTGATAATCCACTACACAGGGGCTGGAGGCTGCAGGGGGTGGGAAAAACCCCGGCGGCTGGTCGGGACTATTATATAGGCTAATTGTGTACATCCTTTCCTCACCAAAACTGATCTCTTGTCTCCCGCTCTTCCGTCTCCTCCTCTCATGTCCTCCTCCTTTCTCTGATCTTCTCTCTATCTCTGTTTCAGACAACCAATTATCTGAAAATAAATATCGTTCGATGATATTATTAATTTTGAATGACATGTTTTTCGTCATAAGATGCCGGACAAGTTGTGATGCCTAGGCTATATTTGTGTCAAGTTGAGATATACTGTATAAAAAGAGGGTAAAATAATATGCAAATGACACATCGATTTAGTAGTACATACAACGTCTTTTATGGATGGAAAACCGCCCGTGTTAAAGGTCTAATGAGTGAGTGAGAATGGTTTACGCCGCTTTTAGCAAAATTCCAGCAATATCACGACGGGGGACACCAAAAATGATAAATGAAGTGGGCTTCACACATTGACCCATGTGGATGCGTGACGAGCGAACGCTTTAACCGCTAGGCTACCCCACCGCCCCAAAGGTCTTATAACTCAACTACATGTATATCAGCGTTAATTGTAGAGTAAATAGCATTTTGCGCCGCTTGTTATAGTAATATAGTACAAACAACACTATCAGTGATGTTGGCTTACTGTTTGTATATATACCGTATTCGACGTAATAAGCGCACAGGGCGCTCTCAAAATTAGAAATAGGGGGCTCTTATTAGAATATTATTTTGGTTAAAAAAACAGAGCTGAAAGATAAATTTCGTGGTTTATGCTGACAGCCTGAAATGTTTATCTACGACAGATATATTTTTCCAGAATTTAATTGCCCATAATTAAGGGTGCATATAACACACGAGTGCGTATTATACGCGAATAATTGAGTCTTGTGTACATTGATCAATCGGAAGGGGTGCTAATTGGGATTGTCCACTAGCCAATATATTAGCAAATATCGCCGTGGGCGCTTATAAGAGCGTTGCACTTATTACGTCGAATACGGTATATCAGACTTTGGGCGTGGCGAAAAAACGCTTGCACTACTAGGTTACTTCATGAGGTTTAGGACACACCTGTTCCATTAAGTTCAGTCAAGACATACCAAATACAAGATTTCAGGGAAGATATTGTAAAAAATACCTATATCTTTGAAAAAAACCAGAATGTTCAGAATGTTCCGTTATACCCAGATACGTTTCCGTATCTTTATGCTGTATTCCCTAATCCCTATAGTTCCACTTCCCAATCGATTCTATCACATGTGCTCGGGGATTGAAAAATAAGCCCTGAAAAATGCTCACACCGACTTCAAAGTACGATCATCAAAACCACAACGTTTTTATTCATCTAATCACAGTAAAAGACAAATTACCTTTATCATCCTGCAGTCGATCGTGATCGATAGTCGACGTGAAGACAATCCTGTAAGATTCCACACCTGCAGCAGATCAGAGCCTTTGTACATCTATAACATGCTGTTGATAGAGTCACGGTGAAGGAGGCCTACTGAATCGAGATATCTAGGCACCATTTTCTCGTATGATAACGATACAGGAAATATGTAACAGCGATGACCAAATGTGTCACTGCTTCTTGTGGAAATATGTGAAATGTTCATTTCCTTTTTCTTCAAAGTAAAATAGTTTTATGACTGTAAGATTTGCAGTAGATTCAAAGGGGTTTATATTCAAGAAAAAGGTTCCCATTCGATAGTTTACGCTCGCAACTGTAGAATAGGTCTTCAGCAATCCATGCTTGTCGTAAAAAGCGACTATGCTTGTCATAAGAGGCAACTAAAGGGGTCGGGAAATCAGGCTCGCTGACTTGGTTGATGCATGTCATCGTATCCCAATTACGTGGATCAATGCTCATGATGTCAATCACTGGTCCAGACTCGATTATTTACAGACTGACGTCATATAGAATCTAGCTGGAATATTGTTGAACAACAAACAGAAGGGACAAAAAGAAGTTATGAACCCTATAACTTCCTCTGTTATTTAGAATGGCAGTGTCCACTGCGATTTTGTTTGGAGGGCAGCGTTAGAAATTGGCACTAGTCCTGTAGTCCTTACCAAACTGCCCAATACTAAAGGTATGCCAAGGACTAGTAGAAATTGGTCCATTTTAATGGTTTTGCTATATGTTATCATTATAAGGACAAGTGGACAAAAACTGTTAGTTTCTAACCCTGGAGGGTGAATGAATGGGTGGGTGAGGACACCAGACACGGAATTTCTGACAGTGGGTACTGGTAGTGCTAATACTTTAGAAACCATTCTGATATGGCCGATAAACAGATAAGGATTATGAAACAACATGACTGAGCACTTGAAATTCCACATCATAAACAACTTACCCTGACACCAAATGCTCGCAAACAGAAAACATTGTACAAATAAAATCATTCCAGTGAGAGACCGCTAATCGATCCTTCTCTACACATGTTCATGGCAGCCATTTGCATTTGTTTCTGTGCTGTGTCCACGGTGACGCAATAGTTACGTGACGTCACACATATAGTGACGTAACGCAGCCTCATTCGCACATTCATTGGGTCATTTAGGCGACATCGGCATTACGAAAGTTGTACTTGTACGATAAACAGTTACAGACAAAACCAAAACTCGTCTCCTAGTCCATCGGCCAATTTTACGAAATAGGAAATACTTCAAAATTTGTATATAATTTTAAAAATGTATTTTGGAAAAAGGAACTGCTTTCCCTCTAATATAGACTGTGCGTATGACGTTATCAATATCCTGGGAATCGACAGAGATCGAGGTCAAGTTAATTTCCCCGCTGCTACATCACGACACCTGGGTCCTGGGGGTAGTTTAAATTAGTGGTTAAAGCGATCGCCAAAGGCCTGGGTTCGATACAAGACATGGGTAGAGAGCCATTTTTTAAGTCCCCCCTCCGTGATATCACTGGAATATTGCTAAAAACTGCGTAAAACCATGCTAACTCAGGACCCGTGAAGATTCCGGGGTAGAATAGGTCTTCAGCAACCCATGCTTGCCTTAAAAGGTGACCATGCTTGTCGTAAGAGGCGACTAACGGGATCGGGTGGTCAGGCTGGCTGACTTGGTTGATGCATGTCATCGATCCCAATTGCGTGGATCGATTCCCATGATATTAATCACTGGATTGTCTGGTCCAGACTCGACTATTTACAGACCGCCGTCATATAGCTGGTATATTGCTGAGTGCGGCGTAAACAACAAACCAACCAACAACCAACCACGACAGCCGTATTCAATCGAATCAGGACCAGACAAACCATGGTTGACAGCAGAAGCAGCGACCAACACTGTCGGTCTACGATCGATGACCCTATTAGCCAGCTCACACATTGACACCACCGATGATAATGTACAAGCACTTTTTTAGACTGGGAGTTTCACGTGGAATGCATGACTATGCAACCCGTGAAGATCCAGTCTAGAACTGGCCTTCAGCCACCCACGCTTGTCGTAAGAGGCGACTAACGGGATCGGGTTGATGCATGTCAACGTATCCCAAATTGTGTGAGTCGGTGCTCATGATGTCAATCACTGTATTGTGTGGCCCAGACTCGATTATTTACAGACCGCCGTCATATAGCTTGAATATTGCAGCCTTAAACAACAAACAAAGAAAACAAAGCATGACTGTGCGCGCTCATAAGCTGAGTGTTAAAGATTTTATTGATTTATCACCCTTTGCAAGAAAATTAGATGCAAAATGTCTTTCAACACTGAATATTGACATTCACGTACCAGACAAAAATTTCATGGCATCCGGAATACAACTCAACATGGCATCCGGAATACAACTCAACATGACATCCGGAATACAACTCAACATGGCATCCGGAATACAACTCAACATGGCATCCGGAATACAACTCAACATGGCATCCGGAATACAACTCAACATGGCATCCGGAATACAACTCAACATGGCATCCGGTGTAGTAAAGGGGGGTGATCACTCTCAAAAAGCCTCACGGGTTCCAGGAGAATCAATTTAGGGTCGCGAAGTTGTGTTGGATTCCTGGGATGGATACCCGGTTTTCACGATTGGATAAGACCATATATCAAAATAACAACTATACTACTAATTTCGAAGTGGCATAAAAGTGCTCTAAAAATACCTCTCCGGAGACACGAAATATGAAACAGGCCATACATGTAGTGTGCGTTGTACATGATGCGCATTGTGTCACTCCTAACAGATGTGAAATAGTGATCACAGCAGGTCGGCCTTAAAACACATTAACAATAGGATTCATTGGTAAATCGGTACAGTGACAACAAGAAAAAATATCAATATTTATTACTTATTAACACAAAACTACAGTTGCATTTTGATTGATGTCTTGTTCATTCAATAATATTTCAAACTCAAATTTATTTGGTTTCATGTATCAATTATCGTTTGCGCATATATTGTTATAGCCTGGTTCAGAATTGTTCCTTTAGGAGTAAAAGCGTTTCAGGGGGTTCCGTTTTTCTATTTTTTCTTTGTCTAGCCTGTTCAGCCAAAGATCGTAATAACTTTGTGTATTAGTTACGTTCATGATTGGTATTTAAAACTTTAACACTGAGGTCCCAAACAATATATTTCTATTCCCGACAGTACAATAGTGCAATGCCTAATGATTGAAGTGGGAGGAAACACTATTTTGATATTGAATAATGCACACGACTAAATACAGGGCGGATCAAGGATACTAATAAAGGATGTGATATTCATATTACCAGTCTATATAAATTATTTTGCTACAACAAAAATAATTCTCTTTTCAACCATATAATTCTTGCAAAAATATACACTCACCAATCCAGCATTAAGAAAACCCAATTATACTTTCCTTTCTTAATAAAAATATTGAAAGATGTATGTAAAATAGAAACAAAGAATATTAAAATGAAAAATAGTAGTAATAATAAATTTGACAGAAAATGGAAAGCATTATCAGCCTACTTATAATTTATCAGTCAATCCAATATATGTATATTAAACACGTCTTGGTCATCTTTTATGATCCTATGAACTGCACTTATATACCTCATGTACCTATGTTACAGATATATGTCTACTGAATTGAAATGATAATATTGAAAAAAAGAAGAAGAAGAAATCAATAAAAGGGGGTGTCCACTTGGACCATTTATAACTTCAGTGGGGGGTGGGGGGATTTGAACCCAGATTCGTGTAATTTGTTATTATATTTCAATAATTACAATGCTGCTTGATAAATTCACACTCGCCGAAACCCCTAGATATTAACTTAAAATAATACCTGGAAAGTAAACAAAGACGGATAAAATGACAAAAATGTTTCCGAAAATATTTTCCACTGTTGTCAAGCTGGGAATCCCCCTAGTGGGAATCCCGCACGTGTAGTATCCAGAAATGGAAGTATGACGTAGAGACCGGTTTGAAAAAGAGGCGCCAGCAAAATGGCGGCAGATGAGACTGTCGAAAGTAAGTGAAAATACCGAAGTGGGTGTATATTTCGACCCTGTGTCTGATTGGAGTGAATTGGGATCATTAGTGTGATGATCGTAACAATTTCATGTAATACATACTGATACCTTTCGCAGCAGTTGTTTATTGGAACCGGCATAGTGTTTCGATATCAACAGTGTCAATGGAAGGGCCCTATTGAGGTTTCGAGGTGTGATGATGAAATACGTTTCAGAATGTTTTTTATTTTTTCTTATGGATACTTTCTTATTTTGTGCGGACAATTAAAAGTTTTGGTTTGGTCACTAAACATGTCTTTACTATATGTGAATAATTTTTGACTAAAATGTTTCGCATTCCATGATTTGAAGGACTTAATTTGTCAACATTGGGTTTTAAAACCTTACCAGGGCCCCAGTATATGATAAACATGACACCACTAAGATATATTGTTTTCCCCATACAGATAGGCTAGAGCTTACCGGGAGCAAATTTAATAAACGTGCGAAACAAATTAGTTTTATTCCCTGAGATAAACATATCATTAACAACATTTTGTGTTTGAAGTAAGCTTAGAAAATTCACATTGTTGAATGAATCAATTTTCGAAATGTTATTCACTGTTTAGATCTATTTGTAAACATGTTAATAGTTTATTGGAACAATTTCAGTAACACCCTAAAACTAAATATCTTTATCATGCTAATGTCAACTAAGCTATATTTGGATGTTTTACCATGTTCATGCATATTATACCATGTAGCCTATCCAACAATTGCTGATTCAAGGAAGTGAATGAAAACTTGCTAGTAGTCAATCAGTTTGGCTGAAGGGGTCGTTGTTGGCACAGGTACTACAGAAGTATACCCAGGTACGTTTCTGTATATAGAAATGTACCCTTGCCAAAATCAAAATTCAGAAACATATCTGGTACCCTAAACGGCGGACGCGTCCATATTCCCCAATCCAAAACTGGTTCATGTAATGTTGTAGTCCTGTTTCACCCGACTACGAGTGCATGCGTGCATTGGGGAATATTATATTAATGTATGCACGTCACTGTGTATGATCGTTCCTATATGATACGCTGGAATACAAAATAATAATCCAAATATTCTTCCTGGCGGACACGTAGATCTACTGCTATGATGAATTTAACTGTTTACTGTTTACGTGCATTGCGCCCTGCGGTGGAATGGACTCATATCCTAGGATACGTTTCTTTATTTTGAATTTGGCTAGGGTACATTTCTGTAGTACCTGTGTTTATAGGTTTGTCTGCATCATACCCATGCTCGTAGGTTTCACCGAGGTGGTAAACGTCTAAGACCTGAATCACCTTGGGATTCCTCCCACATTAAGCTGACACGCTGCGATATAACTCTAATACTGTTAAAAGCGGCGTTTTACCCAACTCACTCACTCATTACTGATAACATGACATGTAGATGCATATCAATATTTCAGACAAAGAATAAACCCATAATGAACCAACTCAAGTACTTGAAAGCATAATATGCTGAGATGCTGGTGATCATGGTGATATTAAGGCTCCACTCCGTCTTTGTTATGTTTCGAAGTCACTAGAATCAGCTTAATAAGAGGTATAATAACATTGTTTGTTGTTGAATGCCGTACCCAGATATATTCCAGCTAAATGATGGCGGTCTGTAAAATAATCATGTCTGGATCAGACAATCCAGTGATTAACATGAGCATGGATCTATGTAATTGGGATATGATGACATGCAGTCGACCAAGTCACTGAGCCTGACCATGAAAGTCATGTAGTAACCTATTATGACAAGCATATGTTGCCGGAGACCTACCTTCTTATGAGGAACCTACCCTGGTAAATATTCATGATGATGATAATGAGAACTATGTAAAAAACAACAATGGCAGATAGATTTGTTTTTCATCAGATTACCAAAGATGTATGGTTTGAATCTGAGTCCCTATGTGTGCCTAGTTACAATATTCTGAGAGACACGGGCGACCAAGTCATCACCAGCTGATCACCTTGTGCATCTACAGGATGCCAGTGTCCTATGATTCTGGACCCGTGAAGATCCGGGGTAGAATAGGTCTTCAGCAACCCATGCTTGCGACTATGCTTGTCGTAAAAGGCGACTAACGGGATCGGGTGGTCAGGCTCGCTGATTTGGTTGATGCATGTCATTGATCCCAATTGCGTGGATCGATGCTCATGATATCAATCAATGGATTGTCTGGTCCAGACTCGATTATTTTACAGACCGCCGTCATATAGCTGGAGTATTGCTGAGTGCGGCGTTAAACAAGAAACCAACCAACCAACCAACCTATGATTCTGGGTTCAAATCCCAGTTTCACTCTCATAATGATTCTTGGTTTGGCAGCTCCTTACCCGTGCTCATCCATTGCACCAAAATAGAAAATGTTTCAGACCTGCTTCATCTGCCTTTCGTCCCACTTTAAGCTGATGGATATGACTGTAATACTGTTTAAAGCGGTGTTAAGCTCAGCTGACTGACTCACCTAATTTCCAGTATGTCGTAGTGTATTTGTACATGTTGATTTGTAGGCTCAGCCAATGCTCTTGTGAGTCTGAAAGAGGGTATGTATATCTATCCACTTAGCCACCCTCACAATCACAGCTTTGTAATGCCTTCACCGTCGACAGGACTTATGATTTGTGTCAACTGATTTTGTTGTATTCATGTTTTTAGTTTCATCATCCTGCCTTGAGATTTATAAATTTGCAGCTTTAGAAATTCTTTTTGTTTCAGACTAGTCCAGAGGTCTAGTGCAAACCTTATTTCACTAATCCTCAGTGTTTGTCGCTAGTCCTGTTTGAACATGACAATAATGTTTACATTTTGTGTCTTTTATTCCGTTCCACAGAGCTCCAGATAAGCTTTTGGTGTTGTGGGTATTTTACCCATGCATTTTAAAATCATAGGGTATCAGTAATTCTATCTGGGTATTCAAATTTCTGTTACCCACCAGTTTTTACACATGTGGGTATTTAAGTTAAATATTTAAAAACACTATTCACCTAGTCCCTGCAAACTTGTGTCGTGTGGGTTCGAGAGCTTTATAGGACTAAAAAATACCACCATACTTCCACAAGAAAGTGTGATGGCGAATGATCCTGATGTAACTGTCATCATGGAGTTTGGCAAGGTTGACGGAATGCCCGTTTATAATTTCAAAATAAGTTGCTGATTTGCTAATCGAATACCCAGGGTTACTTCACAATATTTTGATGATACTCACAAGTTTTATTTTTGTAGCGTATTTGTAATGTTCGTTGCGTATTTGATACGCTTGGATTTTATTTTACTGCGTATTTCTGCATTTCTGATGCCTATTTTACGCAGATACGCAGCTTATCTGGAGCTCTGGTTCCAATTTGTAGCTAATTTGAAGCTTTGAGAACTGGTTCAGAATTATAGTTCTCAATGGCTACTATTCAGTGAGGACTACCATCAGTGTATTTTTATTTGTCCTCAGCATAATTAAGTTGTCTTGGGCTAGGGGACCAGTGTGAATATCGAAGGCTGTATCATCAGGTGTATAAAACTTTAATGGTCAGACATTCAGATCCTTTTTATGCTGTGTTCTTTGATTTGGGTAAGGCATTATCTTTGTTATTGCTATCACAAGCAGTTGGTAACTATGACAACCCATATGGATGAAGACTTTCTTATTTTTACTGTTGTGACGTTAAAGTATACCAGCACTTTTGTCTCCCCATCGCCTCAAACATATAGAAATGATTTTATTCTTAGGGTGCACATGCACCTGTTCCATTTTGAAAGGATTGAAATATAAGATCAGAATATTAAGGGCAATATGATACCTGTTATATTATTAGCAATGCAGTAGTAATTGATCAAAAGTATACTTATATGGTCTCTGGTTGCAGTGCAGAGTAGCATCCCTTAGGTGTGCCAGAATCCTATGATCATGGCTGTGAATCCCTGCTTCGCCTTGATTTATATGTTTCTTGGTTTGTCTTCTTATGGGTTCTGCTGAAGTGGTGAAAACGAAAGACATGCTTTGCTTGGGGCTTTCCTTGCACATTTGGCTGACATCCTGTTCTATCAATGAAATACTGTTTCAAGCAGCGTTACAGGCAACTTAAGATGTAAGAAAGAAAATTATCTAATGGCCAGCTGATGTTGAAAAAAACTGTTATCATGGTTATTCCCTGCCAAACATTCACAAGGCAGCTACCATATACAGAGCACCTTTTGGTGTTGTGGGTATTTTACCCATGCATTTTAAAATCATTGGGTATCAGTAATTCTATCTGGGTATTCAAATTTCTGTTACCCACTAGTTTTTACACATGTGGGTATTTAAGTTAAATATTTAAAAACACTATTCACCTAGTCCCTGCAAACTGGTGTCGTGTGGGTTCGAGAGCTTTATAGGACTCAAATATACCACGATACTTCCACAAGAAAGTGTGATGGCAAATGATCCTGATGTAACTGTCATCATGGAGTTTGGCAAGGTTGACGGAATGCCCGTTTATAATTTCAAAATAAGTTGCTGATTTGCTAATCGAATACGCAGGGTTACTTCACAATATTTTGATGATACTCACAAGTTTTATTTTTGTAGTGTATCTGTAATATTCGTTGCGTATTTGATACGCTTGGATTTTATTTTACTGCGTATTTCTGCAAATTTTACGCAGATACGCAGCTTATCTGGAGCTCTGATATATATGGTGCAAATATCCATTAGACCTTAGGGCCTCTGATTTAAATAGCATTTCATCTGCCATTTCTGCTTGAAACGAGTCCAGCGCCTCATCCCACACAGTGATCTTAGAGCTACGACCGCACTGCAACCGTGTTAAGGTCAATCTCATTAAAATAAGATCTTAGTTCTCACTACCACAAAAAAAAGATCTGAGGACATCTCATTAGGCGTCACGTCAGAACGACCTTTCATAGTGTAGGTATTCCAAACGATAGTTACAGGCTAAACGACTGAATCCACACAATCTAGATATTGGCCACTCCAGAATGTTCTTTTGTTCAAATTTTTAATCGAGAATTTGTCAAAATATATTTCGAAGCGTAGTCGCCAATTTGAAATTAGTGCCGTAAAGCACGAGAAAGCTGCCTTCTGATTGGCAAATGTCGACTTCTTGTCAGTCATTCCATTGGTCGGTCAATGTTCGCGAAAGGTCGGTCTGACGTGACCCGTAATGGGATGTCCTCAGATCTTTGTTTAGCGGTAGCGAGAACTAAGATCTGATTTTCATGAGATTGTGTTAAAGTATGGGAGTTACGATTGTCTCAGTGCTAAGATTGCTTTGTGGGACGGGGCCCAGCCTTGTAGTTGTATTTCTTGTTTTCCCAGCTAAGCCAACTGACCTATGCAACTGCGGGGTCATGCCAGGTTGAAACAATTTTACATGATGAAATAAGTATTTGGGTACACCATGTACGCAAGATGTATTTACCTCAGGTCTAATTTACTTTAAAAAATCTGTAACATTATAAAAGAAGTCTCTTTCATCAAACTTATTTGGGTACATTTTAGCTTAATTTAAGCTTAGACACTATTCACTAGTATTTTATTACAAAGTCATATTCTGGGAGAGATTTTAGCTTTTGATCACATTCAGTTGGTGGTAGAAACCTTTGAGTCCACTAGACTGAACAGAACTACTAGACTTGGGCTTCAGACAAGTAGCTGAAGGCACAGACTTCACATAAGTGAACTGATTATGTGTGCATGTTTGTATCATGTATGCAGATCTACATAGCTTTTGAAATGTGTCACATGTCCGTCACGTTTTAATAGATGTGTGTTTATATATTAACATGAAATTAAGGGATGAGTCACCATGGCAAATCATGTTTCTGAACAGAATTTTGAAATTAAGAATTATCTCTACAAAAATACTTTTATTTCAAACGATTTTAAACATGGTGAATACATGAAGCTGATTATTTGAGTTTTGATAATAGACTTTATTTTAGAGCATAATAATGTTAGAGACATCCATGTTTTAAACATATTTGCATTTTTGTTTGTCATTTGCAATGTTTTTTTTATTTTAAGGCTTGAAAAATCTTTGCCGTTGTTAGCCCCTGATGTTAAGTTTGTCTTTTTTGATCTCCTTCCAAGATAGATTGATAAGAAAACCACATCCCATGCACTTGAACAAGTTACTGTTTTGTATTTTTGTATTTTACAATGTTGCCTGTCTGCCTTCATCGAACATATTGTCTGTACTGCTTTGTAAACTATGAACAACCGCTCGTCATGGTGATATGCATGTTATACTTGTTGAATTCATGACAAGCATAGATACACATCAGATAATGAAAGGGAATACACATGTACCAGTATGTCAGTATTGTCTAAATGGACTAGTTTATCATGTTATTGATTTCAACATTTTTAAATCGAAAACATGCTTCAGAAATAATCAACAGCATGTTTTGTTCAGTGTTTGAAATAATTTTAAAACCCAACAAGACAGTCGGACAGGTGACCAAAAACGTTGCCTGCCCATCTTCAAAGCTGCCTGCCTGCATTCAGAGATTATAAATATTGATAATCGCGAAAAATAAGAGAATTACGTCTTGATTCATTTGAAATAATGCTTACAATTACTTGAGAATCTGCAAGAAGTTAGAATATAACTGAATATGTAAATTGGCTTAAAATTATCGGCCAGACAGTTTGGCAGGTAGAGGAAAATTTCATGCAGCCCAACAGGGAAGTTACCAGCCACAGGCAGGCAGTTGTTTTCTACACACTATGGCTGTGTGCAATGAATGAATGTTGTTTAATGCTGCAGTTTCCATATCAATTTACCCCGTGTGGATTTCAGGATGTAAAAGTTCCTCAGGAACCTATGTTGGCAGATGGAACGGGTGGTCAGGCTCAGTGACTTGGTTGATTTTGTGGCATCGTACTGCGATGGTGTGGATCGTTGCATAATCACTGGATTCTCTTGTCCAGACTTAATTATTTACAGACTGCAGTCAAACAGCTGGAACATTGCTGAGTGCAGCGTTAAACAGAGACTGAATGTTGGTTTTCTCTGCAGTCATCGATATTCCAGCTATGTTATAGAGCCTGTTAATATTCAACTCTGAAACAGACAAGGCAGTGATCCATGAGCAGTGATCCACATGCATTGATGACATGCCTTCTTACTTTGGTCAGGGGCGGTCGGGTAGCCTAGTGGTTAAAGCGTTCGCTCGTCACGCCGAAGACCCGGGTTCGATTCCCGACATGGGTACAATGTGTGAAGCCCATTTCTGGTGTCCCCCGCCGTGATATTGCTGGAATATTGCTAAAAGCGGCGTAAAACCAAACTCACTCACTCACTCACTTACTCTGGTCAAGGGCCTTACCGCAGTAGACCTATTCTAAACTAGGATTCCACACAAGTTTATTTAGATGTGTCTTGTTTCTGCCCATCCTAATTGGTTTTGCGTGTGTGTGTGATTGGTCTACCTATAGCATGTATAGTGAAGGACAACAAATTTGCACAGTTTTGTTTGTTGTTTAATGGCGCACTCAGCAATATTCCATCTATGTGACGTTGGTCTGTAAATAATCGACTCTGGACCAGACAATCCAGTGGTTGACATCATGCACTTTGATCTATCCAATTAGGATGTGATGATGCATCGATCAACCAGCCAAGCCTGACAACCCGATCCCTTAAGTTGCCTCCTCCGGCGTTAAAGAACAAACAAAACATTGTCATAAGATTTTATTTCCAACTCACTGCTACTGATTGCCACTGTATACCATTGCCATTAAAAAGTTAATTATTTTGTAGAAACAGATTGTTTAACTTTATTTTATACTTGACCATGTTGATTGACCTTTAAAAAATGTCAAGCGTTGTACCTGCTTTGAGGTTATGTTCGTTGCAATAAAAAATATGTCTCCCCAAAGCTGAAATTGTAATTGTTTGACCTTATGGGGCAATTGTTGATCCACAAGTCTGTCAATGTTCCATGTCAAACGCTGATTCCTTTTTCTTGTTTTCAGGAAAAGGCAACTCCTACAAGACACCTCCCAGAAGAGGAAATGTAAGGCTTAGATCTTGTGTTTTAAACATTGGTATCATGAACATGAAATTCAATTATCATTAGCAGATATTTGTAGAACATAAAAACAATTCAAACTTGAATAGTTCTTGCAAATATTACCTCTATGAATCAGGAGTAATCCTTCCCACCTACCCAATTTTTCTCATCTAGATATCAGATTTTGAAAGGAGGTGAGGTTTTCTCACCTCAAGCATGTGCATGAAGTCTGGGTAGCATGGTACTATTACTTGCACAACTTATTATGAATAGCTGACTGTGAAGGGGACCTCTGTTGAAAATCTGAGCTTTTCATAGTGTGATGACAACCAAAATACAGGATTTAGGGCAATGATGTAAAAGTGGTAGTATTTGAGTTATTAACACTGATAGCTGTTGTTTTGTTTCAGCCTCCTCGGTTACGGAAGAAGAACCAGCGGTTTTACAATGAGGATGAAGAGACAGACTATTCCCCTGTACGATCACCAAAGAAACAATCACGCACCACATCTTCCAATTCAGCCGGAGTGAGTATTCCGATAGACAAAAGAGAGAACATGAAGTCACAGTTAACATATGAGAGACATTGTTTCCCAAATATACTAAACTTTGTGCATTTTCTGTCATTTGCTCTTGTGAGTGATTCAATAATTTGCATTGCAGAAGCATTTTTTAAAGGGGCAAGTGGGGTAGCTTAGTGATTTAAGCGTTCGCTCATCATGCCGAAGACCTGAGTTCGATTCCCCACATTGGGGACGCCAGAAACCAATGATTGTAGGTTTGAATCCAGATTCGCCAGGGTTATGTGTCTAGGTATGCCAGCACCTCGTGGGTTTCACCAAAGCGGTCTGGCCTTTTCTGTCCACATTAAGCTGACACACTGTGAATACTGTTCAAAGCAGCAATAACCCTAACTCACTCACTTTGTGGAACACATCTTCCCGATTACTAAGATCTATATTGTAATAAAACAGGTCTTTCTTCGTAAAGTGCATCAAATCATGTGAGCACTTTAATTAAAAAAGATTTGGCAAATATCTGTTGACGCTACACATGTTTTGCAAATCCTGCAATTGACCAAAATCTACACAGTAGTTTACGAACCGGATGTTGATTTCATTTTGTGATTTTAATGGGCAACATTTTTCAATTTATCTTCCCTTCACTTACCCGCTAGGTGTGCTAACCCGGAAGGTCCAACCTTAAAGTGACATCGTATGTGATATGCGCGATACGAGCACTACATGTTACTGTGACGCCTATAGACAGTTAACTAGTATAACCTTCACCTCTATCGGCAACAGTCACGCTTGTGTGTGGCCAGCATATCTTTTCACCTAAGTCATCCTCATCTTCTGAAGCCCGACTCTTAGTCCAATTCTGTTTGGCCTTGTAAGCTTACAGCTTCTCATTAACTGTGGACAGTTACTTTTTATCAAATTAAATATGTAAGGGAGGTAGTCGCATAGTAGTCAAAAATGTGGTATAAGACGTAACGGAATTAATTGAAACCAATATTGTTCATATTGTTTTAAACATGCTGTGTTGATTAAAAATTTGAGAAAAATATGTTTTTGTAAATTTAATTTGAACAAAGGTTTGCTTTGGTGTCATGTTGATGTTTTCTTGTGTGTATTGCATGTATATGTTTTGTTATGATGTTGAATAAGTCTAATTTACATGATTTAGTGTGTTCATTTTTAGTTTTCTTGTCTTCCAGTCAGTTGGCCGATCCACCCTTACAACGCCTGACAAGCGGGCAGCACAGGCCATCGGTGTCAGGCTAAGAAACTTGCTCAAACTTCCCAAAGCACATAAATGGGTCTGCTATGAATACTTCTACTCAAATTTAGACATGTAAGTTTCCTTCTTCCAAATCACTCGGCTGTTCGGTTTATTAAAAGACAATCTCATTAAAATCAGATCTTAGTTCTCGCTGCCGCTTAACAAAGATCTGAGGACATCCCATTATGGGTCACGTCAGGCCAACCTTTCGCGAACTCTGACTGACCAATGGAATTACTGACAAGAAGTCGACATTAGCCAATCAGAGACAGCTTTCTTGTGCTTTACGGCACTAATTTAAAATTGGCGACTACGCTTCGAAACATAGTTCTCGCTTAAAAAAATTAACAAAAGAACATTCTCGAATGGCTAATATATGGTCTAGATTATATAGATTCATTCGTTAAGCCCGTAATTATCTTTCGGAATACCCCATTTAAAAGTTTTTGAGGTTGCATGATGAGAAATCACATTCCGACTGTCACTTTCATGATCTGGTAAGTGACGCTCGATTGGTCGGATGAAAGGTCGGTCTGACGTGACCCCTAATGGGATGTCCTCAGATCTTTGTTTAGCGGTAGCGAGAACTAAGATCTGATTTTAATGAGATGGATTAAAAGACAAACCTGCACCTTGAATAGATTAACTTTCAACCTCTTTTTCATGTTTTCAAAGTATTTCCATGTAATTAGGCATCTCCCCGAGGCCAGGGACTTTCAAAGTCCAGCTCTCACCCTTGTCGAACTAGGCTGGAGTTATGGAGCTATATTTTGGCTGGACTAAAGATAAAGAGTCTATGCATTGTCCAATCAAAATTGCGTTCAGTTGACAGCAGTTTTCATGTTTTTAATCAAGGTGCTCACATTATTTGATGCACTTTGTGAAGTAAGACCCATTTTATTACAATATAGATCTTAATTATCGATCAGATTGCATTCTCTGGGCAGCTCCATTTTGTTTGAAGCAAATACAAGTGATATAAGAGTAGAATCTGATTGATCAATAGGAGGAACATAGAAGGGACATAACTCTTAATAGCTACGATTAAGCCTAGAAATTCCAGCCCAAGGTGGAAACTGGACTTTAATAGTCAGTAAACTCCCCTGCCTCAGGAAGATGGTAATTAGATGTCATTATCGTGATTGTTAATCACCCAGCTCTTTATACTTCATAAGCATCTTGTCTTTTTTCTTAAAATAGTAAAATGCAGTCAGGCATGAGAACAGTCACAGGCGGCCATTACATATGACTCGTCAGTGCTTGCCATTCCAAATACATGTGCTTGTTGGTATTTGTCAAGATGTGAATTACATTGATCAGTCAACAGTTCATACACATATTTGCCTTCTGTTTAAGAAGTAAGATATAAATGAAGTGCCTCACGAGAAATGGATGAACATAATTTAAGTAATATGTGTCCTAATGACAGTTCCACTGTGTGTTATCAGCCCCTTGTTCCTGGGAGAGAATGATTTCTGCATCTGCCTCCGAGAGTCCTTTCCTCAGCTGAAGACCAAGAAGTTACGGAGAGTCGAGTGGTGTAAGATCAGACGTCTAATGGGCAAGCCTCGTAGGTGAGTTGGTCAGATATACAAAGGCTGTTTGGAGTTAAAGGGGGACTTACGATGACCAGTCCGCAGTCTTTTCCTGTCATCTAAGGTGACAGAATTCACTGTGCATAGTTGCGTCCCTTAGTCAAGCCCAAAACCTTTCATTGTTGGTTCAAATCCACGGTTTGACCTGATTATGTTTCTGGGTTTGTCAGCATCATACTCATGGGTTAGGGATCAATGTCTAAGATCTGCATAACGTTGAGCTGTCATAAAGCTGACATGTTGTCATGTATTACTGAGATGCTGTCCAAAGCGTCTTTAAACCCACTCACTAACTCACTCAATGTATTCCCTGACAGGTGCTCCCCGGCATTCTTCACGGAGGAGAGAGCAGCCCTGGCAGAGCGGAGAGAAAAGATACGACTTTTACAGCAGAGGAAGCTGAATGAATTTAGCAGCCTCAAAGATCTTCCCGATGAAATACCTCTACATCTAGTCATAGGAACCAAAGTCACAGGTTGGTCACTCAAAAGCTGGACAATTTTCCTATAAATGTATTTAGTAAAGTACAACATCTCTGCCTTATCCGACTGCCTCCGTGGTCTAGTTGTAGAGCGTCTGCCCAGAGAGCGGAAGGTCCGGAGTTCGATGCCCGGCCGCGTCATACCAAAAGACGTTTAAAGATGGTACTTGTTGTTACCCTGTCTGGCGCTCGGCATTAAGGGGCACAAAACAAGGACTGGTCGGCTCGGAGTCAGTATACTGTGTCTGAGTGGGATATTCATGTTAAACTGCGGCATGGTATCTCAGTGAGCTAGCACTATAAATCTGCATCAGTCAGGTCTAGTACAAGCAGACACACACACGTACATGCACGTCACTATATAAGTGCAATAATCTTGGACGCGAGTTAAACCCCATTTCACCTCGCCTCACCTCACCTCACCTCACCTCACCTCACCTCACCTCGCCTCACCTCACCTCACCTCACCTCACCTCACCTCTCCCTTATCCTGTTGACCTCCCAAGGCAGAATTGGTTCCAGTATACTTGTAGTAAAGCTGAGTAGAGAGTTGGGTGGTTACAACATGTGACCTGGTTCATTATCCACTAATGGATACTGGGGTAGCTTTGTGGTTGAAGCTTTCGCTTGTCACACCAAAGAACATGATTCGAAGCTCATTTATGGTGTCCCTGGCCATAATGTTGCTGAAGGTGGCGTAAAACCATACTCACTAACTCGTTTGTAACTGTGCTCTGATTGAAAGGATTTTACTCAAGCTATTAACCTCTGGTTTCCATGGGGGCGGTCGGGTAGCCTAGTGGTTAAAGCGTTCGCTTGTCACGCTGAAGACCCGGGTTCGATTCCCGACATGGGTACAATGTGTGAAACCCATTTCTGGTGTCCCCCGCCGTGATATTGCTGGAATATTGCTAAAATCGGCGTAAAACCATACTCACTCACTCACTCTGGTTTCCATGGCCTGGGTTATGTAATCTATATGCTGCTGTGATTATTCTGGAATATGACTCTGATTTAGGAAGAGCATATTTTCATTAACTATTATTTGTAGTGGGAGAGGAATAGTGGCTAAAGCTTTGGCTTGTCACGCCAAATGCCTGGGTTCGATTCCCCTCATGGGTACAATGTGTGACGCCCATTTTCCCCCGCCGTGAGATTGCTGGAATATTAATGAAAGCTGCAAAAAACCGTACTCACTCACTCACTCACTCACTCACTCACTCACTCACTTTGTAAGCAGATTTGTTATTGAGATATTGGCTTGTGTCCAGCTCGACTCCGCAAGCCCCAGGATGGTTTGTTCACGGGTACGGTCGAAGCCTTGGACACGGTGGACAGCACGTACAGAATCACATTTGACCGACCTGGCCTCGAGACGCAATCAATACCCGACTATGAAGTCTTAGTAAGTCACAAGTCTTTTTGCATATAAATACACGTCAATTTTCATCTTTATACAAGTTAATTATTTATTACGTTTATCATAGCCTTTGATGCCAGATGACAGTGCTACAGCATAGGCATACACTACAGTGTTCTAAATGTTTTATAGGGTCCTTGTCATAATCCTAATTTTGACAGTTAAAGATTTAGGGGGTCTGTAGATTTCAATTACATAGGGGCAAACCACAAGGACCCCCCTTAACTTCAAACACTGCACTGTGAGTTGTCTAACTTGTCAATAGCTCATATACTGCATGGAGAAAAGTCCACTGGTTCAATCCACTGGCCGTGTTGTATCAAAAGATGTTAAAAGATGGTAGTTGTTGTTACCCCTTGCGGCATGGTATCCCCGAGAACTAGCACTGTAAACCCAGCATAAGTCCAGACAAGTACAAGCAGCCACACACATGCATGTACGTCGCTATGAGTGCAATATCTCGAACGCAACATTAAACCCCATTTCACTTCAACTCACCATAGCACATTTTGATCTGGAGGTTTATTGTCCGTTGTCTCCTTGGTCTGTAATATACAAGTCAGTCACATGATCAGTAATGAATGGTCCGTCACATTATACAGGTGAAGCAATCACTCCATCTTCCTGAGACAAGGGCATTACCTGACTGAAAGTCTATGCATAGACCAATCAAAATCCTGTAGCGAAATTGACATCTAGTTCATAAACAACATGGCAACTGCCATGCCGAATTCATTCGATTGCAGGATTTGCAGAACTTGTGTACCGTCAACTTGGCATTGACAGATATTTTCCAAATGTGTTCATGTTTTTAATCAGGGTGCACAAGTGATGTGATGCACTTCATGGGGTAAAACATGTTTAGTAAAGATCTTTATTATCCATAAAATCTTCTTGATTTGGCTGCCATTTTGTTTGAAGCTAATGCAAGTGATGGGTCGGGGGATTTAATTGGTCAGTGTGGGGGGGGGGGGGGGGGAATTCCAGCATAGTTCGACAAGGGTGGAAACTGGACTTTTGAAGTCGGTTAAATCCCTTACCATTGGAAGATGCAATCCCTCAGGTCTTCCTATTGTTTGATGTGAAAAAGTAACAGTTCATGATTTTATCTTCCAGAGTAACGAAGAAGCTGAAACAATACCAATCACAGCGTTTCAGCAAAAACATCGACCCCGACATGGGATATTTTCTCCGCCAAGGTTCGTCCCAGGACTTGGATCCCCCGGCCAGCAGCTGGTGAGTTGGGCAATGTGTTCCTCCACCTCTTTATCACATCTTTGATTAAACATTGACTAAATGTGTTCTGAAAAACAGACTCTTTTTCTTGTGCATGTATTCAGTGCAGTGATGCGATCAGAAGTAGTTATCGCTCATTAACCATCACACCTTCCATATCATGGTAGAATAAATGATACAACGTGTCCTTTTGTCCTTCACCAATACTCCAGGGAACACATTCACTTTAAAAAAAATATAAAAAATTATTGTGAACTAACTTTAGGCATTTCTTAGGATATTTATGCAGATAGTATTAAATAGAATTATTGTTACTGTTGAATGTCTTGAAAGAGACCTGTCTCCAGGCTTGAATCAAGTGTTGGAAACTGGCAGGAATTGGGTGTTTATGCTAACAGCCTGAAATGATACAAAAGAAAAGTCTGTGCGTATTATACACGACAGATATTTTTTCAATAATTTCATTGCCCATAATTAAGGGTGCATATAACACACGAGTGCATATTATACACGAATAAATAAGTCTTGTGAACATTGATCAATCGGAAGGGGTGCTAATTAGGATTGTTCACTAGCTATTCAATATATTAGCAAATATGGGCACTTATTAGAGCGGGGTGCTTATTATGTCGAATACGGTAAATGGGAAAGCATACAACTTTATGAAGAACAACTTCTGGTTTATTGCATTGAGTGACGTTTTAATGTGGATATTCTTACACCATTATCAAGATGTAAGAATCTGCATCAAAACATTGTTCTTCATAAAGTTGTGTGAATTTTCTTAAGAAAAGTCAGGTCAAAATGGCCTTGAATGTCACTCTTGTATAGGTACAGCCAGCAGAGCTGCAGATAAGCAGCGTATTTGGGTAAAATACCCCCAAAAAATATTTAAAACCCAATTACTTTCAATTAACTTGCTTACAGAAACAAATGCATTAAATGTAAAAAAGAAATGTATAAAACAGCTCGCTTAAATATCCAATGAAGCTTTTTCAGCATTCGTACAAAGGAGCTAATTCATTCTGAAACACAATTTTGAGCTAATTTACTTTCCGAGTCAAGCCAATATATTTAGAACATCTTAAACATTATTTCATTATTTTTTTTAAATCTTAAAATGTTCACTAATTTTAGGAAAAACCCAATAGTGTGAAGAATAGATGAGTTAAAAAATATTGGTTACCCAATGAAAAATGTAATAACCCAATTAAAATAGAAAACCTGTAGGAAAAACTCAATTGCTCAAAAAGTTATCTGGAGCTCTGAACCAGTATTCTAGTAACGCTCTCATCCAGAAACCTGTCATGTTCGTATACACAACAAGGGGGGATAACTCTAGTTCTGGAACAAAACCATTCAGGAAGGCTCAGTCAGCTGCTGTTCAAATCTGGCCACGACCGCACTTTCACTTGTACTCCAATCATTTGCTGTCACTGATAATTTCTGCAACATATTTACAACCGTTTCTACCGCCACTAACGTTACTGTCATTACATACACACAACAAAGTGAGCCCTGGTAGCTTTTTGTTGAGATTATCCAATGAGATTACATTAATCATGTTACCATGGTTACAGAACGATGATCCTTTGCTGAGTGGCTCACCATTCAAGGGTCGGCTGATGAGTTTGGACGGAGGAACATATGGTGGTTTTCCTATCAAGTTTTTAGTCTTAGTGGTGAGTAGAAAGATGTCAATCGCTTTCTGTACAAAGGGGAGATAACTCACTGCTGGAAAGTGTTATATCGTAAACATGTCTATGTTTGAGATATAATTCATAATCTTATATCAGGCGTTGTTATTAATAAGCAAAAGCATGCTGGCCTATGACAGTGACATTTTCAGAGGACTGGTGGCATGTACTAGGTTACAAAACCCTTGTGGTTCATTTCAGTTTCCAAAGATACAAAGCATCAGACTCTTAACCTTTGAAATTACACTAGTCCACTTGCCTGAGACTACTAAATTGTGCTGAAGATAAGTTAAAGACCATTTGAGAGCTATCATTCTGACCAGTTTTCATTGGATCAATTTTGCTACAAATTTGAACTGAATAAAACTGACAGAAAATGTAAACATGGTAACCCTTTTGTGTTTCGACAAAGCAGAACTAGCTACAAACTCGGACGACAAGTGAAAGAACAAATTTCTTTTGCTGACTCTTCAACTTTTATATCCGTGAAGATCCGGGGTAGAATAGGTCTTCAGCAACCCTTGCTTGCTGTAAAAGGGGACTATGCTTGTCATGAGAGGCGAATAACAATATCGGGTGGTCAGGCTCGCTGACTTGGTTGATGCATGCCATCGTATCCCAATTGTGTGAATTGATGCTCATGATGTCAATCACTGGATTGTATGTATAGCTGGAATATTGCTGAGTGCGGCGTTAAACAACAAACTTCAGAGATTTCATCAGTGTATTTATGATACACTGCTCACTAAACCTGTCACCATGGTCACCAACAGTTAAGGACTGGCTGTTTCATGTATAAAGCGCTCGTCAACAAAGCATTAACTGGAATGCCTGGTCTGATTTTCCATGTGTTGTGTTTCAGACGCGTTTGTCTAAAATTTTGATGATTAAAAAAGACTGGATTAGGCAGCTGCAGGATATGAACACGCAAGCTGAAAAACTGGTGAGTCTGTTGAGTAACTGCATGTTTCACATTGAGAACCTAAACACTCATGATGTTTCTTGCCTAAACGGGGCGGTCGGGTAGCCTAGTGGTTAAAGCGTTCGCTCGTCACGCCGAAGACTCGGGTTCGATTCCCGACATGGGTACAATGTGTGAAGCCCATTTCTGGTATCCCCCGCCGTGATATTGCTGGAATATTGCTAAAAGCGGCGTAAAAACTGTACTCACTAATTCACTCTTGCCTAAACACAAAGAGGGCACTTGTCTAATATTCTTTAGCATTAATTAACATGTGTCAAGAAGGAGAGAAATGTCATGTTTGAGTAGTGTCAGCAGTTATGCCTCTAGAACATAAAAGATGACTGATGTTTATTTAAAAATTCAAAACATTCCACTTTATTGTTGTTTGAAGTTGCAAGTTCGATTGCATGAAAATGTCTAAATAGTGATTGTCTGTGAAGGAGGATGATCTCATGCCAATTCGTTCCTGGTATTTACTTGCATCAATAAGGCTTGGATTAAACTTTGTCTCCTGACTCCAGTCCCAGTACGGACTCCCAACTGTGGAACATCCCCTCACAGTTGCTGTGTGTTTCAGAAGTCGTACCAGCAGCCCATCACGGTGGAGTTCCAGCGGAAGTATGCCAACATTGTGCTGGAGCTGGAGAAACTCAACAAGGATTTGACGGAGTACCTGGTCGGGGTGCAGCAGTTCTGTCAGGAGGTACGTACCTGGGGATGCAGCAGTTCTATCAAAAGATATGTACCTGGGGGTGCAGCAGTTCTGTCAGGAGGTACGTACCTGGGGGTGCAGCAGTTCTGTCAGGAGGTACGTACCTGGGGGTGCAGCAGTTCTATCAAAACATATGTACCTGGGGGTACAGCAGTTCTGTCAGGAGGTATGTACCTTGGGGTGCAGCAGTTCTGTCAGGAGGTACGTACCTGGGGGTGCAGCAGTTCTGTCAGGAGGTACGTACCTTGGGGTGCAGCAGTTCTGTCAGGAGGTACGTACCTGGGGGTGCAGCAGTTCTATCAAAAGATACGTACCTGGGGTGTGGGATGCAGCAGTTCTGTCAGGAGGTACGTAGCTGGGGGTGCAGCAGTTCTGTCCGGAGGTACGTACCTGGGGGTACAGCAGTTCTGTCAGGAGGTACGTACCTGGGGGTACAGCAGTTCTGTCAGGAGGTACGTACCTGGGGGTGCAGCAGTTCTGTCCGGGGGTACAGCAGTTCTGTCAGGAGGTACGTACCTGGGGGTGCAGCAGTTCTGTCAGGAGGTACGTACCTGGGGGTGCAGCAGTTCTATCAAAAGATACGTACCTGGGGGTGCAGCAGTTCTGTCAGGAGGTACGTACCTGGGGTGTGGGATGCAGCAGTTCTGTCAGGAGGTACGTACCTGGGGGTACAGCAGTTCTGTCAGGAGGTACGTACCTGGGGGTACAGCAGTTCTGTCAGGAGATACGTACCTTGGGGTGGCATGACTTAAAACAGAACAAAATTTATGCTCAACATAATAGTAAGCACTTACTGGAAGATGAAATGTTACTCACATTTATCTTACGAAATAATAATGGACAAAATCTACAGCTTGCCCCTGGATCTGGGATGACGCCGATTGACCAACCGTCCGAGATAAGAAAGAAGAGCGAAGAAGAGGCACAATCTATGGTCAGCAGGATTTGCCAGGTCAGTGGGAGGCTAGCATTCACTTGTTTACCCTGTCTGTAGCCATGGGTACCCAGTAGGATGAGATGGTATTTTGACTGTTGACCTTAGTCCGTCTCACAAGGCAGCTTGAGATGTATACTCCCCAGGGAGCTGAGAATGAAAAATTGGAGTGCACACTGATCAAATGACTGGGGTCATAGTGTTAGTGCTTTGAGGATGCTTAGGGATGGACTTAGCACTGTGCAGATTCACATATTGAATATGATGACATAGCTAACTAACATTGTGGATTTGAAAGCTGGTGTGATTGTTGCCATGGCTCTTGAGCTGTGATGACTGTCCCACCACTGTCAAGCTCATTGATGATACTCGTACCTTCCTTGCATGACGAAGGCCAATGTATTTCCAGACACAGACTTCTGCGGTATGTTCGTCACAGGTGAAATGTTATTTTCTGTTCTGCAGGTTCGTTATCATATAAGAGCAATTTCAATGCAAATATATGTGGCCACACAATATGAAATCTTCCTTGTTACAAGGCACAATCAATTAAAACAAATTGTTTTCATCTTTGAAATAGTGCTGTGTGTTTTCTGATGCTCACATTCACAGCAAGCAGCTGCATGTTGATAGTAAGGGAAGTAACTCTTCGACAGTTCCGTATGATGTGTAAATAATCGAGTCTGGACCAGACAATCCAGTGATTGATATCATGAGCATCGATCAACGCAATTGGGATTGATGTCATTCATCAACTAAGTCAAGTATGAAGTCAGTGGGTTACTTTACCTCCTATGGTGAACACTTTACAGTCTAACATAACAAATGTTATATTTGGGATAACACTTTCTTAGTAAAGTACAGATTCTCGTACTTTTTTGGGTTGAGTCCCGTCCGGGATCCGAACCCACACTTGCCAGAGTGAGGCACCTAATCGCCAGCACACAAAGTCAGCGATCTAACCCATTCAGCCACCGAGGCTTCCACAAAAAATGAAAGTCCGACAACTGGTAGTCTAGATCACTTACTTTGAGTACCCCTCTGACAAGTGTAAACAGTCTTTACAGTCTGTTTAGTTACTGAAATAAGTTAATAGACTTGGCAGGAAATGCAGGAAATATATAAGACTGTCCATTTCAATATATATAAAACTTTGGGTATACCAAGTAATCATGACATTCCTCAGAGTGGATGGCTTATCTGAAGTGGTTTCTTCCCAGCTATTGAGGGAATCATTAATCAATGTCTGCAGTGTTACCTGTGACAACCATACATCAGGTGATTGAGATTGCTCCTATATGGTAACCTGCTGAAAAAGTTGAAACATTTGTTCATGTCATTTAGGCCAATGTTTGTCATGCTGTCATGTTCTTTTACAAGTTTATGTTTACCATTTCATATTTGTCTGTTACTGTTGTCGTCAATTCCAAGATTGTCTATCATGATGATTTTGAGAGTAAATTACAAACCATATAAACTTAATTTGGAAAATGTTCACCCGATTATGTTTCAAGGTTTGTGAGCACCATACCCGTGCTCGTGAGTTTCACCAAAGTGTTTAACGGCTAAGACCTGCATCTCTTCGGGCTTTCCTCCCACATCAAGCTGACATGCCGTGGTACAACTGAAATACTGTTCAAAAGCGATGTTAAAACCCAACTCACTCCGTAATTTGGCAAATGTATCCCAAATTGGACCAAATATTTTAAATAGCTCACTTCATGAACCATAATAATCCATTTGATGTTTGTATTTGATCTATATGATCATCTGAAGATAACGAAACTCAATGTGATTCTTCAGCAATGTAACGTGATGTTTTCAGACTATGTTTCACAATAAGAAGACGGCCAAGAATGAGAGGATACTGAGTTTGGTGGCCAACCTGACCGCACTCATGTTACAAGTGAGGGTGAGTTCTAAGTGTAACAACGTCAGCATGGCTTGATTTAACTACTGGAAATCTGGACATTAATGTGTCTCCAAATTAATATGACTGCTTAATCCAATCAAACAGCAAATAGCACCGCTTATTAGCAATGAGTAGAGCACTTCCGTAAAAAACAATGAACAGTGTTTTCCTATGTTTACTCTGTTGACTGGCATTAAGGAATAAAATAGGGCAATAAAATAATTAAACCAACAACAGTTTGTATGCGGAGTAGGTGTCAACAACCTTGACATGAGTGGGAAGAACTCTTGACCCAGGCAGTGATAACTCACCGGATGCACATTGTGTAATTCCTATTCTTTGAATGACATTGTTATATACTTGTTACGACTGTTACAGTAGTTGAGATTATTAGAGAATAAGTGTAAATAAAAATGGCTGGACATGGAATCTATTTGAAAATTCAAGAATGTGTATTGATTATCAGCATTTTAACCTATTATTTCTTTTTCTTGAATAAAGAGTGTGTCTGTGTGCGTGTGTGAGCTTTTTCTTATATATGTTGGGGGGGGTGGCACAGGTGGCCCAGTCGGCGCAATTCGCTGTGCAGAGTTGCGTCCCTTGGGCACGCCAGAAACCTATGATTGTGGGTTCGAATCCCGGTTCGCCCCGATTATGTTTCTAGATTTTTCAGGACCATACCCGTGCTCGTGGGTTTCACCGAAGTGGTAAACGTCTGAGACCTGCATCACTTCGGGCTTTCCTCCCACATTAAGCTGACATGCCGCGATATAACTGGAATACTGTTAAAAGCGGCGTTAAACCCAACTCACTCACTCACTTATATATGTTGGGATAGTGGAGGGGAGGTCACTGTTATCAGTTTACTATGTAATTCTCATATCCAGAATTTGGTTTATCCAGACGATTCCTTGAGAAACAAAAGTGTCCAGATAAGCAGGGGTTAACTGTACACAGATGCCTGGAATGGTCCATTAAGTATTATACATGTAAAAACTGTAAAGGCTCCCTCCCTCACCTTTGTCACAAACTTTGATTCAAATCTGATCATTAATCTATTGTGGCCTTGCAGACATTCTCAGAGAACGATTTCAACTCATTTGAGTTCAAATCACTTCAAGACAGCTTACAGGATATCAAGGTTACCCTGGACGGAAACAACATCAAGTAAGTCCTGTTGAAGACATTTAGAGAATAACCTACAAGTACGAGGATTCATGGATTCTCTGTCCCAAAGTTTTTTCATTTTGTAAGTCCATGAAGGACTTTCAATGTTCATCAAAGTTTTCAGGGGGGACTGATACTCCATTATTCCAAGTGGAGAGTTGGTTATTCTCCATATTACCTACATTTTTTATGTGATAGTACTTGACCGAACATACTTTTACCATATTTGGGCTTCATACTAGTGGGGGGCGGTCAGGTAGCCTAGCGGTTAAAGTGTTTGCTCGTCACGCTGAAGACCCGGGTTTGAATCCTGACATGGGTACAATGTGTGAAGCCCATTTCTGGTGTCCCCCACCGTGATATTGCTGGAATATTGCTAAAAGCGGCGTAAAACCATACTCACGAACGAACGAACGAACGAACGAACGAACGAATAATGTGAAATATCAGACTCTTTAACTGAAATGTTCCCAAGGTTGTGGCCCATCACTTCATCCACCACCCTAACTTTGCAGCTCCTTCCAGAACAACGTCGAGATCCACATCAACCACATCCAGAGTGGGCTGTCACAGATGGGCAATCTGCATCGCTTCGCTGCTACGTCCTACCCAACATGAGCCTGCCCTGCCCCGCCCCGCCCCCTCACCTCACACACACATGGTGCTCTTGCTGGACATCGGTCATCCAGGTGGCCTTGGCTACCCCTGCTGGAGCCACTGTTGACAGGTAGTGAAGGACCTGGTTGCTGGATGGATTGGCCTTGGTTAGACATCATCACGTGGAAGTGGATTGTCTCAGATGCAGATTGTGATCATGGTGCATTGTTGAATGGATTTTCATATCTATACTACTCAAAACAAATTAAGCACCACCGGATTCTTTCATATTGAGGGGGGCACGGGTGGCCCAGTCGTCTAAGGCGCCGCGATTCGCTGTGCAGAGTTACGTCCCTTGGGCACGCCAGAAACCTATGATTGTGGGTTCGAATCCCGGTTCACCCCGATTATGTTTCTAGGTTTGTCAGCACCATACCCGTGCTCGTGGGTTTCACCAAAGTGGTAAACGTCTGAGACCGTCATCACTTCTGGCTTTCCTCCCACATTAAGCTGACACGCTGTGATATAACTGGAATACTGTTAAAAGCGGCGTTAAACCCAACCCAACTCACTCACTCACTCATTCTTTCATATTGCTCGTGTACCCAAAGGGAAGCAACTCTGAACAGTTATTGTGATATGAAAGAATGGGGTGGATTTAGCTCATTATTTGAGTAGTAAATATATATATATATATATATTTGGATTGCTTTGAAATCTAAATACGTCATCAAGACTGCTTTGAAAATGTATCAGCTTCCATTTGCTTTCATGGAAAAAGATAGTTTACCCTTTTTCAGTCCCTAGCCACTGTAATGTAGGCAGGGTTTTATCCAGGATTCCGTGCTATGTGCCCTTGGCAGGCAGTTTGGGGGGAAATTGTTATTTTGCTCAAATTGGTCAGTGGTATTCAAGTCACCTGAACAAAGAGTTAATATTAGCATTAGTTGTTACTATGTAACATGAATTGGGAAATTTGTAATTCCATTTTGGGAATATTAACTGACATCTGCTGCAGACTTGGGGACGAATATATCGGCCTCTGAATGGCCCGAGATAAATCCCTTGTATGTTAATTTAAATAATGGGGAAAGTACAATATCTCGATCTCCAGAGTCCGACATCTTTTGTTTCTTAAGGGAAACATCTCATCTCATTCTGGGGGCACGGGAGGCCCAGTCATCTAAGGCGCCGCAATTCCCTGTGCAGAGTTGCGTCCCTTGGCCACGCCAGAAACCTATGATTGTGGGTTCGAATCTCGGTTCGCCCCGATTATGTTTCTAGGTTTGTCAGCACGATACCCGTGCTCGTGGGTTTCACTCAAGTGGTAAACGTCTGAGACCTGCATCACTTCGGACTTTCCTCCCACATTAAGCTGACACGCCGCCATTTAACTGTAATAATGTTAAAAGCGGCGTAAAACCCAACTCACTCACTGATCTCATTCTAGTACCACTGGAAGTAGTTTCCCATGGCATTTGTTTCTTGATTGATTTACTGATCTGCTGACCCTCCAAAAGTATCATTAAAGCACTTGTTTTTCTCCCCCATACTGCAAAAAAGGCAAAACCAGCTAAAAAACTCTTCCACATGTAAACAAATTCAGAGATTTCTTTTAAGATGAAACCAAATCTGATCTCATGTGAAATGTCATTTGTATCTGCAAATTCTAAACAAAGAAATAATAACAATCTTGTCTTATGACAATACAAATTTCTCAACGTTGGCAAATGTGATATAATTTTATATACCATGACAGTGAGTGTGATACTGAGTGTGGAAGAACCCACTGAGGCATGGGGAGGTGGTCTTCTAGAGTGTGAAGAGAGAAATGTACAGGACCCAGATCAGTTACAGGACTCATATGTTGCAGATGGTGTAATGCATGCGAGACATGGCCACTTTCATTGTCTTATATGGGGTCATATTCATCACACACGGATGTCAATATGGGGTCATATTCATCACACCAGGATGTCAATATTGGGTCATATTCATCACACGAGGATGTCAATATGGGGTCATATTCATCACACGAGGATGTCAATATGGGGTCATATTCATCACACGAGGATGTCAATATGGGGTCATATTCATCACACAAGGATGTTTATACAGTGTCATTACAGGAAGCTGACCGTGGTGTGTGCTTATTTCCCCCTCAACCCGTATACAACATTTGTGACTTTAGGGTCAGGTTTTTTCTAAAGTTCTGACAGGGATAAGTTCCTCCATCAACCACAAATACATGTGACCACTGTTCGAAATAAGCGCCTGCCTGCAGGCCTGTGTCAGGCTGATCTCGTGTTGGGCCCGTAGATTAAAATTTGTATGGGTCCTTATGACCTGCAGTAAATATATGTATTGATTTATTTTAACAGTAAGCTGCATTTTATAAACAAGGGCCCGAAGAGATTAGTCGGGGCCTGCAGCTTCTTAGATCTGTGGATCCGTGATGGCAGCCTGACAGCTTTTTTTAAGTAGTCACACACACACACGCACGCACGCACGCACGCACGCACGCACGCACGCACGCACGCACGCACACACAAAGCACGCACACACACACACACACACAGCGAGAGACATTGCTGTTTGTGTGATGATGGCTGAGCTCATTAATCTGAGCACCCTTACAACCAGGGATATATCTAGACTTGCTCAGAAGCTGGTAGTCGGGCGTAGTCTGAAGCAATGACTGTAAAAGTACTCCAATTGGAATTAATTGTTCCCAATTCATGTTACTATAGTTACACGTAATGTGATGGCTTGGTCGGTCGACTAGTATTTTATTAATATCAGGACCAATAAAGAGGTAGAGGCTATACTGCTTGGTTTTATATTATTGAATGTAGTTTTTATACAATGTTAAAGGATGACAATGTTAAAGGCCTTAAGAACATAGGAACAATTTGCTTGCCCAAGGGCTCTTATTTGGAATCTCATGTAAATCCCTGACAACTATAGTGTCTGTATGTAGTTAACTTATGATGGAGGAACCGTGAAGTATTGACGGTGATGTGATTGTGTGGCTGTCAACAGACAGGAGCTAGGTTCTAACAGCTGCAGATGGCTTAAATCAGTTGTGTCATACCGTAGTTCATCAGAAGACCGAACCAGACTAAAATACAAACCATATTGACTGTGCCAAAACCTTTTTTGTCCATTAGCCTGAACTTTTCTCTAGACATCATTGTCAGTAGATTTTAGTGTTATCACATGGACTATTATTTTCTAAGCTTACTCGACTGAACAAAATTTACTAGACTATGGATTTGTACTAATGGCAAAGTCAGAGATAGTTGATGGCAACATGTTTGTAAAGCAAGGTTTATTGGAGAGGTACTGAAACTGATTTTGAATTATCATAGGAAGTGTTAATCACAATATTCAATAAGGGACAGGGGGGCACGGGGGGCACGGGGGGCCCAGTCGTCTAAGGCGCCGCGATTCGCTGTGCAGAGTTGCGTCCCTTGGGCACGCCAGAAACCTATGATTGTGGGTTCGAATCCCGGTTCGCCCCGATTATGTTTCTAGGTTTGTCAGCACCATACCCGTGCTCGTGGGTTTCACCGAAGTGGTAAACGTCTAAGACCTGCATCACTTCGGGCTTTCCTCCCACATTAAGCTGACACGCCGCGATATAACTGGAATACTGTTAAAAGCGGTGTAAAACCCAACTCACTCACTCACCCAATAAGGGACAATTGTTGGACAATAAGAGTAATTTAAATCATTGACAGTGGATTGTTTTTAAAATTAATTGCAATTTCAGTGAAAGGAGCTTGTCTGCACAAACACAACCAAACAATGTTTTATAGCCAAGAAACATGCCATAAGATATTGTAAACTAAATGCCAAATTAAGGGGTACAAGCATGTCGGCAGGGACATTTCCCTGGAGTAGCTGTTTGTGATACACTCTTTACTGTATGTTCCATACATAGAGATTATTATGCGAGCATAATTATGTGTCATACTGATTTTACAAAATGGTTGTCTGAATTCTTGTATTTCCCGACCGAAAGCGAGGGTGAAACGTGTTAAACATGAGTTTTGTAAAATCAGTATGACACACATGCAAGTGTAATGAATTTCTTTATTACCCGTTGTTTCATTTTGAGCTCCCCTCTAGGAAAATGCACTGATCATGACTGCCTTCTTAGAAAACAACAATTGTCGAATGACGTCAAACAATCTTCTGCCGTGACATCATTTCTAATGTGACATCAATCCGAAGCTAGGTCAAATTATCAGATTCAACAAAGCCATCCGGATGACGTAAACAGTACTCTGGTGCACATGAAGTGATATTTGCACTAGTGCACATTCAATTTTTATGAACTCAGTTATTTCTAACCCTATCGGTAATAAGATAAATTGTCACAAAGCTTCTGAGTAGCCAGTAGGGAGGATTAAGTGTATCAATGGGACAAAGCTCAAAGCTACAACATCATACGGGTCCTAGCTACAACTGTTCCTGATGCAGCTAACATCATTCAGATCCTAGCTACAACAGATTACAACTGTTCCTGATGTTTAGCTAACAGTCAGATCCTAGCTACAACAGATTACAACTGTTCCTGATGTGTAGCTAACTTTCAGATCCTAGCTACAGAAATATGACAGTTCATGATGTAGCTAATATAACTCTTAACTGCAACAGTACAACTGTTCCTGGTGTTTGGCTGACATCATTGTTCCACTTACTGAAGTCCTACTTTGAGGGGGGCATGGGTGGCCCAGTCGTCTAAGGCGCCGCGATTTGCTGTGCAGAGTTGCGCCCCTTGGGCACGCCAGAAACCTATGATTGTGGGTTCAAATCCCGGTTCGCCCCGATTATGTTTCTAGGTTTGTCAGCACCATACCCGTGCTCGTGGGTTTCACTGAAGTGGTAAACGTCGAAGACCTGCATCACTTCGGGCTTTCCTCCAACATTAAGCTGACACACTGCGATATAACTGGAATACTGTTAAAAGTGGCGTTAAACCCAACTCACTCTCTCACTCCTACTTTGAGAGAATGACTCTGTAAGATCCAGTGGTAGCCATTTGTTGGTGTCATGGAGGAATGTGTGTGAGAAAGAAGGTATGAATGACAAATACAGGTACTGACGAAACCTTTTAACTATTACCTCTAAGGATGTGTTCAGACAACATGAATCCTTATTTTGTTAAGTGTAATGTTACTGTTATTCATTTATCTCATAGTCAAGATATAACATGTTACCAGAAATATGTGTATGTATCATTTCATCAGCTGGCCTGCTGTTACTCAAGTGATGGAACTACAGTGCTGAGACTGTGTGTACATTCTGTAATGTTGTCCTAGACAATGAGTGTGGTGACATTGTGTCATATGTAGATGTCTCGGACAGGGGGGTAGTGTCTTATGGGCTAATTGGAGCGAGTTCACTCCATTTTCTTTTTCACTAATCAAGACAAATCTGTTTTGTCATCTATCTTGATAAGCCTTTTTTTCCCCATCTGTCATGGAAAGCCTGTTTATCATCATGACAAGCCGGGTTTCTCATCTATCTTGAAAGTCTCTTTTCTCATCTACCTTGATAAATCTGTTCCTTTTTTTCATAATTTATTCTGTTTGTCTTTTTCTTGTAAGCTAAATAACGAGATCTTATATTATTTTAAGGTCACACTATAAGTGAAACTTGATGATCATGTTTTGTTTCTATTCTAACAGGTTTGTAACGCCAGTGAAAAGGATTTTTCTCTTGTACTCTGTTATGTTAATGAATACACTGGTATGTAAATGTGTACTTGAGTGTGTGTCTAAAGTGTACATACTGCATAGGGCGTCACAATATCATCATGTGTGACTTTAAATAAACATGTACATAGTCCTCACCTGTCTTATGTTTTGCCTCAACATCAGATCAGTGGAAACTTACCTACTGTTCATTAATGCTTTCTTACTGTTTCTAGCATACCCTTAGGGGATTTGGAGAGCAGAAGGTCGGTGGTTCAATCCCCGGCCGTGTCATACCAAAAGATGTAAAAATAGAGTAGATGTTACCCTGCCCAGCGCATGTCATTAAGGGCTAAAACTAGGACTGGTCAGCGCAGTGTCAGTATATTGTGTCTGAGTGGGGTATTCATTTTAACCTGCCACATGGTATCTCAGTGGACTAACAGTAGGAAACTGGCATTTCTTGAATGTGAGGTTAAGCTCGATTTTACCTCACCTCACCTCACCTCACCTCACCTCGGGATTCTGGGTTAGAGCTGATCAACAGAAACTTATCTTGTAATTGACTAATATGAATCAACTGGTCGGGATTGGTAGGATTGGTAGCTTGTTCGATCGGGTTTCATTGAACTTGACAGCCTGGAAGGTTGCTCATGCAACTCACCACTGGTTTGACTGGTCCAGGATGCAATGATATAACTGGAATAGTTTTGGTCTAAAACAACATTTGACCACCTCAAAGCTCCATGGTTGAGGGGTAGAGCATACAAAAACACATTAAAACATGGTACTTATTCTTACCCTGCCTGGCACTCAGCATAAAGGGGCTAAAACAAGGATTGGTTGGCTCAGAGTCAGTATACTGTGTCTGAGTGGGGTATTCATGTTAAACTGCGGCATGGTATCTCAGTGGACTAGCACTATATATCGGCATCAGTCTAGACTAGTACAAGCAGCCACACACACAAGTGTGCATGCTATAAGTGCAATTATCTTGTTTGACGTCAAACCCCATTTCACCTCACCTCACACAACATTCACTCAATCAGCACTGTACTCTAACCCAGAAGAATGAGATTCCAATTCTTTTAAGAAAACCGAGGCATGGGTAGTCAAGTGGTCTATTAGATGTGCTGTAGTTGAGGCCAAACATGTCTATTTTTTATGGTTTACAGATTTTTGGCCACAATCTTCATGTTGATCGGTGGAAGAAATAAAAAAATATGAATTCCAAATTCAAATATATATTTTCATGTCCTCAAAATGTTAAGAAGGTGGGGGCAGGAGGAATAGGGATTTGTCATAATTTGTTCAATTTTTAAGTTTTTAAGATTTTGTTTATAGTAATTTAAGTTATTTATATAGATAGGGACAGTAAATGATTTATTTATACATTTTACTTCCTGGTCTGTGAAACAAAGAACACTGCTTTTCATTATTTTAATTTTATTTCAGATTTCAAGTTTTTTTGAGTGGACTAATTTGTAAACAAGTGTTTAAAAAATCTGTCCTTTCTATGCAGAGTTGTGCCCCTTGTTGTTAAACAGGCAGTCTTAACATGTATCATTTACAGCAACTAAGGGTAACTCAATTACACAGACAATGTTTTAGTTTCACACATCACACGTTTTACAGCATCTAGACACAGACTGAAAATAGGCTCCAGACAGTGGAGTATGGGTCCCATTTAGCTGATACATAACTGAAACAAGAAATGGCTTCCCTATTTAAGGTGGTGTGCAATAAGTTAAAAAAAAAACACAGAGCAAGGACCATAACTCAAAAAGGACGGGCGGACGAACTCCGCTCCTGTGTCCCCCGCCCCACTTCGTGTGGAGGGATAATGTTCAAATTGGCCAAGCTTGTGTGGATCCTTGGTTAGAATAGGTCCCCAGCAACCTATACTGGTGGTAAGAGGCGACCCAATTGCGTGGGTCGATGCTCATGATGTCAATCACTGGATTGTCTGGTCCAGACTCGATTATTTACATGATTTACAGACCGCCGTCATGTAGCTCGAATAGTGCTGAGTGCGGCGTTAAACAACAAACCAACCAACCAACCGTCAGAGGCGACCGAATGGATCGCGTGGTAAGACTTGGTGACATGGTCGAATACTTACTTTTTATCATAACTTATAGTTGGAGATTTTACGTGCGCTTTCCCACTTTATGCATATTTCGCACAAATACGTTAGCCGGATACTTGGTTGATTGTGTGCGGTCCCACTGAATAACGCCCGGGAGAATGATACTAAAGTGTATTCTACAATTCTAATTGTGTTCGTGTATTAATTATACTAAAGTGCTGTTAATGAGGGTGCCAACCCCCTCCTCACTCGAATCACGATGTTGGATCGATGGCGTGGATCATTCCTCATACAATATCGATCACAGAATTGCTTGGTCCAGACTCGTTATTAGTTGCAGTCCGCTGTCGTATAGCTGGAATATTAATGGTTGCTGCGTTACACAACAAACTAACAAATCAAAGTGGCGTTATTTAGTCATGGTATGAAAAAAAACAGTTTGGAAGAAGTTAAATGAGACTTGTGTAAGTCTAATGCTGGTTGTTAGAGGAACGTACTGGGTCGGGTCACCCTGAAACAAAGGGGTTATAGCTAAATCGTCACCTCAGCAAAACTGCATTGATTGGCGAAAACGGAACCTGGCCTAAAGCGAAAACTTTACCACATAAATCGTTCTTATCGATATTTAAAATACAGACGCCGTTTTCGGTAAATGTGGTGCCGTTTTTCGCCTTTGCTGATATGAGCATGTATACACATGAATTTGTGCTCAAAATCATGCGGCATTTGACAATTTATTTATTTCAAAACTAATTCTAGGGCTGTCACATTCGTCACCACGCCCCTTTCCGTAACCTGCAAGAAGATTCGGCTTGTCCCGGAATAACACGAGTTGGTCGGGAATGGCGCTGTCAATGGCCCCGATTCTTACCCAGGTACATTGATACTTGATTTGTTGCTTTGTAAAACACTCCATTTTTGTCTAATGTGCAATGCTTAAAATGTGGAGCAATTTTGTAACGTAGGCACAGTTAGACTCCATTTTCGTATTTGCTATACACATTCCGCAATTTATATAAGTAAGCTCAACAGCAGCGCGTTTACGGAGGTTAGGCTGTTGGGAGCTGAGTACGACCTGTCATGGGTCAGTCAATTTTTTGGGGAGAGGAACAGTCAGTGGTCGTTGCTAAAAAATGAAAAAGAAGCATTTCCAAAGACATTCTTTATGGCTGCGTGTGTCATATAGCTGACGTAGACAGTCAGAACAGAAACGTCTTCCCCATTTTGTCATCAGCCTGCCCGGTACATTACAGTCGGTAGCATTCATTTAGGCTTGTGGTCGACCAGCCCATGTGTGAGCCATATGTCAGAAGTCCGAAACGATGACGTTTGTCGGTTTGGAGTTGAGGTGAACAGTAGCCGATTGTCTCACACACGAACACACGCCGCAGACATGGAATAAGTGGATGCCATACAATTTGTTGACTTTTGTTTTAAACTTAATGGATGGCCAACAGGAGGCTGTTATCAACCTCGCGCATTCTTCTAGTGTGCTTAGGTCTAACGTTGGTGTTTTGTTTCTATCTTGCCCGATTTCCTCTACAAGAGTCTACACCATGCGCGTGCCCAAGGGGCGAGAGCGAGTCCGAGCAGGATGTTCGAACTGTCCAGACACCAGCTATAGCTGACCGGTACAAAACCAACCACACCCTAGCAATTGTAGTGCCTTTGAGAGACAGGTTTGAAGAGTTGATGGAATTTGTACCTCACATGCATTCTTTCCTTAACAATCAAAGTGTTCGTCACAAGATTTATGTGGTTAACCAAGTGGACAATTACAGGTTTAACCGAGCATCCCTTATCAATGTTGGGTTTCGAGAGAGCAGTGAAGAGTGTGATTACATCGCCATGCATGATGTGGATCTGTTACCACTGAACCCTGCCCTCAGCTATTCCTATCCTGAAAATGGACCATTTCATATTGCTGCACCAAATCTTCATCCTCTTTATCACTATAAGACTTTCGTTGGTGGAATACTCCTCTTGAGGTCATCCGATTTCAAATTGCTGAATGGTTTATCCAACCGATATTGGGGTTGGGGTCGCGAGGATGATGAATTCTATGTCAGAATGAGGAAAGCGGGGATCATTGTTCAAAGACCTCAGAATATTACGACTGGAAATAGAACCTTCAGACATGTCCATGACAGAAAGAGAAGGCCAAGGGATAACAAGCGTTACTTTGACCAGAGGAACAAGACGAGAAGACTGGACAGGGACACTGGAATGTCCACAGTGCAATATGAGGTTGCCAGTAGGAGAGAATTAGCAATAGACAACGCCCCAGTGACAATACTAAATGTGAAATTAATGTGTGACGTCCAGTCAACCCCATGGTGCTTGCAGCCTGAAGATCATGAGTGGTATTTACAAAACTATTCACAGAACAATGTTCACTAAGTTATGTTTGTACGTTAAATGTTATGTTTTGTTGGTGTTATGATGGTCATACTTGTGGAAATGTCTCCAAGGGCAACATTAATCATATTTATCAACCTTATGCCTCATGTAACTTGGCTGTGCAGAATATGAATATATCAAGTTTTAATATTGTTAATCAATACTAAGTTTCAGACCTGTATATAGCACATCTCCAATGTTATCCTCAATACAGCTTACATATATTAACCTTGTTAAAAATAGTTACACCATTTATCTCACTTTTATGGTTATAGCTCAGTCGTGGATGTATGCAGATTCCTTGTCGAAAAGATAATGTAAGGTCGGTTAAAAATAGTTTGTTTAGTGACGGACGGGGATGTAGAAATCTATTTTGTTATTTTAATTCCTTATTAGGTCACAAATCTATTAAAGTGAACTTGATTTTAGTGTACCATTTGACCTCTTTTTGACATGCCCCCTTCAGCTTGATGTATACTTCCCAGGGAGTGAGAATCAAAATCAAAATCAAGTCCGTGCTGATCCATCTGTCATGGGCTAAACACATGTGACCAGTTATGAATTATTGGAAAGTGCACTATACAAATATTAATAATGTATGAAGAGACAGGTCCATTGACCATGTTTAGGTTCTCCCTGTGAATCTCACTCACTATGAACATGACGAATAGCATGTTCAAAACTTTATGATCTTGTGTAAAAACAAGATTGAGTTAAAAAAACAACAGTTTCTTAATTATGTTACTAGTGCTTAAATATTTTTCATGTTATATTAGGGGCATGTGTAATTTTAGGGGTCAGTTGGTCATCAAACAACAGAGCTCCAGATAAGCTTTTGGTGTTGTGGGTATTTTACCCATGCATTTTAAAATCATTGGGTATCAGTAATTCTATCTGGGTATTCAAATTTCTGTTACCCACTAGTTTTTACACATGTGGGTATTTAAGTTAAATATTTAAAAACTCTGTTCATCTAGTCCCTGCAAACTGGTGTCGTGTGGGTTCGAGAGCTTTATAGGACTCAAAAATACCACGATGCTTCCACAAGAAAGTGTGATGGCAAATGATCGTGATGTAACTGTCATCGTGGAGTTTGGCAAGGTTAACGGAATGCCCGTTTATAATTTCAAAATAAGTTGCTGATTTGCTAATCGAATACGCAGGGTTACTTCACAATATTTTGATGATACGCACATGTTTTATATTTGTAACTTATCTGTAATCATGGTAATGTTCGTTGCGTATTTGATACGCTTGGGTTTTATTTTCCTGCGTATATCTGCATTTCTGATGCGTATTTTACACAGCTTATCTGGAGCTCTGAACAAGGATATTTTTTAAGCCTAACCAAACTTTTGTGCTTCTGCTTGACCTTGTATTGTTGTGTAGTGTATTTGAATCATAGTACCACGTTTTGTGTGATCTTTCATTTCATGTGAACAAAACATAGGTCAGGAGTAGCAAACTCAAAACTATTTTACAGTGTGAACATAAATGTCATTAAGATCATTTTACAAAAAAACAACATATTAACAGTTTTTTATCAAATTATCATGTTTAAGAGCTTTAATGAATCTTCCAATTTTGACATGTTTTACGAGTGATGGTATATTTTATGAGACTGGTAATAAACATGTTTTATAAAATGCCCCGGTTTGTCATGTTTGTTGGTAATGTTGTTTTAATATTATTTGTCGGACTTCTCCATCTTCAAAGGGGGCATTATCAGCCCAGTTGTCTTAGACGCCACAATTCACTCTGCAGAATTGTATCCCTTGGGCGCACCAGGAACCTATGATTGTGAGTTTGAATCCTGGTTCACCCCCATTTTGTTTGTAGGTTTGTCAGCACCATTCCATGCTCTTGTGGGGGCACGGGTGGCCCAGTCGTCTAAGGCGCCTCGATTTGCTGTGCAGTGTTGCGTCCCTTGGGCATGCCAGAAAGCTATGATTGTGGGTTCGAATCCCGGTTCGCCCCGATTATGTTTCTAGGTTTGTCAGCACCATACCCGTGCTCGTGGGTTTCACCAAAGTGGTAAACGTCTGAGACCTGCTTCACTTCGGGCTTTCCTCACACATTAGGCTGACACACCGTGTTATAACTGGTAGCCTTTTAAAAGCGGCGTCAAACCCAACTCACTCACTCACTCACCAAAGTGGTGAATGTCAGACCAGCATCACTTCGGGCTTTCCTTCCACATTAAGCTGACATGACATAACAGGAATACTGTCAAACCAGCTCATTCATCTCCATCTTTGAAGGATTCGAAGAGAACTTAAACATTCAATCATACAAATTATAGTCATTGTTTTCACCTAGAAGCATAGGAATTATACAGGTTAATGATATTGTGACAATAAAAACTATTTAATAACATATATAATAACATAATATTATTATACTACTTTGCTTTTGATAGAGATAATCAGATATGTCATTCTGTTTAATTATACATTTGACGCATGAGAATCGGTGTTGTGTGTGATGGTAAATTTAAGGTTAAATATATGATATATATTATATATCCAATGATAACGGAGTAGTGTATAATTATGAATACACAATGCCATTTAGAAAGTGGTCAAATGTAACAAATGTTATATTTGGGATAACACTTTCTTAGTAAAGTACAGATTCTCATACTTTTTTGGGGTTGAGTCCCATCCTGGATTCGACCCCACACTTGCCTGAGTGAGGCACCTAATCGCCAGCACACAAAGTCTAACCCACTCAGCCACCGAGTACTGGTATAGTTAGTACTCTGGCTTCCTGTTTGTTGCAATTTTTTAATCTTTGTACTTTGACCATGATCATTGATGGGGTTATCTTTTATGAAGACACCCCAATTTGTTAAAGAAGTTCGAACCTGCTGTAGCAGCCATATTGAATTTTTTTTTATTGCCATTACGCTGCCATTTTGGTTCCAAAAGTAATGAAATTTTATATTTCTTAGTTGAAGGATCCAACACATATTTTGAGTTTTTATGTGTGTGCAATATTTTAAGTTTTTGAACATGCTCTTAAATTCTCTCAAAAGTCATATTTGCCTCTGAAAACTTGAGGGAGTTGAACTTGAGTGTGTATCTCTCTCCTTGGGACATCATAGTTTGTTCAAATCATTAGACTTCAGTGTTAGTTTTTAGTTCTCAGTATTTATGAAGAACATATTCCAATATCAATGCTGATAGCAACCTTTGTGCCTGTCTTTATTGACATTTTACACTGTAGACTACGTATCCAGGTGAGCTAAAGTGCGGTGGCAATGTTTTTTCTGAAACATGACATTGGTTTTATTGAAATAAAAACAAACACATCAGTATCTGCCCCATCCTTGTCTGATACACCCCCACCCCCAATTCTTAGAATTCAAACTGTGAGACACCCCATCCAGCCCCTTAAATAAATCCTATATAGATATATAATATTTTTACTTTCTTACACATTTTGGGGAAAAGATGTCTCTCCATGTATGAATACAGATGTATATCATGAATATCATGTGACTGCCATAAAACTGAAAGATCACAGGAAAGTAATCAATCTGAATTATTTAGTTGTCATTTAAAGGATTTAATAATCTATAACTGGTAATGAATTCTAAAATCGATTCCTCCACAGCAGATTCATGGAATATTGAACTCACCTCAGTTGGCTTTAGTCTCAAACATGCATTAACCACCAGCTTGGCTTTTTAAGCACATTTCCCCACTCTCCAACCCCGTGTGAGATATGAGGCCTATACGTTTTCAATGAAATCATGCTACTGCTAGACACCATAACTCGGAACAATTATGATTGGCAAATAATACCATCCAATGTTGATCAGGCTGTAGATAATGACAATGAACTGGCATAAATGTAAAGTTACCGTATTTGCTGAAACATCGCTCCAATAATCGCCCCCGACAAAATTTAGACCCATCTGCAAATTATCTTTATAAACGCTCCGTGCCAAGCCCGCAAGTGTACACGACGTCCATATTTTCCTGTTTATAATACGCATTTTTTTTACAGAAACACAGCTCTGTTAAAAACCCTACCCGATGATATATCAATGCTATACTTGCGATACATATCATAAAAAAAGGCAACTGGAATGACGACACGTCGGAAAGTTTTATTTGTAGTACAATAACAGTTCCAGATTCATTTCTTGGTTCTTTGAACCATCCCGTGGTCTAGTGGTAGAGCGTCCGCCCGGAGAGCGGAAGGTCCGGGGTTCGATCCCCGGCCGCGTCACACCAAAAGACGTTAAAAGATGGTATTGTTGTTACCCTGTCTCGCGCTCGGCATTAAGGGGCTAAAACAAGGACTGGTCGGCTGGGAGTCAGTGTCTGAGTGGGATATTCATGTTAAATTGCGGCATGGTATCTCAGTGAGCTAGCACTATAAATCGGCATCAGTCCGGACTAGTACAAGCAGCCACACAAACACAAACACGTACATGCACGTCGCTATATAAGTGCAATAACCTTGGACGCGACGTTAAACCCCATTTCACCTCACCTCACTAATTTCATGACTGATATTTACTCATTTTCAGCATCTTCGTGCAATCTACAGGGCAGTAAATTTACTGTTTACTAAGCTCCAACGTGACTGCAGTATAACCGGGTTATCGTACGAGAAAATAAACAATACTGATTACAGGGTAAACTGTATATAACGCTTACCGTTGTCTGGTCCCCTGTTATCGACTTATTTGAAGTTTCATGAACGTTTGAACGCAGGTGCTTATTATCCGCCCAATCTCTGAACACAAATTTATCTCGTGTATTATGTAACCACCCCTTTGCCAAGTTTCTAAGCTTCAAGGGCGCTTATCACGGCGAGTACGGTATATTTGTACAAGCTGTTGGCAAGCCAATAAAGAGATATTTCCACCGAAAATAGTATTTGATTTGTCTATGGACAATTCAGTTTTATGCGCTAGTGAGCAGTATTCCGGCGTTATAGCGGTTGATTGCAAGATTAAAGGCAGGGTGTGACAGCTCGCACGCACTAACAACGATCCACCCTGTCGGGGTATAAAAACGAGTGAATAGTTCTGGTATCTGACGAGCGAGTTTCATAAAATTGGTTTTACACGGGAGCGAATTTAGTATCTTATTTATTACTTGCCATTAATACCGTTTTTCGAATTATACTGTTGAGTGTGAATAGGCTGAGACCTACACGACCCACGGCATAATCCAATATTGAGTAATACTTCAAACACGTCAAAAGTTGAAACGTATGAATTTAATACCATACAACGGTTTTCCTTTAGAATTCATGCGTCCGTTCCACAAAATTATCGTAGCGCTGAGGTTATCGCAAGTCACATACTTTTACTTAGACTAACGACTGTAGTTGCGCTACAATACGATCGGCTTGTGGAACGGGGCCTTGCAGCTCAAAGTTTACAATCACGTCACAATACCCGATGACTTTATTGGTGGAATTTTGTTGCAAGATCCATCGGCGAAACAATGCCATGTGACGCCAGCCTAGCAACAAGGTTGCGGGGGTCATCGAGTGTGCAAAAGCTCCTCTCAGTGATTTATCATCTCCACACGCAATGTCGTCGAATAAGCCATGGGATGTTGAGAGCTTTCAATATTTGTTCGTGAAACGTGTTCCGAGAGTACATAAGCACGCGTTTTGGTATTACACAATGTGTAATTTTTGCATTGTTGATGCATTTCAATACCAATTTGTACCTAAAATGCCCCATGAAGATCCGGGTTAGAACTAATCTTCAGCAATCAATGCTTGTCGTAAGAGGCGACTAACGGGACCGGGTGGTCAGGCTCGCTGACTTGGTTGATGCATGTCATCGTGTCCCTTTTGCGCAGATCGATGCGTATGATGTCAGTCATTGGGTTGTCTAGTCCAAACTCGGTTTTGTTTTCAGACAGCCGTCGTGTGGCGGCGGGGTTGGGGGTTGGGGGGTGGGGGTTTAGCCTAGTGGTTACGCCGAAGACCCGGGTTCGATTTCCGACATAGGTGCAACGTGTGAAGCCCATTTCTGGTGTCCCCCGCCGTGATAATGCTGGAATATTGCTAAAAGCGGCGTAAAACCATACTCACATTGGACAGTTTTAAAGGTGACCATGAACACTGATAGTAAACATGAAACAACACAATGACTCATTTGGTAATATATGTTATAAAACAGTTACGCGATTACTAAACGCGAATTGACAAAAACACAAATTTCAACCCTCCTTTTCCGTTCAAGCAGTATCCAGGCTTGGGCTCTTCGTGTTGCAGAGGGAATTCTGTATCTCACGAGTTATTTTTGACGTAAGAAATTTCACATTCCAGTCGTTATCTACAGTAATGAAACGTAACTCAATAGTGTCTATCTTGTTGTGCAATCGGCTTACCAGTGTTGCAGATGAACGCTCAATACTCGGTGTATCGCGTGTCATCCTACTGCAGCGTTCGCGCTCAGGTGGGTTCTTGTCGACAACGGTACATTGATATAGTTGTAGCGTGAATTATACATATTTGTAGTCCGGCGCGGGGGTGGGTGGGAGTGAGGGGAAGAGAAGGTCCATGTTCATGTCCTATTGTCCCATATTATCAGTGTCAAGGACAATATACTAGCATACCTTGTGACTGAAAACCTTCACTGCTCATACGTGCGGGAATGATGTGATCTCATTATTGAAACAGATAGCCATTTGTGGTAGCAGATGCCATGTACACTCAATGGTATTGTTACGTAATATAACAGGCCTGTTATACATATTAATTATTTGAAATATATACATCTAATTATTTTGACGTTTTGTGTGAATATCTGCATCCAATATCTAACTTCATTTAATCTTGATTACAATCGTAAAAAATGTTCCATATAAATCTAATCCTATTCCGTATGTGGATTCAACTTTTTAACCACTTCCGGTTGAACATTCCTTCTTCCGCTCTGTCGTCAAAGACGCATTGAAACGAAAGCAAGCAATACTTCTTTCAATACGGTTACATGTTTTAGATTCTCGATATGTGTTATCTGAATACATATACGTAGGAGTATTCGCCCCAACACATGTATGTATCGGTAAGACAAAAAAGAAGAAGGGAAATAAGAACAGCATGAATATGAACGAGCCAAGTCCTGAAAGACAAAATGCAATCAACCGAAGTATAGATGAGGGGGTTCGGCAGGTGATTGACAGCTTCGTGAACAAGTCACAGGAGACAACCGAAGCGCTGGTCAACTCGTTTACATATCTCACAATCGGTAATTATGTCCTATTGTAAATTTATGATAGCGGAAAGCAAGACTAGCAGACTAGTGTCTGTGTCTAACAATGACTATCGGTAATGTTCCTTTGAAATGAAAATCTCAGAAATTCTTGGATTATTTTCATCCATACAATAAATACTCTAAGTTACTACGTGGTGATGATAGATGTTATTTCTTTGCAGATCATGTACTTGAAGCTGAATCCAAGAAGAAGGCAACTGTCTCTCCTGTTGTAAGCAATATGGAGAAACCTGTCTGCCTTTCCTCAGTGAAGGAGATAACAGAGGCGACTCCATCAACAAAACATTATACTCAGACAGATGACGACGGTGTAGAAGAACAGGTGAGGGGAAGGAGAGTGTAACTGAACTACGGTAGATCATGTAGCAGAGTAGCGTCCATTCTGACATAAGCCACTATATTCAGATGCCTGACAAGAGAGGGGACACGATTACCCATAGACATTACAGAGGTTGGCACCATGAGTTCCCAAAATGTCCGTCACACATCACATGATAACCATAACAGACCTGTAATACTGCTCCCAGCAGCATTCATACCAAATGACTCACAACACTGTAGCAGACAAAATAGTGCTTTTGAAACCTTTGAATGATCGCATTCAAATTTCACGAAAAAAAATGTTTTCAAGAAACTATAGATATGTTGATTTCCTGAGAGGCACAGCCAACCAAGAGTTTGACAGTACCCTGAAGAGAATGTGATGTAGTGACACTCCTTTGTTTTAGGCTCTGGATGAGGGAACCAAGTCTGGCACGATGACTGCTGGAGCTGTGCACCGAGGCAGCAGACCACAGAGAAAAGTGCAGTTCATATTTCTTCTTCAACATTGTGTGATGTGATAAATTTATGTCAATTTGATATTTGTATTGGAACTACATGATTTATTACTTATTGATATATCATAGTAAAAAGTGTTATGCTTAGGGCTTTCTCAATTCCTAGAAGTGCAATAATAACAGACATTTGGTGTTATAACTTAACCTGTGTCATACAATTTTCAGATTACATCAAATCAGTTGTCCATAGATTTTATATTATGTATGTAATGTGGGGCATGGGAGGGTAGATCTGTGAAGATCCTGTAGCCTATATGGCAAGGAATGAGTACATATATCTCAAACCCATGAAGATCCGGGGGTAGAAAAGGTCTTCAGCAACCCATGCTTGTCGTAAAAGGCGACTATGCTTGTCCTAAAAGGTGATTAATGGGAAGGGGTGGTCAGGCTCGCTGACTAAGTTGATGCATGTCATCGTATTCCAACTGCGTGGATCAAAGCTCATGATGTCCATCACTGGATTGTCTGGTCCAGGCTCGATTATTTACAGACCGCCGTCATATAGCTGGAATATTGCTGAGTGCGGCGTAAAACAGCAAATAAACAAACAACCATGGGATGGTAACTGATATTTATTGCCTGGTGTATGTGGATCTCCTACTTCAGGCCTGTTGATGTAGATGCTCCTTTCACTGGTAAGTATTTGTCTATAGAGACCATCCCGTGAAGATTCCGGGGTAGAATAGGTCTTCAGCAACCCATGCTTGCCGTAAAAAGTGACTATACTTGTCGTAAAAGGCGGCTAACGGGATCGGGTGGTCAGGCTCGCTAACTTGGTTGATGCATGTCATCGATCCCAATAGGGTGGATCGATGCTCATGATGTCAATCACTGGATTGTCTGGTCCAGACTCGATTATTTACAGACCACCATCATATAGCTGGAATATTGCTGAGTGCGGCGTTAAACAACAAACCAACCAACAACTATAGAGACCATCATATCAGTGTTCAGTAATTGTGTTGGATGTCATTAATATGTGATCAGTTTCTTATTCTTTGTGTATTTCCTAGTAATTTACATGTCAATGAGAATGTTCAGAGAGGGTGATAGCTTTGTGATTGTTCTGTTGCAGTTTGACAACTTTGTTGATGATGTTGGTAGTGATGATGGTGATGATGATGTATCAGTTGGAGGATACAGTGCAAGCTTTGCAGAGACAGGTCAGTGGGATGTATTCTCTCTGACTTTCATTGTCACAAATAGAGATAGAAATGGTAGAAACTAACAGATGGTACTTGTTGTTATCCTGTCTGGCACTCAGCATTAAGGGGCTAAAACAAGGACTGGTCGGCTCGGAGTCAGTACACTGTGTTTGAGTGGGGTATTCATGTTAAGCTGCGGCATGGAATCTCAGTGAGCTAGCACTATAAATTGGTATCAGTCCAGACTAGTACAAGCAACCACACACACACACGCATCCATGCACGTCGCTATATAAGTGCAATAATCTTCGATGCGACGTTAAACCCAATTTCACCTCACCTCACCTGACACTGGGTCCATCTTATTTTCCTCTGAAAAATATTTTGCAAGATATTGGTGTATTGTATCTGTTGTGTTAGCTCTGCAAACCTTCCCCCTGAATTAGCCGGACTATGGGAAGATGAAACTTGGCATGCATGTTCCTTCTAATGATACCAACATTCTTGAATTCAGCATTTTGTTATTAATGGAATGGCAAATATCTGATGTGCTTTCTGTACAATATTCAGGTAAATGTGGCAGTGAAGGAGGGGAGATAACCCAGTCTAAGGAAGAGTTCTTGTTGAAGGAGCAGCAGTTGCCCCATGCAACACAGCCAGCTGCTGAGTGTGACCTCAGTATGTTGGTGGATCAGCAGTACGATGCAGACAGTGTTGATAATGATGATGATGATGTTTCTGCTCAGCTTAACCCTGGTGAGGTTGACGTCCTCCCTGACAATGTTCCCACGGAGTTGGACCTGCTTCGGGTCACAAGTCTAGAGCTGACCACGACACGGAAAACCAGCAGCGAGGACACACCACAAATGACCGAGTCAGAGGATCAGGTAGCTACATTCTTAACTTCTCCTGTCTTTTTACCTTTGTTTATTTTTCATCCAGGGTTTTGTCTTGTTATAACTCTGATGGGTACTTGAGGACTCAAGGAGGGTTTAGATGGACTCTAGGTCTATGCAGGGACAGGAGTACCCAACTAGGGGAGACAACTCACATCTCCACTTTTCAAACAAGCATGTTGCATGCTGGGAGAGAAACTGCATCTGGACATGCTGGAAGCAGATTGAGTAGTTGTCATCCATAAAAAAATCTTGCCTTTACTGTTACTTAACTTCTAAAAATGCCAATCAAACAGTTCATATTTGTTTATCAAAATTGACTTCAATATGTTTTTGCAACTTTGAGTAAATCCACTTTGCAAAAAACCAATGTGCACACTTTGCAACATAAATACGTTTTGCGGATTCACACAGCATGCATGCCGTTTTTTACATTTATACCTTCCTAAACGCAAAAAATGTAGAGCTCAATCTTTTCTGAATATACGCTGTGTTTAATATGCTGAGTGGACATGTTTGCTGTGACAGGTGTGTTCGGACCAGGTGGAGGCCTTCTGTCTGGACGAGGACTTCGACTACGACAATGTCAAGCTGACCCCCAAGTTTACACCTCAAGAGTGGCAGTATCTACAGACTTTCATACCTACAGATAGTAAACCCAGCTGATAGCTAGAGATTGACTAAGAATTGCAATAAGTGTGTAAATATTCATGTAGAAAGAGCAGTAAAAATCATGTGTACATTTGTTTAATAAATCATGTTTTATTTTCAGTTGATTTTTGTGTATACACTCATGTTTATCTCACAGACAACAAGGGAATCTCTATACCGGGACCCGTGAAGATTCTGGGGTAGAACAGGTCTTCAGCAACCCATGCTTGCCGTTAAAGGCGACTATGCTTGTCGTAAAAGGCGACTAAGGGGATCGGGTTTCTCAGGCTCGCTGACTTGGTTGATACATGTCATCGATCCCTATTGCGTGGGTCGATGCTCATGATATGATTATCAATCACTGGATTGTCTGGTCCAGACTTGGTTATTTACAGACCGCCATCATATAGCTGGAATATTGCTGAGTACAGCGTTAAACAACAAACCATCCAACCAACTCTATACCGGTATATAGCATGGCTAAACTAATTATTACATTTTTTACTTTTCCTGCATTACTCTTTAATGCATTTACTGCCTACTTTGGACAGAAACAAAGCTGTGATGTGTCCAGCTGATGAGAACAGATTGTTCCGACTCTGTATACTATGTCTGAGTAGGGTGTCGGTGTTATCTCAGTGGTCTCTCGTACTACAAGACCGGCATTAGTACAAGCAGCCACACACACACACACACACATATAGCTGTAGAAGTGCTATACTCTTGAACATGGCGTTAAACTCCATTTCACTTCACCTGCAAGACGGACTCACCTTGTTATGAGAAATGCAGGGATTGATATGGCAATGTTGACATCCACTGGAATATGATCCATCACAGAGACGTGGTCCAATATCTCTTCATCTTTGTTGCCATGGCTGCGAGTAGACCCGGTTCAGTTCTTTGTCATAATATGGCTGAAATATTGCTCATGTACTGTAACTTACTTAATCCCGACTAACGATCAATAAGAACCAAAGGCTCAAATCAGACTGTTAATCACCATGTTAACGCTCCAGCTATATTACGGCAGTCTGTAAATAATGGAGTCTGGACCAGACAATCCAATGATTGACATCATGAGCATTGATCTACGCAATTGAGACATGATGACATGCATCAACCAAGTCACTGAGCCTGACCACCTGATCCCGTTCGCCACTTACGACAAGCATAGTGGCTTTTACTGCACCTTTATCAAGCAAGTGATCTGCAACTGGGTAAGCTAGCTTGATAGAGGTTTTGTTTGTTGTTTAACGTCGCACTCAGCAATATTCCAGCTATATGATGGCAGTCTGTAAGTAAAAGAGTCTGGACCAAACAATCCAGTGACTGACAACATGAGCATCGATCCACGCAAATGGTGTCGATGACAGGCATGAACCAAGTCAGTGAGTCTGACCACCCGATCCGTTAGACGCCTCTTACAACAACTATAGTCGCCCCGATCTTCACAGGCCAGGTACTCGCACTTGTACCGAGACGGCACATATTGTAAACTGTAGTCCAACACGAACAAACGAACAAAAGGTCCAAAATATAAAAAATAAACAAGCACTGTGTTTTACTTTGACATATATAAAGATAAAAAACATAATGTTAAAATACCACAATGGATGACGGTGCTGATGTCACAGATCTCATTACTACTTGGTACTTGTTGTTACCCTGTCTGGCGCTCGGCATTTAGGGGCTACAACAAGGACTGGTCGGCTCGGAGTCAGTATACTGTGTCTGAGTGGGGTATTCATGTCAAACTGTGGCATGGTATCTCAGTGAGCTAGCACTATAAATCGGCATCAGTCCGGACTAGAACAAGCAGCCACACACACATGCACGTCGCTATATAAGTGCAATAATCTTGGACGCGACGTTAAACCCCATTTCACCTCACCTCACCTCACGGGTCCCATATGTAACAGGAATAAGGGTTATAGCTAAAACGGCCCAATAAGACGGAACCTGTATGCATGACTTGAAACCGAAACCCTGACCTTGTTATTACGACACCAAACTACCATGCTATATTTATCCCCCCAAAAAGTATATAATATCAGTTTTCGGTTAATATTACCATACTCTAATGTACTTTTATTTTCAAGGAAACCGCAGTTACTAATTTACAAGTTTTGTTTGTTTGTTGTTTAGCGCCGCATACCCGACTTGCAGCAAAAATTACATCTACCTACATTTTTGGTTGTCAAACGTCGTATTCGGAAATATGCCAGCTAAATAATCGAGTCTGGACCAGACAATCCAGTGATTGACGTCAAGAGCATCGATCTACGCAATTGGGATACGATGACATGCATCAACCAAGTCAGCGAGCCTGACCACCCGATCCGATTGGTCACCTCTTACAATAAACATGGGATGCTGAAGACCAGTTCTAACTCTGATCCTCACAGGGGACACACAAGTTAAGATTATATATATCCAGACACACACAGTAATGGGTTAATTGGAGTAGATCTCGTTATCGCGCTTCTCCAAAAGTCAACTAGTGGGTATGTCTACATCCGCAATTAAGGTTTTGGGAGTGCCACACCCTCGCCATTGTAGATTAGAATCGTCAGGATACGACATATGCGACAATGCGATAAGAACAATCGGATATTTGGACTTTGAGATAATAAATATGTATTGTACTGATAGTGTTTAGTTTAAAGGGGTAGTGGGGGAAAGCTAGGTTTCCCCCACTACTTAAAGGAACTTGTTCAGGGTAAGTACACTGACCAGCTTCCGACGCTGATTTCATTGATTATTTCCATAACCGAATGTACAGTCAGTGCAGGCCGTTATTAGTTTATGCTGTTTATGCTGGGTGACTATTGAAATGTAAATGGGCAAATTGCCATACATTTGTATGTGTGTCAAATAGATGGTGAATGGTAAACACATACGCTTATGTTCGCTGGGCATTTGTAAAGTGAGTGAGTGAGTATGGTTTTTACGCCGCTTTCAGCAATATTCCCGCAATATCGCCAGAAATGGGCTTCACACATTGTACCCATGTCGGGAATCGAACCGGGTCTTCAGCGTGACGAGCGAACGCTTTTACCACTAGGCTACATGAGTAGTATAGGACGGGTCCGCAGAAGGTAGTTTTGGTTGATCCGGTTGATCCAGGCGGATGCGAAGGTGATTGGCTGATCCAAGTCACGTGATCGGATAGGATGACTCATGCATCAACAGCGCGTCACAGGTGAGGGGGAATGAAAGGTGTGTGTTTATAAGACAGAAAAGAATTCATAAGAAAACAAAAGTAAAAGGTTATGAATAGAGCTATGTGTATAGCGTGCTGCCTTGAATAGACACACCGTACCCGTCAGCCCAGTTTGAATTAAGCGCGCTTAACAACTGACGTGGCCTCGTCGTTTAACCCGCGCTCGCTAGAGCGTGCGACCTGGTTTTGATGAATGCAGGGTGTGTGTTGAAAGTACAAGTACCACAATGGAGACGGGTTAAGTCAACACGATATACGTCGGGTAATGTAGGAAAAAAAAACTGTACGTCTAGCTGGAACAGATCCATCTTATACGGTCTACACGTTGTACACCACGAACGTTAGACAACCTATATAGAAAAAAATACATAGAGACAAAATAGATAAGACTTCACAATCAGTAAGCTAGCAGTGACGTTTAGCGCGCAAGAACGAGGTAGTCACGTCACCCTGCATTAATTGACTATAACGCTGAAGGCAGCCGGATTTCGAATCACCCCGCGCTGCGTACTATTGTGAACCATTTGTATAGAGGGCGTTCACTTATTCAGCCCTGTCCCGACTAGCATAGTTGATGTTTCAACGCTAGCGTTTCCATTTAACGCGATGACAAATAAGCCCTACGGTTTCAGTTTTAACCGTGTATCATGATGTGCACAGTTTTTACTTCAGAACGTGCTATTTTGACAATAGATAGTTAGAACCATGTCTATGTTCAATAGAAAACTGATGAGTATACGTACCCGTGTGACGGCACGAAGCTAGGTTTGTTGGGAAAGTGATGGAAGCAATCTATAGGACATTTTCATGTTGACAATACTCACCCTTAATTCGAAGAGAGAACAGAGTTTATCATGGAAAATTGTTTGACGAGGAAAATGTTTTATTGGAAATATATGTCGAAGCAGGTTTATTCATAGCTAATGTATAGCAGAGAGACTAAGCGACCGACCGCCCATAACAATGTCAACATACCCCGGCCTTACAATTAATGTCAACATACCAGCCTCGCCTGAAGCTTCCCATTCATAAATTGTGTGACCACTGTCCCGTATTTATGATATGTCAGGGAAGATGTGTTGTACATTTGTTATTTTAAAAGGGAGTTATTTCAGAGAGGATATATATGGGTATTCCCCCTCATTAAACCTTTCTTTCGTTGGTGTCTATTGAACGTATCCGGTATTTAATACATTTGAATGATGTAGGAAAGTATGTGCGTGTAGATGTTGTACCTATATCCGAACACGAATGTATGACACCTTTCAATAGATCAATTACGGTTCTAACCACGACACGCAACATGACTATGGGCGTGGTTAGCAGTTCATATTTATAAACACATCGTAAATGACAGATTTCTGATGAATGAACTCGCCCGCACACATGTCTATAGGGTTATGTTCGCCCGAACTGTAAACAGTGACACATTGATAACAGGAAGGGTAAACTACGCGTTTAAACTCACCATTTAAATGATGACATTACTTTTTAGATATATTGGTATCAGTGAGTGAGTGAATGTTGTTGTACGCCACACTCGGCATTATTCCAGCTCTAGGCAACAGAGAAAGAAACCACATGCAGCCAAGAAGTCGACGCTGAAGACAAAGAAGAGACAGGTAACACCTAAAATGAAAACGATGACAACCCAACAGGAATCGAAGACAACACCCCAACCCGTGAAAATACAACATGTGTCGGAGGTGAAGGCTGTGGTGGAACGGGCACTTGCTGCCTTGAAGCGTCAACAGAGTCAAGGATATAAAAGAAAGCTGCATACCCTCTAATCGCACACCGTATTGGAGTGAGTGAGTGAGTGAGTGAGTATGGTTTTACGCCGCTTTTAGCAATATTCCAGCAATATCACGGCGGGGGACACCAGAAATGGGCTTCACACATTGTACCCATGTCGGGAATCGAACCCGGGTCTCTGGCGTGACGAGCGAACGCTTTAACCACTAGGCTACCCGACCGCCTCACACCGTATTGGATCAACATGGAGGTTGCCACCTGTCCGGACTGTCAAAAAAATGTTTTCAAGGAGAGATGTCATGTTACGACACAGGAGAAATAAACATAGCATACCGCCGCCGCCGTTACAAGCCCACTCGCCGCCGCAAGTCCACCGACCATTACAAGCCCACTCGCTACCGCCGCCATTACAAGCCCACCCGCTACCGCCGCCATTACAAGCCCACCCTCTACCGTCGCAAGCCCACCCGCTAACGCCGCCGCCGCAAGCTCATCCGCTACCGCGGCGGAAGGGCTTGTAACGGCGGGTTGGCTTTGCGGCGGCGGCGGCGGTAGAGGGTGGGCTTGTAATGGCGGCGGTAGCGGGTGGGCTTGTAATGGCGGGTGGATTTGCGGCGGCGGCGGCGGCGGTAACGGGTGGGCTTGTAATGGCGGGTGGATTTGCGGCGGCGGCGGCGGCGGTAGCGGATGCCGCCGCCGCAAGCCCATCCGCTACCGCCGCCGCCGCAAATCCACCCTCCATTGCAAGCCCACCCGCTACCGCCGCCGCCGCCGCCGCAAATCCACCCGCCATTACAAGCCCACCCGTTACCGCCGCCGCCGCCGCCGCAAATCCACCCGCCATTACAAGCCCACCCGCTACCGCCGCCATTACAAGCCCACCCTCTACCGCCGCCGCCGCCGCAAAGCCAACCCGCCGTTACAAGCCCTTCCGCCGCGGTAGCGGATGAGCTTGCGGCGGCGGCGTTAGCGGGTGGGCTTGCGACGGTAGAGGGTGGGCTTGTAATGGCGGCGGTAGCGGGTGGGCTTGTAATGGCGGCGGTAGCGAGTGGGCTTGTAATGGTCGGTGGACTTGCGGCGGCGAGTGGGCTTGTAACGGCGGCGGCGGTATGCTATGTTTATTTCTCCTGTGTCGTAACATGACATCTCTCCTTGAAAACATTTTTTTGACAGTCCGGACAGGTGGCAACCTCCATGTTGATCCAATACGGTGTGAGGCGGTCGGGTAGCCTAGTGGTTAAAGCGTTCGCTCGTCACGCCAGAGACCCGGGTTCGATTCCCGACATGGGTACAATGTGTGAAGCCCATTTCTGGTGTCCCCCGCCGTGATATTGCTGGAATATTGCTAAAAGCGGCGTAAAACCATACTCACTCACTCACTCACTCACTCCAATACGGTGTGCGATTAGAGGGTATGCAGCTTTCTTTTATATCCTTGACTCTGTTGACGCTTCAAGGCAGCAAGTGCCCGTTCCACCACAGCCTTCACCTCCGACACATGTTGTATTTTCACGGGTTGGGGTGTTGTCTTCGATTCCTGTTGGGTTGTCATCGTTTTCATTTTAGGTGTTACCTGTCTCTTCTTTGTCTTCAGCGTCGACTTCTTGGCTGCATGTGGTTTCTTTCTCTGTTGCCTAGAGCTGGAATAATGCCGAGTGTGGCGTACAACAACATTCACTCACTCACTGATACCAATATATCTAAAAAGTAATGTCATCATTTAAATGGTGAGTTTAAACGCGTAGTTTACCCTTCCTGTTATCAATGTGTCACTGTTTACAGTTCGGGCGAACATAACCCTATAGACATGTGTGCGGGCGAGTTCATTCATCAGAAATCTGTCATTTACGATGTGTTTATAAATATGAACTGCTAACCACGCCCATAGTCATGTTGCGTGTCGTGGTTAGAACCGTAATTGATCTATTGAAAGGTGTCATACATTCGTGTTCGGATATAGGTACAACATCTACACGCACATACTTTCCTACATCATTCAAATGTATTAAATACCGGATACGTTCAATAGACACCAACGAAAGAAAGGTTTAATGAGGGGGAATACCCATATATATCCTCTCTGAAATAACTCCCTTTTAAAATAACAAATGTACAACACATCTTCCCTGACATATCATAAATACGGGACAGTGGTCACACAATTTATGAATGGGAAGCTTCAGGCGAGGCTGGTATGTTGACATTAATTGTAAGGCCGGGGTATGTTGACATTGTTATGGGCGGTCGGTCGCTTAGTCTCTCTGCTATACATTAGCTATGAATAAACCTGCTTCGACATATATTTCCAATAAAACATTTTCCTCGTCAAACAATTTTCCATGATAAACTCTGTTCTCTCTTCGAATTAAGGGTGAGTATTGTCAACATGAAAATGTCCTATAGATTGCTTCCATCACTTTCCCAACAAACCTAGCTTCGTGCCGTCACACGGGTACGTATACTCATCAGTTTTCTATTGAACATAGACATGGTTCTAACTATCTATTGTCAAAATAGCACGTTCTGAAGTAAAAACTGTGCACATCATGATACACGGTTAAAACTGAAACCGTAGGGCTTATTTGTCATCGCGTTAAATGGAAACGCTAGCGTTGAAACATCAACTATGCTAGTCGGGACAGGGCTGAATAAGTGAACGCCCTCTATACAAATGGTTCACAATAGTACGCAGCGCGGGGTGATTCGAAATCCGGCTGCCTTCAGCGTTATAGTCAATTAATGCAGGGTGACGTGACTACCTCGTTCTTGCGCGCTAAACGTCACTGCTAGCTTACTGATTGTGAAGTCTTATCTATTTTGTCTCTATGTATTTTTTTCTATATAGGTTGTCTAACGTTCGTGGTGTACAACGTGTAGACCGTATAAGATGGATCTGTTCCAGCTAGACGTACAGTTTTTTTTTCCTACATTACCCGACGTATATCGTGTTGACTTAACCCGTCTCCATTGTGGTACTTGTACTTTCAACACACACCCTGCATTCATCAAAACCAGGTCGCACGCTCTAGCGAGCGCGGGTTAAACGACGAGGCCACGTCAGTTGTTAAGCGCGCTTAATTCAAACTGGGCTGACGGGTACGGTGTGTCTATTCAAGGCAGCACGCTATACACATAGCTCTATTCATAACCTTTTACTTTTGTTTTCTTATGAATTCTTTTCTGTCTTATAAACACACACCTTTCATTCCCCCTCACCTGTGACGCGCTGTTGATGCATGAGTCATCCTATCCGATCACGTGACTTGGATCAGCCAATCACCTTCGCATCCGCCTGGATCAACCGGATCAACCAAAACTACCTTCTGCGGACCCGTCCTATACTAATTACATGACCGCCCCTGGCATTTGTAAACCCGGCAGTGATAATAAGGGAATAAGGCCCAGTTTGAATTTTTGCAAGTCGGCGTTTTTCTAAAACAACAAAACAAGCAAGGCCTAATGTTTCCGAAGCTCCTCTCCTCCCTACTATATTTCTTGTTTTAGAGAACAACCCGTGGCCCTGAACAAATATGGCCAAAGAAATTGATTTGTAGTAATAAGTGGATCAGAATGCGAATGTCCGGTCAAATACCATAGTTCCTGTCTATTCTGTTGTATAATGACTTTATCGAGATACATGTATGGCGCCTCTCTTCATAAACACCCCTCATTTGCATGGGAGTCTTGAACTGCCTGCTAAATAAGTTTTGAAAAGGCAATCATACAGTGATTTTATGCACGCTTCTTCGGATCTCGTCAGACCCCCCATGTGCAATGCAATGTAAATTTTGTTTGATCTCTCCTGTGATTTCTCTTACTTATTGTGCATTTTATGGTGTGTTTTTAATTCGTCATATTTTTATCAACTCAGTTGTCATTTGTTTTCATCTTAAACTGTTTGTTGGAATAATAGCTGCTGTATTTGTTGCTTGAATAACAAGGGTTAAATAAAGTTTGACTGACTTTTCAAACAATGGTTTAATTTCAGGTAGTTTGTTTATATCTACTTGTTTGTCGCACTTCTGTTGCTTTAGAATTCTGATTATGTGTTTATTATCACTGAATGGGTGAGTGAGTAAGTGAGGAAGTGAGTGGGTGGTGTGTGTGTGTGAGTGAGTGAGTGACAGGTGAGTGACATGGGTGAGTGAGTGAGTGAGGGTTGGTGAGTGAGTGAGTGACATGGGTGAGTGAGTGAGGGTTGGTGAGTGAGTGAGTGAGTGAGAGAGTGAGATGTAACCTTGCTTTAAACTGTATTTCAGTTATATCATGAGGAGTCTGCTGAATGTAGGAGGAACGTGATGAGCGTCTTAGACCTTTCCCACTTTGATGAATCCCAACGACATGGGACTGGTGCTGACAAACCTTAAAACATAACCAGGGCAAATTTGAGATTCAAACCCACGTTCATGTGGGCATATCTAGGGGACATCACTCCTGGGCCACTCCAACCTGAAGTAGTGACATTCACATGACATGAGAACCACCTTGTCCAATCTCCTCAACATCTCTACTTCCATAACATGACAGAGGAAAGTATTGAATTAGGGTAATAATCACCTCAAATTTCTATTTCTATTTCATCATATTTTGTAAATGTTATTAAAACAGTAGTCCTGTGAAAGTGTGATTGGTGTGCTGTAAAATATGAACATAATAAATCTTCAGGTCACCGAAATATTGCTGACAAACGAGCGAAAACAAGATGTGATATATGATAATATATAGTTTATTTACAAAAATACAATGAATATGTGACAGTAAGCACAAATATGTTTGTAAACATTGGACGGAAGGTAATATCTCATCAATATAACAAATGTGAGCGTCTATGCACAAAAACATGGATCTCATGATAACGTGTGGATTAGTACTTACTAGAGAGTTGCCAGGAACCAAGGCAGATGGACCTGAAGTATCATGAACCGAGGCAGATGGACCTGAAGTACCAAGAACCCTGGGAGATGGACCTGAAGTCTCAGGAATGCTGCGGGATGGACCTGAAGTCCCAGGAACCCTGGGAGATGGACCTGAAGTCTCAGGAACCCTGGGAGATGGACCTGAAGTCTCAGGAACCCTTGGAGATGGACCTGAAGTCCCAGGAACCCTGGGAGATGGACCTGAAGTCCCAGGAACCCTGGGAGATGGACCTGAAGTCCCAGGAACGCTGGGGGATGGACCTGAAGTCTCAGGAACCCTGGGAGATGGACCTGAAGTCTCAGGAACCCTTGGAGTTGGACCTGAAGTCCAAAGAACGCTGGGGGATGGACCTGAGGTCTCAGGAACCCTGGGAGATGGACCTGAAGTCTCAGGAACGCTGGGGGATGGACCTGAAGTCTCAGGAACTCTTGGAGTTGGACCTGAAGTCCCAGGAACCCTGGGGGATGGACCTGAAGTCTCAGGAACCCTGGGAGATAGACCTGAAGTCCCAGGAACCCTGGGGGATGGACCTGAAGACTCAGGAACCCTTGGAGTTGGACCTGAAGTCCCAGGAACCCTGGGGGATGGACCTGAAGTCTAAGGAACCCTGGGAGATGGACCTGAAGTCCCAGGAACCCTGGGGGATGGACCTGAAGTCTCAGGAACCCTGGGAGATGGACCTGAAGTCCCAGGAACCCTGGGGGATGGACCTGAAGTCTCAGGAACCCTGGGAGATGGACCTGAAGTCCCAGGAACCCTGGGGGATGGACCTGAAGTCTCAGGAACCCTGGGGGATGGACCTGAAGTCTCAGGAACCCTGGGGGATGGACCTGAAGTCTCAGGAACCCTGGGAGATGGACCTGAAGTTTCAGGAACCCTGGGAGATGGACCTGAAGTCTCAGGAACCCTGGGAGATGGACCTGAAGTTTCAGGAACCCTGGGGGATGGACCTGAAGTCCCAGGAACGCTGGGGGATGGACCTGAAGTCTCAGGAACTCTTGGAGTTGGACCTGAAGTCCCAGGAACCCTGGGGGATGGACCTGAAGTCTCAGGAACCCTGGGAGATGGACCTGAAGTCCCAGGAACCCTGGGGGATGGACCTGAAGACTCAGGAACCCTTGGAGTTGGACCTGAAGTCGCAGGAACCCTGGGGGATGGACCTGAAGTCTCAGGAACCCTGGGAGATGGACCTGAAGTCCCAGGAACCCTGGGGGATGGACCTGAAGTCTCAGGAACCCTGGGAGATGGACCTGAAGTCCCAGGAACCCTGGGGGATGGACCTGAAGTCTCAGGAACCCTGGGAGATGGACCTGAAGTCTCAGGAACCCTGGGGGATGGACCTGAAGTCTCAGGAACCCTGGGGGATGGACCTGAAGTCTCAGGAACCCTGGGGGATGGACCTGAAGTCTCAGGAACCCTGGGGGATGGACCTGAAGTCTCAGGAACCCTGGGAGATGGACCTGAAGTTTCAGGAACCCTGGGAGATGGACCTGAAGTCTCAGGAACCCTGGGAGATGGACCTGAAGTTTCAGGAACCCTGGGGGATGGACCTGAAGTCCCAGGAACGCTGGGGGATGGACCTGAAGTCTCAGGAATCCTGGGAGATGGACTTGAAGTCCCAGGAACCCTGGGGGATGGACCTGAAGACTCAGGAACCCTTGGAGTTGGACCTGAAGTCCCAGGAACCCTGGGGGATGGACCTGAAGTCTAAGGAACCCTGGGAGATGGACCTGAAGTCCCAGGAACCCTGGGGGATGGACCTGAAGTCTCAGGAACCCTGGGAGATGGACCTGAAGTCCCAGGAACCCTGGGGGATGGACCTGAAGTCTCAGGAACCCTGGGAGATGGACCTGAAGTCCCAGGAACCCTGGGGGATGGACCTGAAGTCTCAGGAACCCTGGGGGATGGACCTGAAGTCTCAGGAACCCTGGGGGATGGACCTGAAGTCTCAGGAACCCTGGGAGATGGACCTGAAGTTTCAGGAACCCTGGGAGATGGACCTGAAGTCTCAGGAACCCTGGGAGATGGACCTGAAGTTTCAGGAACCCTGGGGGATGGACCTGAAGTCCCAGGAACGCTGGGGGATGGACCTGAAGTCTCAGGAACTCTTGGAGTTGGACCTGAAGTCCCAGGAACCCTGGGGGATGGACCTGAAGTCTCAGGAACCCTGGGAGATGGACCTGAAGTCCCAGGAACCCTGGGGGATGGACCTGAAGACTCAGGAACCCTTGGAGTTGGACCTGAAGTCGCAGGAACCCTGGGGGATGGACCTGAAGTCTCAGGAACCCTGGGAGATGGACCTGAAGTCCCAGGAACCCTGGGGGATGGACCTGAAGTCTCAGGAACCCTGGGAGATGGACCTGAAGTCCCAGGAACCCTGGGGGATGGACCTGAAGTCTCAGGAACCCTGGGAGATGGACCTGAAGTCTCAGGAACCCTGGGGGATGGACCTGAAGTCTCAGGAACCCTGGGGGATGGACCTGAAGTCTCAGGAACCCTGGGGGATGGACCTGAAGTCTCAGGAACCCTGGGGGATGGACCTGAAGTCTCAGGAACCCTGGGAGATGGACCTGAAGTTTCAGGAACCCTGGGAGATGGACCTGAAGTCTCAGGAACCCTGGGAGATGGACCTGAAGTTTCAGGAACCCTGGGGGATGGACCTGAAGTCCCAGGAACGCTGGGGGATGGACCTGAAGTCTCAGGAATCCTGGGAGATGGACTTGAAGTCTCAGGAACCCTTGGAGTTGGACCTGAAGTCCCAAGAACGCTGGGGGATGGACCTGAGGTCTCAGGAACCCTGGGAGATGGACCTGAAGTCTCAGGAACGCTGGGGAATGGACCTGAAGTCTCAGGAACTCTTGGAGTTGGACCTGAAGTCCCAGGAACCCTGGGGGATGGACCTGAAGTCTCAGGAACCCTGGGAGATGGACCTGAAGTCCCAGGAACCCTGGGGGATGGACCTGAAGACTCAGGAACCCTTGGAGTTGGACCTGAAGTCCCAGGAACCCTGTGGGATGGACGTGAAGTCTCAGGAACCCTTGGAGATGGACCTGAAGTCCCAGGAACCCTGGGGGATGGACCTGAAGTCTCAGGAACCCTGGGAGATGGACCTGAAGTCCCAGGAACCCTGGGGGATGGACCTGAAGTCTCAGGAACCCTGGGAGATGGACCTGAAGTCCCAGGAACCCTGGGGGATGGACCTGAAGTCTCAGGAACGCTGGGGGATGGACCTGAAGTCTCAGGAACCCTGGGAGATGGACCTGAAGTTTCAGGAACCCTGGGAGATGGATCTGAAGTCTCAGGAACACTGGGGGATGGACCTGAAGTCTCAGGAACCCTGGGAGATGGACCTGAAGTCCCAGGAACCCTGGGAGATGGACCTGAAGTTTCTGGCAAGATGACTTGAGAACCATTTCGAAGCGCTATTTGGGAAGCATTATGTTCCTCATTGTTCATGCATGGATCCAGAGGGGGATGCAGGGGAGAGCACCCATCCCTTGTCTTTTTGAAGCTTAAATAACATTTCTACATTGGAAGTTTCGTGAGTGAGTATGAGTACAGTATGTCTACACTAGGCAATACTCTAATCTGATCCTAGGCTGGAATCAGAGGGCTAGTCCACCCTGAACAAATAATACCATTCACCATTGCATTTATACATTTACAAACAATGTTTCTAGTTAGCCAACAGGGTCCTGTTCAACTAAGCATTAACGGTCATACTGTATTCGACGTAATAAGCGCCCAGGGCGCTCTCAAAATTAGAAATAGGGGGCTCTTATTAGAATGTTATTTTGGTGAAAAAAACAGAGTTGAAAGATATATTTTGTGGTTTATGCTGACAGCCTGAAATGTTTATGTACGACAGATATATTTTTCCAGAATTAAAAGCCCATAATTAAGGGTGCATATAACACACGAGTGCGTATTATACGCGAATAAATAAGTTTTGTGTACATTGATCAATCGGAAGGGGTGCTAACTGGAATTGTCATTAGCCAATATATTAGCAAATATCGCCGTGGGCGCTTATAAGAGTTTGGCACTTATAACGTCGAATACATTAACTCCCATGACCTATCAAAGACTTCGAAGTGCTTGGGATGCATTGTGAAACAGCCCACAGAATTATCACTGGGCCAACATACATATTTCTAGGTAAACTGCAAGTCATGAGTTTTACACAATGACACTACATTTTCACATCTTCCCATTGACAACATTTCTTCAATTTATATGTTGGTAAAAGGTAAACATTATAAGAAGATAAGCTAGCTGGATCCCTAAAAATTTCACAATTACTGGTCCTGAATCAATGTCACCAGTATTTGTCTAGTGGGCCAGCATGCCATCGTGAAATACCAACCAAATTGATCAAAATAATTTGGGGGCAGATTTGGCTGCTGATGGTATGGTCCATGCTGTTGGGGAACAATGAAACCGCCAGGTGTCAGCAGACAGCAGTCTTCCCTGTGACAGACTTCAAAATTCACATTAGTTCGAGACTATTTAATAATGATTAGGACAAATAAACTTCAATAATGGTCGTCCTCATTGACTAGCAGAATTTGAGGACTATAATTCTGAACCAGTTCTCAATTTCGGTACAAATCAGAACGGAATAAATAGATAGAAAATGTAAGCATAGGAATCATTTTGGCTACAACCTCTGAGGACAGGCGAAATTAGGCCTCCACTGGTCCTCTGGAGTAGCCATTGAAAAAAACAAATTATTAAGGCTGCTGTCACCTGTACAAGTTTCACCTGGACACATACCACTTTGTCCACCCAATCCCCGATTCCAACAAAATCATTGGAACTTGGGTTCCAGAGTCGCAGTTGTGATTCTTCAAACAAACATGACAGTGTATATACAATATGTACAAATAACACACACGTTACATCTTTGTACAGGACATTCCTGCATCTCACTACATAGATACACACCTAACTTGCTAAAAAATGCTTTAAACAAACAATTTCTTTATCTTAAGGAAGAGCCAAACAATTATATCATTATTCACAACACTCATCTTTGTTAGGACATGTAGCATGTCTAGTGAACAGATATGTTTGAGCTGTAAAAAATGAGGCCAAACTATTTTTTTCAAGTATTTCCTGGAACAATCTAAAACAAATATATGTGTAAAAGAAAAAGCATGTGCCATTATTAGATGATATTGCCAATAAGGATCTTGGTCAAAAACTCTCCCCAGGTTAATTAGATACACATCAAATGTCGTTACTCCATTTACAGAAACATGAATGTATGACGTTCCAAACTCTCCTGAACTCTCATGATGTATCCCCGGCAACATGAATGATTATAACTGACAGTTCCCCAACACCATGCAAATAGACTCACAAATGTAAACTTTATCTAGCCATGTTACTGTATTACTTATGATATGACTAGATAACTTTTAAAAATATAAAAACATGATGTGTTAACAAAAGTAAAATAAAATTGGAATGTTAATTTGAGCTTTTTGATAACCATATGAACAACACTGTATGTTTCCCTTTCTCAGGCGATTGACTTGCTGTATTTTACAGTCCTTGACAAGATTTGGAAGTATTTGATTTAAATATACATGTATCTACCTAAATTGTAACCACTGTAGATATAATGAGATCTAATTATTATAGGCTTGATTCTTTGATATTTTGAGTTTATGGATTGATGAAACAGAGACAAACACCACAATCAGAAAATATAACAAAAACGGATAAAATTATTCACATATCCCTGATGGCTCATCTTTAAAGGACTAAACAAATACTAAAAGCTATAAAAATCATAACAAATGAAAGTAACTATAGACTTTTTAAAATTAATAAACGCACAACTTATGAGACACTTCCCTCTTAAAAATAATGTCGTCTAATATATCCAGTCTTCCACTTGCGAGCGCATATTCAAATCTTCAGAAACAATACCATGATAGAAGTGTTTTCTTCATTGTTCTTTGTGATTTATCACATAGCTATTTTATATAAGAAAATAAACATCCATGTTACAAAACATTTCTTAACATCATGCATGTTTTACAGCAGTTGCATAAACCCCGTCCCACTTGAACTGACCCACCCAAACACCTTCATCTCAAATAAAATACAGGATTGAGCTCGGAAATTTGATAATATATTACCAGCTGATTCAAATTAATTACCTAAAATCTGTAAAGCATAAAATGAGAAATAAGTGTGGCCCGAGGATGTGAAGTGAAATTTTACCCCCAAAAGCTTAAAGCTTTCGACATCTAGATTGCGTCTGAAACATATCTGGAATCGACACACCATAATATACTACTGAAAAGATGTTAGGACCGCCCAATTCTTTCATATTCCTATAGTTAATCTGCCATGCCATGGTCCTGAACTTATTTTGTGTAGTATAGATTCTGTAAGTTAAGGGTAAGGAGCAGGCAACATACTGATACATACTTAGGGCAATCATTACCGTATATCATTGTGCATAAGGCAAGTTTTTCGTAGCTAGAATTAGGGGGCTTTGCAGGGGGGTCGTCTTATATGGTTTTTTTCCCCAACACAAAGATATTACTGTGAACACGTAACACCGGAAATACCATGTCAACAAATCCGTACTGAAGTACGTACTCAATAAATAAAACTTCCCGGTACACTGATTATATAGCCAGTGATATTCAAAACAAACTTTGCTTACAATATCAAGCATGCCTCACCTCTAGACAAAAACATTTGTAAAATAATACAAAATAATTGAATGAGCAATTATTCTCATTTCACACATTATGCATTTATTTATTGCAAAACACAAACAGTTTTAATATGAGCGTAATAAAATATTAATAATATTAATTAAAATATCACCAACTGAAACCAGGTTAGTGAAAAATTAACAAATACCAACAATTTCAAAATGTATGTAATAAAATAACATAACAACAGCTTGTGACGAATAAATTAAATCATTTCGAAAAATGATTTCAAAACATGAAAATAGAATAACAAATCTCTTACAAGATGTTCTCAATATGTTGGAAAAGCCTTGGACAAATAATGTAATATGATGCTGAGTGTTGCAGTGAATAGCAGAGTAGTGGGCTGTAATATACAGTTATTGCTGACTCACAGTAAGCTGTGCCACCATAAATGTTTCACATCATCAGATCATGTACTAATGGTTGGTTGGTTTGTTGTTTAACGCTGCACTTAGCAATATTCCAGCTATATGACGGCGGTCTGTAGATAATCGAGTCTGGACAAGACAATCCAGTGAGTGATATCATGAGCATCGATCCACGAAATTGGGATTGATGACATGCATCAACCAAGTCAGCAAGCCTGACCACCCGATCCTGTTAGTCGCTTCTTACGACAAGCATAGTCGCCTTTTACGGCAAGCATGGGTTGCTGAAGACCTATTCTACCCCGGATCTTCACGTCATGTACTAAGGCAGATTCATAGGGATGTCATTGTATGGAAAGGAATGGTGAAGTACTTCAAACCTTAAGCCTTGTTACTTCAATTGATTTCACTGCATGAAACATAATATATCATCGTTATTACGTCGAATACAGAAATACATATTAATCTGTAACATATTTATGAGAAATGTCCCAACAGGTTGTTGTTGTCAGCTTGTTCTCATAGTGGGGCGGTCGGGTAGCCTAGTGGTTAAAGCATTCGCTCGTCACACCGAAGACCCGGGTTCGATTCCCGACATGGGTACAATGTGTGAAGCCAATTTCTGGTGTCCCCCGCCGTGATATCGCTGGAATATTGCTAATAGCGGCGTAAAACCATACTCACTCACTCACTCATTGTTCTCATAGTACATGTATAATGCAATCATAATTAGCATACTGTTCTGTGATTGGCTGTAAGGTAGCACTAGCTCCAGCGATTATCAGGTAACATTATTGCAAAACTTTGTAAACATTTCTTTTTAAAAACTTGAATCAATACATGGGTCACCATATTGTGTATTGCTTCGTCAGATGTAAATGTGTGATCCATCGATACATCAGTGAAAAGCAACACCTAAAGTGCTTATCATATCATGAGAGAAAAAATATATTATGTTTCAGGTAACCTGACAAACCCATTATTTCACCTGCATCACCAATGTTTTTATCACAGCTGGAAACAAACATCAAGAAACAAATATTTTACATTCAGAAACAAATCAGATGTTCCGGATATTATCGTTGCTGTACCTATTTTGACCAACAATATGAAGATACATTGCAACCAATATCAAAAAACAATTCAACAAAAAAGAACAAAAAATTGCCTACATTTTGGGAACATGTTATCCGAAACACATCTATATCTTGGGGGTTCTGACATACCAAGAGACCCAAATCAAATTATGACCTAGGACAGCTAATTTGCCCGATCCTAGTTCCCCTTTAATGATTCAGTCCAGTGTCCGAAATTACTGCCGGCCTGCCTGCTCGTGCCAGGTAACTTTTCTGTCGGGCTGCACAAAATTTGACTCCACCTGCCCGACTGTTTGGCAGATACTTTTAAGACCACTTACGTATTCAGTTTTAATATAACTCCTTGTAGATTCTCAAGTAATTGTTTGCATTATTTTAACCGTGAATCAAGGCTTTATTTGTCTCTTAGTTTTTGCGATTTTTCAATATATAATGCCCGAGCGCGGGCAGGTTATTTTGAAGCCATGCAAAAGACAAGTCAACACTTTGGGTCACCTACCCAACTTTCTTGTTGGGTCTTAAAATTATTTCAAACACCGATTCTGATTCAGTCACCTGTTTGGGAGAGTGGCATCCACCCAAAGCAAAACCTTGGCACAACACTGACGCTGTGTCCAGACATATTTGCATTATTTATTACAAGGATACATATTAAAAAAAATTGCATTGGTGGACTACATATAACAGTGGCTGTGAACAAACATAACAAGCTAAAACATCTGAGATACCACTGAAAAAATGTCAAAACAGTATGGTATCTTGAACATAAAACCGTTCATCTTGAATAAATTAAGTACTAGTACTCAATACTTGCATATCAGTATTTCTTTTGATGTATTGCAATACAAACAAAACTATGAGATGAAATACATTTTGTACATTCTGAGACAAAAATAACGTAGGGTCAGCGCTGCCTTTACACATTACGAATGGGTCGATTCGATGAATTTTGATATGTGATTTCAAAAAGACGAAATGAGCGTAAAACCATTGCAATGGGCGTAAGCAAGCCATGGAGAATATCAATCACGGGTTGCGACAGATGGCGTACACCTGTCAACATGTTCCAGAAAAACACAATGATGGGCTGGAAGACGAGGCTGAAGGTCAGAGAGAGAAGCGGCTTGATGAAGAAGTCTCCGACACCAGTTAGTAGCCCAATGATGATTGGCTGAGCCACATGGTGGAAGACGAATTTCAGCGCTTCAACGATGAAGATGATGAAGACACCAGTGACCAGTCGTAAACCGCCAAACACTTCCTGCCACAGGCGCCGCATAACTCTCTCCGCTCTGGAACAGATGAGAGTGAGTGAGTGAGTTGGGTTTAACGCCGCTTTTAACATTATTCCAGTTATATCATGGCGTGTCAGCTTAATGTGGGAGGAAAGCCCGAAGTGATGCAGGTCTAAGACGCTTACCACTTCGGTGAAACCCACAAGCACAGGTTTGGTGCTGACAAACCTTGAAACATAATTGGGGCGAACCGGGAACAGATGAGAAACCACTTCAATTATTAAAGTGCTTATTGTTCAGAACACATTTTATACCAAGTTAACAATATCATTACAGACGAGTTTGCATAAGCTGACTTCGTTTGGGTTCAAAATATATCGTTTAGGCTGTAGGTCAGAGGTCAGCATGAGTGTGTCCCTTGGTCACTGGTTGGAAAATCGTTTGATATGTGACAGAGTTTAAAATTGGCACTAGTCCTGACATCCTTTTCAAGCTGCCCAATAGTTAAGGTATCAATAGGACTAGTAGAATTTAGCCCTATTAAGTGTTTTGCTATATGGTATCATTATAAGGACTAGTAGACTAACGCTGTTAGTTTCTACCACTGTGTGATGGCGTGCATCAACGTTTTTCCAAGGAATTGGTTACATTGGCCAACATAAAAATAGGATTTGTTTCTTCTGGCATAAACTACATAAATATGTCTTACTGATATCTAGTTAACAATGGTTAATCGATCTACTAAATAGATTAACTACTGACTGGTGCATATAAGTATTTTCAGCTGTGTCGGCCAAGACATGTACCTTGCATTAAAAATCCTATAAAGTTATATCATTGGGTGTGTCTTGACCGAATCACCGGTCGATTCCAAGAAAACGTGTGTACAGCTGATTGCTGTTTCCGGCTTAGTTTACGAGAAAATACACAAGGTAATCTTAATCCCTGGATATAAACCAATGCCTAGCAGAACAATAAATACTATTTAAACAGTAAATAAACATGTCTGGTGATTTTTTATTTCAAATTTTGAATTTGTACTGACAAAGTTTCTCATCACCCGTTCGTTTGCCGGACTTCGCTGAAAGGGTACGGTGTAACATTTTTCTGTGCATAATATTCAAATTTTTTTTTTTCCAAAATATTGAACCCGCTAGAGGGGGGTGCGCATTATACATGGGTGCGCACTATACTCAAGAAAATACGGTAACTGAAAGGATGCAGAATGATAAAAGTCCTTTGGTCTACTGGAAATGTTAACTTCTAAATGTATGGGTGAGTGAGTGAGTGAGTTGGGTTTTATGCCGCTTTTAACAATATTCGAGTTATATCGCGGCGTGTCAGCTTAATGTGGGAGGAAAGCCCGAGGTGATGCAGGTCTCAGACGTTAACCACTTCAGTGAAACATAACCGTGGCGAACCAGGATTTGAACCCACAACCATAGGTTTCTGGCGTGCCCAAGGGACGCAACTCTGCACAGCGAATCGCGGCGCCTTAGATGACTGGGCCACCCGTGCCCCCTCAAATGTATGGAAAGGTTTAGAATTTTGGAATGAAAATTATGTTTCAAAAATTTATCTGACTGAAAGCAAGCCATATTTTTTCTTTCACTGTCAGAGTTCTTCACAGAGAGTGAAACAGACCTAAAATCTAACTACAAGCAACTTATTGACACAAGATGTTTTATAACAATATGTCTGAACTGTTTGTATCTATGTTTCCTAAGAGGTGAGTGAACAAAACTATAATGTGGCATCGGCAATACTGTAGCCCGAAAGAGACACATTTCTAAGACACTTCTCACATTTCTTGAGAAAATTAGCTTGTTTGTGTTCAAAATTGTAGAAAATACTCCCTGAAAGCCTCCAACAGCAGCATTTTGACACATTTTAACTGTACTTATCATAATTGAGTTTATATAAAACTTCAGTCAAAAGAATTCAAGACCTTTTCAAGACTTCCTCCATATAATTTAATGTTCAATTTGTTACATATTCACTGTATATAAATCTGAACGTTATTACCATTTCTGGTTTGATGCCATCACTTCCAGTTGAGGAAAATGCATGTCATATGCTGTGTGACTTTAAAACAGAAAGTCCCACACCTCTAGCTGCCTTGATAAGTAAGTTACATGCACTTCCGGTTTAATGTCCTTGACACTCAATTTCAGCCAATCACATGGTACTTGTTGTTACTCTGTATGTCGCTTGGCATTAAGAGGCTAAAACAAGGACTGGTCAGCTCGGAGTCAGTATACTGTGTCTGAGTGGGGTATTCATGTTAAATTGCTGCATGGTATCTCAGTGAACTAGCACTATAAATCAGCATCAGTCCAGACTAGTACAAGCAGCCACACACACGTGCATGCATGTAAGTGCAATAATCTTAAACCTAGATTAGACGCTAAACCCCATTTCACCACTTACTTGTCGGCCACGCTTGGCATGATGGCTGCCTCCTCGGAGTCGGGTACTTCGTACACCTTCATGTTGCACGGCTGGAAGTGGTACAACATCCTACAACACAACATGTCCGACTACAACATACAACCCTTTTTAAAGCTTACTTAACATACACACGTATACCAAGCATAATTTTTAATTAAATAAATTGGTGATATGTGTCGACAAACATGACAGCGCTGGATGGGTATTGGAGGTTAAAAGTGTATCACAATATTTTGCGATCCACTCAGACGTAATTTGATATGTATCACGAGATAATGTATCATTGTAAATTTTGACTTCAGAAGCAATTTGAAACATAAATATATGAATTGTAGTTGACAAATAGAACAGAACAAGATGCTGTTACAACAATGTTTACTCAGTCAACAAGAAAGAAGTGAGCAAAGCTCACATACCCCCATTATCCCCGCTGGTCAACAACAAATAGTAAATAGTTTGTTAATTAATGAAATATACCTGTTGCTTTAAGTCAGAGGAACTGCCCTTTCCTTTGATACTGGAAATTAACTACCGGTACAAAGCATGACGCATACTTATTATACAATAAATGAGAAAGAGTAAAAGAGAATTACTGTAGTTCCTCTATGAAAAATCTGTCTCCAATAAATGTTGGGTGATTACAGAGTTTCAATGAAAATCTCAATCCCTCATTACATTCTGATCTCTACTGCTGTATCAAGGTCTGCGATAATTAGTGAAAGCTGGGCATATGTACAAGTACAAGTACTCATTGTGGCTAACGTGCGTAGAAAGTTTGGTGAAGCTAGGGTGCATGGTTAAAAAGTTATTGGCAGTACAAAAGCTCGGATGGAAGGACGGAAGGACGGACAGACGGAACGCTATATACCCCCGATTTACTTCGTAAACGGGGGTATAACAAATACGTAGCCATCTTTGGGCCCCGGATGCATGCTACGGAGCAGTGAAGGTATTTGGCAAGTGTATAACATTAAACACATGATAAACATCGCTATTTGAAATCACCCGATATACCCAGCATGCAAGAACGATATTTGTGATACTACTGTGGAAAAAATGAACCTTGATGTACCAGTATACTGTACACCCTGAACCACTACCAAACAAGTATGTGCGTTAGTTACTCACACTGACGTTGTGTGTAAAGTACTCTCCTCTTTTCCAGAGAGCTGCATCCCCACTTGAAGGATGTACATTTTGTTTTGTATTGTTCTTGTCTATGTAACAAATGTTATATTTGGGATAACACTTTCTTAGTAAAGTACAGATTCTAGTACTTTTTTTGGTTGAGTCCCCTCCTGGCACCTAATCGCCAGCACACAAAGTCAGCGATCTAACCCACTAAGTCACCGAGACTTCCACAAAATGAAAGTCTGACAACTGGTAGTCCAGATCACGTACCTTGTGTACCCCTCTGACAAACGTAAATTTGCACAGCCCTGGTTGCTGAAAGCTATGAACACACAAAACCATTTAGAAAAATCTGTACCTGAGTGTGAAGAAATAGAGAATCTCACCCGAGTGTCTTTTGATATAAAATATATCAACACGAGTTGATAAAAGTGGAAACATTCTGAGGCTTGCCGATATTGTCCAGTGATTGATATTGTGAGCAACAACGACCCACAACCAATCAGGTCACCGAGCCTGACCACTGATCCATTTAGATGCCTCTTATGACCAGCAGAGGTTGCTGGGTACTTATGTTAACCTGCATTCCCCACTGGGTGCATTCATAATGTTTCAGTGATGAAAATTAAAGGGTAAAAAATTTGTCATGTATTGAAAGCTGCTGACCTTGCTCCCTCCTCATCATGGAAGACGACAGGAAGCAGGTTAGCCTCATCCAGAAACTTGTTGCCAGGCATGTCCACCCTGACATCACGAGGGCTGTACGGTGACGTGACATCACGGGAGGCATGTGGCATCATGACATCACGTCGTGCTACATCTTCGTACGGCATGTCCTGTTCGTATGTCTGGTCGTGTTGCTGGAAGATAAGAAACGTTTCACAATCAAAATTACTGTTTCATGTTTTTGCCGTCAGTATTTCCAGCTTCTTTCGTAAATGATCAAATCACACTGTTCCATATATACTCTGCAAAAAAGAAATGCAAATATAGTAAAATCGTAAATATCTGTGTGTTGCCGACGTCCATACAAAGTTATTACCAAAAATGAAATAGTCATTTCTGCATGGACTGGGATTGATTTGTGTGGAAAGAATGAGGTACTGCAGAAATTTGGTGAAAAGATGGAAAAATTGCAAAAAAACAACTACGTGAGAGCCTAGAGCCGAAACACACCAACATGACATGCACGTGCAACATCACTTGTTAGGCTTTAAAACTGTTGGGTTTTTATTTGCATGCCATCACAATCTTTCAGCATGTGAACAGCCAAAATATGCCACGACTGATGAAAGCCCAACGCAACAACGCTATCGAACAACTGCAAACAGAAGAATCATTTTCAGTTGTAGTCACGTTTTCCCACGTAGCATCAAGCACCGTTACAAGCCTGCAGAACTGTTATCTGACACATGGGCCAACACAGAACTTTCTCAGATCCGGTCGACCACGTATCACAACTAAAGTAGAGTGCAAGGCTGTCACTTACGAGAAAGAACCACCATGGCCACCTGGCATGTCAAGGACTACCTGTGTTGACATGTCAAGGACTACCTGTGTTGACATGTCAAGGACTACCTGTGTTGATATGTCAAGGACTACCTTTGTTGACATGTCAAGGACTACCTGTGTTGATATGTCAGGGATTACCTGTGTTGACATGTCAAGGACTACCTGTGTTGACATGTCAAGGACTACCTGTGTTGACATGTCAAGGACTACCTGTGTTGATATGTCAAGGACTACTTGTGTTGATATGTCAAGGACTATCTGTGTTGACATGTCAAGGACTACCTGTGTTGACATGTCAAGGACTACCTGTGTTGATATGTTAAGGACTACCTGTGTTGACATGTCAAGGACTACCTGTGTTGACATGTCAAGGATAACCTCTGTTGATATGTCAAGGACTACCTGTGTTGACATGTCAAGGGCTACCTGTGTTGATATGTCAAAGGCTACCTGTGTTGACATGTCAAGGACAACCTGTGTTGACATGTCAAGGACTACCTGTGTTGACATGTCAAGGACTACCTGTGTTGACATGTCAAGGACTACCTTTGTTGATATGTCAAGGACTACCTTTGTTGACATGTCAAGTACTACCTGTGTTGACATGTCAAGGACTACCTGTGTTGAAATGTCAAGGATAACCTCTGTTGACATGTCAAGGACTACCTGTGTTGACATGTCAAGGATTACCTGTGTTGACATGTCAAGGACTACCTGTGTTGACATGTCAAGGACTACCTGTGTTGAGTGAGTGAGTGAGTATGGTTTTACGCCGCTTTTAGCAATATTCCAGCAATATCACGGTGGGGGACACCAGAAATGGGCTTCACACATTGTACCCATGTCGGGAATCGAACCCGGGTCTTCGGTGTGACGAGCGAACGCTTTAACCACTAGGCTACCCGACCGCCCCCTACCTGTGTTGACATGTCAAGGACTACCTGTGTTGACATGTCAAGGATTACCTGTGTTGACATGATAAAGGACTACCTGTGTTGACATGTCAAGGATTACCTGTGTTGACATGATATAGAACTACCTGTGTTGACATGTCAAGGATTACCTGTGTTGACATGTCAAGGACTACCTATGTTGACATGTCAAGGATTACCTGTGTTGACATGTCAAGGACTACCTGTGTTCATATCTCAAGAATTACCTGTGGTTGTTGTCTCCCTTGACTGCGGCCACTGATATAGGCATGGTTGCCTCTCATGTTGTCTGACCTGCTGGTTGGAAGATCTGAGGCCTGTGACCTTTCTGTTACAGGAAAAAACTCTAGGTAACTCCTGGTTTACATTTGTTTTCTCATGAAGATCTGAGATAAGAGAATGAAATAAAACTGAACATATCTTACTGAAACAAAGCCATTTAAATTTAACAGAATCCTAAACACTAAAAGTGGGGGAGACATTGGTTTGTAACAAATTACTGTTGTATCCAATGTCATTCCAAGAAAATCATGGCAGCAAATGTAACATCATGCAACCCGTCACATCAAGCAACCTCTGTAACATCATGCAACCTCTCTGTAACAAACCTCTGTAACACCCTTCAACTTTTCTGTAACATCATGCAACCTCTGTAAAATCATGCAACCTGTAACATCATGCACTCTCTGTAACATGCAAGCTCTGTAACATCATGCAACCTCTGTAAAATCATGCAACCTGTAACATCATGCACTCTCTGTAACATCATGCAATTTCTGTAACATCATGCAACCAGTAACATCATGCAATCTCTGTAACATCATGCAACCTCTGTAACATCATGCAATCTCTGTAACATCATGCAATCTCTGTAACATCATGCAATCTCTGTAACATCATGCAACCTCTGTAAAATCATGCAACCTCTGTAACATCATGCAACCTGTAACATCATGCAATCTCTGTAACATCATGCAACCTCTGTAACATCATGCAATCTCTGTAAAATCATGCAACCTGTAACATCATGCAATCTCTGTAACATCATGCAACCTCTGTAACATCATGCAATCTCTGTAACATCATGCAATCTCTGTAACATCATGCAATCTCTGTAACATCATGCAACCTCTGTAACATCATGCAATCTCTGTAACATCATGCAACCTCTGTAACATCATGCAACCTCTGTAACATCATGCAATCTCTTTAACATCATGCACTCTCTGTAACATCATGCAACTTCTGTCACATCATGCAACTTCTGCCACATCATGCAACCTCTGTAACATCATGCAACCTCTGTAACCTCATGCAATCTCTGTAAGATCATGCAACCTCTGTAACATCATGCAACCTCTGTAACATCATGCAATCTCTGTAACATCATGCACTCTCTGTAACATCATGCAACTTCTGTCACATCATGCAACTTCTGTCACATCATGCAACCTCTGTAACATCATGCAATCTCTGTAACATTATGCACTCTCTGTAACATCATGCAACTTCTGTCACATCATGCAACCTGTAACATCATGCAACCTGTAACATCATGCAATCTCTGTAACATTATGCACTCTCTGTAACATCATGCAACTTCTGTCACATCATGCAACCTGTAACATCATGCAACTTCTGTCTGTCACATCATGCAACCTGTAACATCATGCAATCTCTGTAACATCATGCAACCTCTGTAACATCATGCAACCTCTGTAAAATCATGCAACCTCTGTAACATCATGCAACCTCTGTAACATCATGCAACCTCTGTAACATCATGCAACCTCTGTAACATCATGCAACCTGTAACATCATGCAACCTCTGTAACATCATGCAATCTCTGTAACATCATGCAACCTCTGTAACATCATGCAACCTCTGTAAAATCATGCAACCTCTGTAACATCATGCAACCTGTAACATCATGCAACCTCTGTAACATCATGCAACCTCTGTAACATCATGCAACCTCTGTAAAATCATGCAACCTCTGTAACATCATGCATGTTCTGTGTAACATGATGATGTTTGATTCACCAGGAGAAGAAATAGACTCCTATCTGTGTCTCACCATCTCTCTGCTCTTTCTTCCTTCGATTTCTCTCCTCAGTCTCTCGTTTCTTCTCCTTCTTCAACGTGGCGTTCAGGTCGCGTAACGTCCTCTCTTCTGCATCCGAGTCGTCCCAGGACCCCACACCACCTACACAAACAGGACAGTAACAGAGTTCACCCAACTTGGCCACATCTAGCACTGGACCATAGATTCACATAACACCTAGATTCTAAGAGATATCAACCATGGTAAATTCATGACTTGTACTGTCCCAGACTTGCAGACTAGTGTCCATGTCTAACACTGCTATAACATTTTATTCAATAGTACTTCAACAAGTCTTTGTCTTACAGGAAACTTATATTAACATGTTTGATATACAGCATTAGAAATTGGCACTTGTCTGGTATTCCTTGCCAAACTGCCCAATAGTTAGAAATTTGCCCTTTTTAAGGGTTTTGCTATGTGTTATCATTATAAAAAGGTTTCTACCACTGATATTCATTTAAATATCTGTTTAATAATCAACTAATGTGATATCACATATCTTGTTTCTTCGTTTAAGTAAAATTGCTCAGATGACTTAAAAACTTTGATGTTGGCAGAAAATTGGATTGAAATAGCATTGAAATACTTTAGCAAAAGATGGTCATTTTACAAAAACATGTTTCAAAATCCTAATGATATGAAAATCCTAATTTACAAAGAATATTCTTTGCATTGAATGCTATGTTTTAGAAGTTGTAGAACATGTACTCTTGCACTGTCCCCAATGTAATGATGTAATAATAAGAAAACAATATCTATTCTTTCAAAATGTGTGTACAATATGTTTAAGATCCATGGAAATACAGACTTATAAGTCATAACCAGGCACCAGTGTACATTACATCACAACTGTAAACAGAGCTCCAGATAAGCTGCGTATCTGCGTAAAATACGCATCAGAAATGCAGAAATACGCAGTAAAATAAAATCCAAGTGTATCACATACGCAACGAACATTACAAATACGCTACAAAAATAAAACTTGTGCGTATCATCAAAATATTGCATGGGTAAAATACCCACAACACCAAAAGCTTATCTCATGTATTTGGAGCTCTGTGTAAATGCATGTGGGTCTGTTGCTTAAAGAACAATAAAAGATTGTAATTGTCATTGTCCTATATTTACAGATGACAGTCCAAAAAACACACAGTTAAAGAATAATGTGCGTCACATTTACTGCAGGTGTGAGAGATTTGCCACCATGCATCCCCAAAACACACAAGCAGAGGATTTCAGTTGTGATGGCATACAGATAAAAAGAAGACACTGACCTCCACGCCCTGTTGGGTTGACCGGCTGTGGAGTTGGGCCGACATCGTAGTTGTTTCCCTTCCTGCCACGGCCAGGCCGCTGACCGCTGTCCTCCTGCCTCCCCTCGTCTGTACAACACAAGGGGAAACTGGTCATCTCATGCTCCTTGACCACAGTCTTACATACATCACCCTGTCACTGAGAAACAGGGGTGTCATGTCTGGAACATGCTTGATCACCCAGTGAAATACATCTTCCCAAGTCAAGGGTGTTTAACTGATTACAAAAGTCCAGTTTCCACCCTTGTCGAAATACACAGGAATATTTTGGCTCGTTCATAGCGCCACCAGTGGCTATTACGAGTTATGTCACTTTTATGTTCCTCCTATTGACCAATCAGGTTCCACGTCTCATATCACTTGCATTTGCATCAAACAAAATGGCGGCGCCCAGTCAAGACGATCTGACGATAATAAAGATCTATATTGTGATAAAAGGGGCCTTACCTCACAAAGTCCATCAAATCAAACCTTGATTAAAAACATGAAAAGATTTGGAAAATATCTGTCAACGCCCAGGTTACGGTACACATATTTTGCAAATCCTGCAGTTGATCGAAATCTGCACATTGAAATCCATGTTGTTTACAAACCGGATGTCTAGTTCGTTGCGCAATTTTGATTGGACTATGCATAGACTCGTTAGTCCAGCCAAAACGTAACTCCAGCCTGTTTCGGCAAGGGAGGAAACTGGACTTTTACAGTCAGTTAACTTCAGGGATTTGGAAATATTTCTTAGCCAGTCGGACATTTGCATTTGGCCACGCATGAATAAAAGAATAAACTCAAGTGTCACTTTCATAACATATATATACAGGATATATATACAATTAATTAATTCAACGACACATAGATCTAAAACATACAATTTCAACCTATCGTGATGTTGGTTTTACTAACTTGGCTATGGAACAGTTTCCAATGTAAAGCTGTCTGGTTGCGTCTAGCCTTCCAGTGTTGCATCATCGGTGTTGGGTCGAAATCCGTCAATTTTGGTCCACAAAGTGATATACCCATAATTCTGTCCAGTGTCTCCGTCGTTAAGCTACATCTCAATTGCGTCTTAATGAGGTTTTGTTTTGAAAATCCCCTCTAACATTCTAAATTGGACACGGGCAGTACACGACCGATCTCCATGAGCTTAACGATATTTGGGAACTGATCGGTCAATTTGGAAGCATGCACTTTACCCAGAAGCTGTCCATATGTCAACCGTCTGTAGTTGATGAAGAATAAAGGCCGAAATATTCCCCATTTGTTCTAATTGGTCTTTGTCGATTGGGGTGTGTCCCTGTCATCTGCTGCCATAAAGGATACCTAACCTAGAAATACTCTTGTCCCCATACGTCACTAGGTCACTAGCTTTGTCAGGGAAATTTGTTGGGTCAAAGGTTCCAAACGCAGAATACAATTCGTTATCTGGAAATCTGTCAGTCATATTGTCAAACAGTATTCTTGCACATTGCTTAACTCTATAAGTCAGTGTCTTGTCGTGATGCAATCTCGTCATTGTCACATTTTCAAAATCGTCTGTATCGTCAGTTTCGGTCAAGAATGCTCTAATTTAGGTCTGTATGTTGGTTTATCTGTCGAGTACTGTCCCTTTCGTCTGTCCAAGAAAGCAACAGTTGTGTTCTTCATGTCCCCATAGTTCAAGTCACGAGTCTGTAGTGTCTTACTTACTATGCCTATCCTACCAAATACGTCCTGTAAAAACGTGGTAATGAATCTAAATTTGTATTTGGTCAACTGTTAACTCCCTTGCCTTGGGAAGATGGGTGAATTGAAATTCATTCTACCATGTTGAATACCCTTGACCCCTTTACTGCCATGTGTTTGTCTGGGGAGTGAAGTCAAGATGGGTCAACAGCAAAGGCATGGGTTGACTCCCCACCTGGGTGCAATGCGTGGAGCTTGTAAAAGCAGCATAAAACCCATCCTCTCTTAGCCAGTGTATAAAATCTCCATTCTATTATGATTAATACCCTGGAGATGTTGGCATCAAGCTTCCTTTCAAAAGTGACTTGTTACTGACTTGTGAAACTGATCTGTGATATCTACCTTCAAGTGCCCCCTTGAAGCCATAAGGTGGGTTGTCTGTGACAGTTACCATGGTTACTGACTTGTGAAACTGATCTGTGATATCTACCTTCAAGTGCCCCCTTGAAGTCATAAGGTGGGTTGTCTGTGACAGTTACCATGGTTACTGACTTGTGAAACTGATCTGTGATATCTACCTTCAAGTGCCCCCTTGAAGTCATAAGGTGGGTTGTCTGTGACAGTTACCATGCTTACTGACCTGTGAAACTGATCTGTAATATCTACCTTCAAGTGCCCCCTTGAAGTCATAATGTGGGTTGTCTGTGACAGTTACCATGGTTACTGACATATGAAACTGATCTGTGATATCTACCTTCAAGTTCCCCCTTGAAGTCATGAGGTGGGTTGTCAGATGGGTGCGACTGGATCCAAGGTGAGGAGGTGTCGGCCGGACTGCCACACAAACACAGGTGACAATTGTAAAATACTGACATAGAACTAATATTCATGACAAAAATATCACAAGAAAATGCTCTAAATCAAAGAGAAGTGACATGCCAAACAAAAAGGGTATATTTAAGAACTTTGCTTGACAATGGTATAAGACTCTATACCGAAACATAGCCATTACAGTAAATAAAGAAGATGTTACCCATAAATTGTGTCTACTTTGACATCCGTCAGCTATCAAACAAAACAATTTGTATACATGACCTTAAATGATTATCAAAATAGTATGCCGTGTGTGGTAAACAATAATAATTTTCATTAATTAGCTGGCTTACAGATCTTTTTCAAAACCTTGGCCGGTTCTCGAAACAAAAATAAAAATGAAACTTGATTATTCTTTTGTAAAAAATATAGGGTTGTAAGGCTGAGAAAAAATAATTCAAATTCTCTTTGAAAATGGAACTATATATATTTTCTTCAACTTTTCCGATTTAAGCAAATCTATAAACCAAGAAATGAACAACCTAATTATGTCACCACCATAAAATTGTTTTAAAAGTATTTCCATCTCCTTGTAAACACTCAAACAGATGTTTCTTAGATTAGCTCACAGAATCAAATAAATCAAAAACAGTATTCTGCCACAAACGAACGTTTTACCAACATAAACAACAGCATGACACAGTGAAGGTGTTGATAGTTAGATAAAAATGTGTTTAAAATACAACCTACTTTCTTTGTTTTGGGATTACATTTGAATTTCTTTGCCCTGTCTCCCCATTATCTGAAAATAAATATACAAGCATCAATAAAAGTCACAGAGTGAGACCATGTACCGGTAACAACTGTGCCAACTTACCATCACATTTTATGTTACGGATAAAACATGACTCCGAGGTTTAAGTTGAAAATGTAAAACGGCAAGCAAACATGCACATAAAACTGAAGTCATGACATTTAGAATTGAACAACCTTTCCTAACCTGCCCCAATGGCTCAGTGGGAAAACAGTGGTTACAAAACTAAACACGATATGCGAAGTTGCAGGTTCAATTCCCGTCATCCATAATGAAAAACTTTCATTTCTTGTCTTCAATTTTAGAACATCGGACAAGTACAAATTTCATCTGCTACTCAACTCATCAGGTGTTACTAGGTAAGAAAAACCTCATACCAGGTGTTACTAGGAAAAAGTAAAACCTCATACACTGTGTTACTAGGAAAAAGTAAAACCTCATACCAGGTGTTACTTGGAAAAAGTAAAACCTCATACACTGTGTTACTAGGAAAAAGTAAAACCTCATATCAGGTGTTACTAGGAAAAAGTAAAACCTCATATCAGGTGTTACTAGGAAAAAGTAAAACCTCATACCAGGTGTTACTAGGAAAAAATAAAACCTCATATCAGTTGTTGCTAGGAAAAAGAAAAACCTCATATCAGTTGTTACTAGGAAGAAGAAAAACCTCATACCAGGTGTTACTAGGAAAAAGTTAAACCTCATACCAGGTGTTACTTGGAAAAAGTTAAACCTCATACCAGGTGTTACTAGGAAAAAGAAAAACCTTATACCAGGTGTTACTAGGAAAAAGTAAAACCTCATACCAGGTGTTACTAGGAAGAAGTAAAACCTCCTACCAGGTGTTACTTGGAAAAAGTAAAACCTCCTACCAGGTGTTACTTGGAAAAAGTTAAACCTCGTACCAGGTGTTACTAGGAAAAAGAAAAACCTTATACCAGGTGTTACTAGGAAAAAGTAAAACCTCATACCAGGTGTTACTAGGAAGAAATAAAACCTCATACCAGGTGTTACTAGGAAAAAGTAAAACCTCATACCTGGTGTTACTTGGAAAAAGTTAAACCTCATACCAGGTTTTACTAGGAAAAAGTAAAACCCAGTGTTAGAAATTGGCACTAGTCCCCTAGTCTTTGCCAAACTGCCCAGTAGTTAAGGTATCATAAGGATGAGTAGAAATTTGTCATTTTTTAGGGTTTTGCTATGTGTTATCATTATAAGGACTAGCGGACTAAAACTGTTAGTTTCTACCACTGAAAACCTTATACCAGGTGTTACTAGGAAAAGTTAAAACCTCATACCAGGTGTTACAGGGAAAAAGTAAAACCTCATACCAGGTGTTGCTAGGGAAAAGTTAAACCTTCCAAGAGGTTACTATGTGATAGGAAGATACCTACAATACAATAGGCAAAAGTGGCAGTAGGTTTATAAAGAGAGTTCATCAGCAGTTTAGAACCTGCACAGCAAATTAGACGGCTGGCCCACACATGCCCTACATGGCAAGGAATGAGTACAACTATCTCACCATTCACTTGCTTCCCTGTGGTCCTCTCCCTGGGCTTGGGTCTGGCTTCACTCATCTCGGACTTGTCTTCCTCATCCTGTTGTGCAGAGTGGTGCGGGGATCGGAGGGGCACTTTCTTCTGTTGCCGTGGTGATGTGAAATCCAGTGTGCTTTCATCATCCCAGTCAGAACCAGAATCACTGGCAACAGTTTGACTCTTGTCAGCCTGCAATAATGATGTTGTGTTAGGTTTGTTTACATATGGTGAGGGGCTGTCAGGTAGCCTAGTGGTTTAAGCGTTCGCTCGTCACGCCAAAGACCTGGGTTCGATTCCTGACATGGTTACAATGTGTGAAGCCCATTTCTGGTGTCCCCCGCCGCGGTATTGCTGGAATATTGCTAAAAGCGGCGTAAAAATTATACTCACGCACTCACTACATATTGAAAGCGCCAATGTGCACATGTCTACTACGTCATACGTCACATGCCCCAGCATCGGGAGTGACGTCATGACCATGTACATGTGGTCAGTTACGAATAAATCATGGTTCAGTTCAGACATCTTGTTGCTTGATATTCCTCCCAAGTCAGGTGCGGGTCGTACAAGTACCTGAGCATGATGTACAGTCTTACAAATACACTACAATAACCACAGTTGAGGTGGATGTGAATAGTCAACAAGTAATTGTTTATATGTGAAAATGATGGGTCTTGTATTGTTTGTTTGTTGTTTAACACCTCACTCAGCAATCTTCCAGCTATATGACAGTGGTCTGTAAATAATTGAGTCTGGACTAGACAATCCAGTGATTGATATCATGAGCAATTGAGCATCGATCCACGCAATTGGGATACGATGACATGCATCAACCAAGTCAGCACCCGTTCCCGTTTGTTGCCTCTTACAACAAGCATAGTCGCCTGTAAGCATGGGTTGCTGAAGACCTATTCTACCCCGGGTCGGGTCTTGCATTGGGAGCACTGTTGAAAAATTCAACATATTTGTGATGATATCTGTATAACATTTCATAAATATGTTCAATGCTTAATTATAATATGTGTCTTGATAGTCCCCTTTAGTGCATAGACCCCAGTATATTGCTACATTGGAAGACATGTTGAATTAATACGAGGGGCATTCAATAAGTTTTGCAACTTCAATATAAGACCAAGTTGCAGAATATCTTTTGCACTTTTATTTTTCAACATAATCTCCATTCACCTCAGTACACTTATTCCATTTGTCCTTCAAGCTTAATACCACTTTTTATAGAAATCCACAGATTGGCCCTCTAACCACACCTCTGTGGCAGCCTTTATGTTCTCGTCATCCAGGAAGCGTCTTCCACGTAAGGCAGATTTAATTTGCCAGAACAGGAAATAGTCACTGGGGGCTAAGTCTGGGCTGTAGGGTGGGTGATTTAACTGTTCGAAATCCACATTCACATCTTGTGGCCTGTGCAATTCTCGACTTGTGAACCGGAGCATGTAAGGAACTTTATGACAGCGCGTTGTTCATGTTTGAGAGAATCCATGATTGTGACCACCCTTAAGTGAATGAAGCCATCACATCTAACTTATTGTTGTGTCTGGAACTTGTTATGTCAACCTGATGTTATGACTAGTGTCACACCTGCCTCAAGTTGACATTGTTTGCGTAAACACAAATGCCCAAGTTGCAAAACTTATTGAACGTTTCTTGTACATTGACACATCAATCTATCATAGACAGCCACATTGACATATCATCTTAGGATCTTTTAACATTTTGTTTATCACGAAATGTCCACAGGCCATTTGTCTATAAGCAATACCTGCAACATGCTAAAGAGATTCACAATCATGACCTCTTTACGAAATTATGCATTCGGCCCTTGTCATAACTGTAATAATACAAAAATGAACAATTCAGGACAATACTGTAGCAGCAAACAAGGGCACAAGAGCCCCAATTAATTTTGAACGTTGATAACTATTAAAAATATATTATTTTTTAGTTAACTAAAGGCAACTGTATTATTTCCTATTAACTTTTGCAACCCATGCTTGTAGTAAGAGGCGACTTATGGGATCGGGTGGTCAGGCTCGCTGACTTGGTTGATGCATGTCATTGTATCCCAATTGTGAATATTGATGCACATTATGTCAATCACTGGATTGTCTGGTCCAGAATAGATTACTTACAGACCATAGTCATAAAGCTGGAATATCGCTGAGTGTGGCATAAACAATAAAAACCCAATATTTCCTTACATTGATTAGTCATGTTATTGGCCTAGATGTTCATGAGCCTACCTAAAAGTGTTATTATTTAATATTAGTAACTGTTCCCAGTAATCAATAATGATAAACAGGATAATGAAATTAGTCTTCTTGTTGCTGAGGAGGTAGATTACTCCAACCTAGTAGGCTACTAAGATCTACGAACGTGAAGGCCCACCTCAAGTCTGCTACTAGGCCAATAAACAAACCTAAGCGTTAGATCTATCGTGCATTACTTTTCCCAAATTGACCTGAACTAACGAGCAATGTGATTGAACAACCACGTAATTAAGAAACAGTGTCTTTGTTAAATTGCAATTATTTATAATACAACGAATCAAGAAAATGTTTTACATCATCTAGGGCATAGCTGTCACTGTCACTCGTCAAACACTTCTAACATGATCTGTGCAATCGATGTTCCCATTGTAGGACAAATTAGCACAAATAAAGGCTAGCACCATGACAGGGGACTTCTTTTCACAAATGGAATGACTTATTGCGCTTACCATTATGTAACGACAAATCAATATCCCTTAGCGTAGAGGTGTTGCGTAAAACATGGGTCCTCAAGAGATGCAATAAGGAATTTCGGAAACCAAGGCAAATACGTAAACTTCCGGTCTGACATGCGCAGATCCGATTAATAATTGAAGCGGTCATACAATCTGCCCCGAGAGACATAAATAATCGTGATAATGGATACATTACAGAATCCTACAACAGCGTAGCAATTACATTAATGTCTATTGAATGGCCAATTTCTCATGATCAGTGTGCATCTGTTTCCAACACACAGGAGACAAAACACTGCGTTTGTCGTCTCAAATTTCCCTCAACCACAAAATATAAATAAATGTGTTTCTAGCTAAAGCTCGTATAAATTATTATATAATACATTTTGGGTATTTTATGAAGAAATATGTAATGTCACAAAAATTTATGAAGATTTTGTTATGATAAACATTTTCGGAGTAAAAAACGTATATTTGCTTCACTTGCCTGTAGAATCGCAAGCGCGAATAAAACCTTTTGAGAAAAGAGTGGATTTAACATTAAATAATAAAATTTGGAAATTCGGAAAAGAAATATGTCCCATACAATAGAGAGTAATTTAAAAAAATGAATACAACTTAAAGTCTAGAAGGATTTTGCAAGTCTAGATTGCTTCATCTCTAGGCTGAAATCGTGCATTGTTCTGGGCTCCATTTGGATTACGATTTTTATTTTGTAGATATATATTCTTAAGTATTAGTCTAAGTGCTAGCCCACCTAGATACAGATATCATGCCGCATTTTAATATAGATACCCCACCCAGACGCAGTAGTCTGAGCCGGGTAACAAGAAGTACCAAAATTGTAACGTATGTTGGTATTCCCGGCATTAGTCAGAACTGGTATCCGCCCCTCCACACACACACACGCACACGCACACACACGCACACGCACACTCGCACGCACGCGCGCTTTATAAGTTCAATAATCGTGAACGCGACATTAAATCAAATCTCACCCAACCTCAGTTATCAGGTATATCAAACATGAGGATTCCCAAATAGAATAGGCCCCAAGCAACCAATGTTTATCGTGTCGGCTTAATGGATCGGTGTGGTCTTATAGGTGAACTGGCTGATTGCGAGTTGTCATACCCGGGAGCACATCGTTCCTCATAATATCAACTTGAGTATTTACAGGTCAGTATCAGTGTGTGCGATGGTAAACAAACAAACTAAACAAACGATTAACGAACACCGCGCGCATTATAAAACAAAAGAAGCCACACACATAGCCTGGTGCACGTGCGACAAGCGAAGAGAACATATATCACGTGCAGCTCGATGTATGAACGCACAGTCAAGTTTGTTTGTGTGTTTGTTGTTGTTGAACGGCGCACTCGGCAGTATTTTAGCAACATGACGGCGTTCAATAAATAAACGAGGCTGGACCAGACAGTCCAGTGATTGATATCATGAGCATCGATCCACGCAATTGGGATACAATGATATACATCAACATGTCAGCGAGCCTGACCAACCGATCCCGACACGGTAAATAACAGACCAGACAAAGGGCGTTGTTCCATATTTTCAAAGTCGCTTAAACAAACAAATTGTGAAATATAACATCAATCATTTACATTTTGGTTGTTAACTATTATTTAAATTATTCAAAACGGTATTGACCTCGGGTTCTAAATTCTGTGTGAATGTGTTTGAATTTGTCTGACAGGAAACGATAATATATGTTCTGGTGACAAACTTGCACGAGCTCTCGCGCAAACTTAGGTCAGAGTTCATGGTCACGCAACTGCACGAACTTAACCTAACCAGACATCCAATCGTAGGCCACCACGTCAAAACCAAGTTTGACGCGCGGAATGCACTCAAAATGTGAAAATATGGTCTTTTCAACTGAACCATCCAAACGGTTGCTTAAAGGAATTGTAAATAATTAATGTCGACTGATTGAGACATTATGCCGTTGTCGACACGTGTTATTTCTGACCATTTCGTCTAGACATTGACAAGGCGTTGACTCAACTATTCCGAGCAGACGTGAAGATTTCCTACAAGATGTTGCCAGCATATACCTTCCGCACACGTTCAGGCAATCAAGTCACTAAGGTCAGTATACATAATTCATATCCATTATTTCTTGAGGTTTTCTATAACAGACAGTCTTGTATGGTATCAGTGCTTGTCAGGAAGCACTTGTTGTCTACAGTCACTGTCAGAAGTATATATAACTCCATCGAATCTATTCAGTGTTCGACAATGTGTGTATGTGTGTGTGTATGTGTGTGTGTGCGTGCGTGCGTGCGTGCGTTTGCGTGCTTGCCTGACATTTTTTCAGCTACAGATAAAATCCCAGGTTAACTTCCCATTAATTACACGTCCCATTTGTCACCTTAAAACAACAAAGACCGCCTCCGTGGTCTTGTGGTAGAGCGTCCGCCCGGAGAGCGGAAGGTCCGGGGTTCGATCCCGGGCCGCGTCATACAAAAAGACGTTAAAAGATTGTACTTGTTGTTACCCTGTCTGGCGCTCGGCATTAAGGGGCTAAAACAAGGACTGGTCGGCTCGGAGTCAGTATACTGTGTCTGAGTGGGGTATTCATGTTAAACTGCGGCATGATATCTCAGTGAGCTAGCACTATAAATCGGCATCAGTCCGGACTAGTACAAGCAGCCACACACACAAATACACGTGCACGCACGTCGCTATGTAAGTGCAATAATCTTGGACGCGACGTTAAACCCAATTTCACCTCACCTCACCTTAAAACAACATAGGTCATCGCTGAAGGCACTGACTGGTCTACCCTATGTATTAGAATGGAGTGATCATGAAAAAGTAGAAATATATATAGGTGTTGTCTCAATTAATCCCCTCCTGGCCGCCTCCCAGGCTGTGTAACAACTTGGAATATAGAGGTGTGTGACAAATGGGACGTGTAACTAATGGGAGATAACCAATCCAAGAAGTAATGTTAATATAATTATCAACTACCAATCGAAACTTTCTCTCTTGAGCTGCGCGTTCTGTTCCAAATTCAATTTAGCGCCGTCAAATCTGCAGGATTGTAGCTGAACATCGAAAAGACATATTCACCTCGTAATACCTTCTACTGCTTCTAATTGTAATTTGTGAAAAGCGACTATGCTTGTCCCAAGAGGCGACTAACGGGATCGGGTGGTCAGGCTCGCTGACTTGGTTGATGCATGTCATCGTATCCCAATGATGTAAATCACTGGATTGCCTGGTCCAGTCTCGATTATTTACAGACCGCCGTCATATAGCTGGAATATTGCTGAGTGCGGCGTAAAACAACAAACCAAACCAAACCAAAACTAATTGTAATTTGTTCAAACGTTTAAGTGGAACAGTAACACCACAGGCTTGTATAAGGTTATATACGTCCAGAAAGTACAGATTATGAATAACATACTAGTCAGCCAGTAGAGACATAAATATTGCATAGCTGGTCCACTGGGCGTCGATTGAAACGCTCGTAAAATATCAAACACTTTTCAGATTTGTAATGCATACTTCCTGAACTGAAGACACGCCGTTATTTTGAGTTGAAAGTTCAGTACAATCGACACTAATAGTACCCCCTTCAAAGACAACATCCGTGGTTGAAGTTGTGTTTTATAATATACCGACTACTGTTTCATTTATCTCAAAGCCGATTTAGTTCTTTGAGCTATGAACGACATTAAGTGGTAGAAATCGCCCTGTCAAGTTCGAGAGATATCATATCTCCACTATCTATCGATATCCATTCATCCACCACTGATAATCCTACGGTGGAACATATCTATTTCTCGCAATTTAAAACATTTCTCTTCCATTATCGATATCCCTGTTCGCCATCGCTCGCCTCTTCCAGGGATTACTTCGATAATGCGAGAAGCATTAATAGATCTATCACTACCACTATGCATGGGCGCCATTAAAGTAATAACACAAATCTCATCGATTTCCTAAAATGTAAAGCGATCGCCTTAGTTCCACGGCTCTGATGTGGTTTTATTGTAATAAATGTCTGTATCAAAGCGAATAACAGCAATACAGCACTTTTGATAATAGCATGTCTTCGAGCGTTACTCCCCATGGGGACTCCGGAGTTGAATACGTCCCCAGTAACCTATATGCTTGCCGTAAGAGGGGACTAAATGAGGATCGGATGGCTACAACCCGTGACCCGCATCGCAGACAGTATGCCAGTGTACCCGACTGCGAGAAACGTTTTTCATGCTATCAACCACAGGTGCATGTGTACAAATTCCTATCGATTTCCTCAAATACAAAACGATCGCCTTAGTTCCGCGCTCTGATGCGGTTCCATTATAATAAATGTCTGCATCAAAGCGATTATGTACAGATCTTTTGATAATAGCATGTCTTCGAGCGTTACTCCCCATGGGGACTCCGGAGTTGAATACGTCCCCAGTAACCTATATGCTTTCCGTAAGAGGGGACTAAATGAGGATCGAATGGCTACAACCCGTGACCCGCATCGCAGACAGTATGCCATTGTACCCGACTGCGAGAAGCGTTTGTCATGCTATCAACCACAGATCAGTATAACAATGTTAATCTTGCAGAAAAAATTAAGTGTACTGAATAATTAGATGAGTATTATTGCTTAAAGCAACTCAAACCCAAATATAAACCCTGGTATGCCAGTCGACGTGGCAATGTACAGGGCCATGTAAAATCGTGGACAATTAACATGAATAAAAAATAATTAACAAACAAAAAACAAACAAAAAAAACCCCCAAAACACAGATATATTTGTTTGTTTCGTTGTTGCTGTTGTTTAACACTGCACTCAGCAATGTTCTAGCTATTGACGGCGGACTGTAAATAATCGAGTCTGGACCAGACAATACAGTGAGTGATATCATGAGCATTGATCAACGCAATTGGGATACGATGACATGCACCAACCAAGTCAGCGAGCCTGACCTCCCGATCCCGTTAGTCGCCTCTTACGACAAGCATGGATTGCTGAAGACCTATTCTTACCCAGATCTTCAGGGTCTTGGCCTTGGTAAAATCATTTGCGCATATGTACTGTTCTACATAGAAATGATTCTATGTGTAAAGACATAC